GAGGGGCCCCGTGAGTAAGGCTGATATTGTGTTGGAGGAGCTGGAGATGGTGCACGCGAGTGATGTTGATATTGTGTTGGAGGAGCCGGAGACGGTGCACGCGAGACTGGCTGATATTGTACTGGAGGTCCCGGAGATGGCGCGCGCGATTGAGCAACGTATCGGGCGGGAACAGCTGGAGAAACGGCGCGCGAGTACGATTGATGCGGTCGAGGAGGAGCCGGAGACACAGCACGAGGAACGGGCTGGCGAACATTTGGCGCCGGAGAGACGTTTCGAAGCTTGGATCCTGTAGCAGATTTTTGCAACGGAGACGACTCTCGGCTCTCCAAGGAGGACCGCTTCATAGACGAGTATGGTTTATGTTTGGAGATGCTTCCATTGGGATTTGGTGACACCCCTCCGGCCTTCTGTTGTACCTCTCTCGCTGCTGCTCCTGGATTTGGGGAGCTAGCTGCGGCATATGCAGTAAACGGTTTCCGGAACATGCTCTTGGACTTCTGTGGCGTTGGCTTTGCGGATGCCGGGTTTGGGCTGTTTGCTTTTGATATGCTTCCTCCATTCTGTAGCAAATGTGGACTGGCATTCCGGTATGGCTGAAAACTCTCATCGAGAACTTCAACAAAGTTCGAGGGAAACAGTCCGACCATACGCCTATCTCGCTTCAGTCTACCCATCCACCAAGAACCGTCTCCGGCGTTGAGACATTCTATGAGGTCGCCTTCGATGAATCCGAGGTCGCGCTTTGTCTATACTACAATTAGTACCTCATCAACAGCTTAACTTGAAGTCGCTACGCACCTCACCGCCCCAGGAGTAAGTCGCTCTGCACCAGCACGGAAATCGGACGGGCAGTGGTTGTGCGGCTGGAGCCATTCTCCGCCGGGATGTGTGCGAGGGATCGAGGGCTTGTTGTCAAGCTCATCCGGCGGCCATTCGCGTTCCTGACATGCGTGTTGTGTGGATTGCGTGTACGTGTATTCGGGCTATGCGGAAGCAGTGAGTGCGAATAATGAAGTGACAGTAATGCGCTTGGCAGAGCAGTCTGGAGAGGGCGTCTCGTGCGAGAACGAATACAAAAATATTGGTGGTTGCTAGGGAAACGGTATTTTTTCCGCGCCCAAATGGCTTAGTGCGTTTCGGCCGAGGTCATCCCGCCCACGTTTCACCGACACGCTAGACACGAAAAAAGTGGCACACTCACCAAGTACTCTGCCTGTGTGTACACCCGTTTACCACTGCATGAAGCGCTTCAACAAGTTTCCACATAGCCCAAGGTAAAGAGCTTCTATCTTCTTTAGATTTCTGAAAATACATTGAAGCAACCCAAGCAGTGGCAGACAGGTGTACACACGAGACAGCTTGTTCTAGAATTAGTGTGCCACCTTTTCCATGCCCCGCGTGACCGAACCTTCGTAGATACAAAACAGGTAGTACAATATCCCAATCTGCACCAGAAATTTCCTTTCCCGTTCAGGGAACTGAGCTCATGCCCCAGCCTGAGCTGTGGCTGTGCTGGGTGAGCGCATCCGGAGCCGAGACTGAGCAGCTCGTTAGAATTATCCATACAACAATAGAGCCACAAGCAGCTAATAGGCTCTAACGTCTATAGGTCTAGAGGCGACCAGATGCTACCCTCCCTTCCCCTCCCAGTGTCGCGAAAATTCACCATGGCTAAGATTTTGTATGGCACTTGAAAATGGAACGTCCTATTAGGTGTCCATAGACAGCCAGCCACAAGTCCCCTGGACCTATTTCTTGTACCCCCTCCAGCCTATGACTCATTGCGGCCTCGTGCTAGCCTAGCATAGCCTCAAATTCCACACATACTTGTGCGGTTACAGGGTATGCATACATAGATATAGAATCCGAAGATCGCTGGCTGGAGGATAGCCTGGAAACTAGAAGTGCGAATCCTCGAAGGACACGTCACCTTTCAACATCAATCACGCGGGTATTGCCCCCTCTCTCATCACGATGAAAGACATCGTCAAAGCTCTTCAAGAGCTGGGACCTACGATATCAAAAATTTGCGAAGTATCCGCCAATGCAGGAGTGTCTGTCGGTGTCTTGCACCACAACGAAGTCATCTACCCGTCGGGATATGGATATCGAGACATTTCCCGCAAGCTTCGTTCTGACGAGAACACTGTTTATCACCTAGCATCGCTTTCCAAGAGCTTCACTGCGTCCGCTGTAGGCATTCTTCTCCATGAGAACAAGCTTGTTTGGGATCAGCCGCTATCTAAAATCTTGCCGAGTTTCATCCACGAGAACACTACAATCCAAAGCGATGCTACCATTCTTGACTTTCCATCGCATCGTACGTGACTGGCTACAAAGAACTCTCTTTGGGCCCAGGATGGTACAGAGATACTATTGAAGCCCGAGGATCTGTTTCCAACAACTTCCTATCTGGAGGTTGTTCATCTGCTACGCTCAACATGGCTCTACAACAACTGGGGCTTCAATCTGGCTGCTGCCGTGCTTGAACATCTATCAGGGACCACCTGGGGCTCTTTTCTGGCAGATAATCTCTTCCGTCCGCTAGGTTTGAACAGAACATATACCAAAGAAGTAATCCTTGATGACAACGTTGCTCAAGGCTACATGGCTGCGCGTGATGGTTCATCTTTCCCGGGTGGAAACCCGACTATTGCCGAAGGAATTATCATGGAAGGCGCAAACGGCGTAAAGAGCACCGTCGCCGATCTTCTGACGTACTACAAAAGCGTGATCAAGTCTTGGAAAGAGGAACTTTCTTCGGGCTCTTCAGAGACAGATGGACTTCCCTTCAAAGATATTCGTACACTTCTGACCGGTCATATCTCCCTCGACCCAGAATCGGATTGTGAAGAGTTTTATGGTGCTGGTTGGGCTATTACCCAGCTGCCATTTCCCGTCGGAAGTATTGGAATCAACGGAATGTTCGTGGAAGCCATGCCTGTGGTCGGAAAGGGCACTGCCAAACGTTTGCTACGGTATCACAACGGCAGTTTGGTTGGCTTCTTCAGCTCGATTCACATTCTTCCTGACACCGATACTGCTATTGTGGTGCTCTGCAATTCCCTTGCGAAAAACGACGCCGCAGACTGGATAGGTCAACTTCTTCTCGAAAGCATTTTGGATACACCTGAAAAGAACGATTACCTGGACCTGGCCACGAAGAGTGCTGCTGCATATGATGCGATGTGGGATCAGGTTCCTGTAGATCTTGAGAAGTCCAAGTCATCCAAAACAAATGGACGACCACTTTCCGAGTATACCGGAAAGTTTTACAACAAGGTTCGAAAGTTCTTCATTGAAGTAGAGGAGGTTGAGGGGAAACTTCAATTCCGGTTCCAAGGTCTTTCATCGCAAGTTCACCATCTCCAATACCACAACATCGACACATTCAGCTGGCCTCTCACAGAAGTGGAGTCCTTACACCTAGGTCGGTGGCCAGATCTTGATGCCACCATGTATATCTTCTATTTCCAGTCAAGCGAGGATGGTAAGATCAACGGGCTCCGATGGGAACACGATGGAGACGTTCCGGATGGCGAGGTATTTCTTCTCAGGCCGGTGGTCCAAATGGTAGATCAAACCAGTATGAAGCCACTGTAAGTAATTATATGTTCGCTAATAATGCAATGAATGAGCTAAATGGATTTGAGCCTCTAGACCTGGAATCATTGCTGATCAAAACCGGGATGAGCTCTAGGGAGGCAAAGTGCTGCGTACCACCACGCACGGGTAAAAACAGGTACTGCTCGAGCGTTCTTCAAAATGTTTTCTGCTGTATCGAATGGGACTCACGGTAGTTTTTCGTTCTTCTTATTAGCTCTATAGACTCTTATGATGACGTAGCTGCAGCCCGCGCCTTGATGTGTTGCGATAGACAAGGCTGATGGCCATTCCTAGGTACTGGCGTGATCCTACAAGGCAAACTTGCAGCTGGCTGCATTAGTCTGGTGACTCTGATCGGTACCGTGAGAGAGGGGTTGCTGCAGGCTCTGTTGTTTGCTCTCACTGGCAAGCTGCTGCTCGCTCGGGAATACGAGCCAAGCTGACCCAGTCTTTTCAACCACACCTTATCATGGTGAAACCCCTCAACTTTTTTCCACCCAGAACATCATTCACACTCATCATGGCCTCGCATTGTGATGAAATCGCAACGTTGAGATACTTGCAGTGGCAGACGCTTTATGAACATGAGAAACCGTTCCAGGTCTTCTCCGCAATACCTGAACACGCTTAGGATTAACGAAGTACCAATCTTGTCATTGAAGAAGCGCCAGAGCCAGAAATTATCTATGACCTTCGTGGACAAGAAAGTCAATTCTCGCTCGACAAGCATGGATTCGTCGTCCTTCATCAAGCGATGCCCAATACCAAACTTGAGAGCCCAGAGGCAATACGAGACGAATACTTGCCTCCGATTGTGGAGCTGTTGAAAAAGGAGGTGGAAGGTGCAGATCTCGTGCACTGTTTTGACTGGGGCGTGAGTACACTGATCACTAGCGACTCCATTGCCTATTGTATTGATGGAAAGCCGTTCAGATACGAAGGAACAGCCTGCTAGGCTGACAAAGATCAATGTCAACGATAAAATGCAGCGCCTGGAAGTCGCGAAGCAAGTTCATTGTGGTATTACCGATCTTTTTGATGCATATTTGATAAATGCTAACGATATATTCTAGACCAAAGCCCAGCCGGTGCAGTAGGCCGTCTCCTCCATCATCTTCGGGATTAGATGGATGCAGCTCTCCAAGGGCGACTGAGGATTATCAAGTAAGAAATTACCCATATGTACAGTCCAAGCTTACAAGTTTAGCGTTTGGCGACCTATCAACCATCCTGCTGAAGATAACACGTTGACCCTCTGTGATGGGTCCGCGATCGATGACAGCGACGTTGTTGAAGCCGACCACATCACTCGTCAGTATCTAGAATCCACGATGTACGGACTGTTTTCACGAAAACACAAATGGTACTATCTGAGCAAGCAAACCCCCGAGGAATTGTATTTTTTCAAGATATTCGAATCTGATCCTGGTGGAGTTCGATGTTTAGAAAGGTTATTCTGACCTGTTTGTGCCAATGGTCTGCGTGGTCGGCAAATCCCGGCGGCATACCAAAATAAGACTTCCAAAGGACGAAACATTACGCAGATACTGCGGGTAGACCAGAGAGCACTGTGCTTACTTCGTGGAGATGTCGGCACTATCCTGTTCACATTCAACAACGTGGCATAGTGATATGTCACCCTTGACATACTATTAAAGGTATCAAGGAAACACTTATCATTCGTTCCGCTCTTTCGATACTTGAACTTCCAGTTTATCTAGGGAGTCCTCATGAGCTCATGCATATGCCCATGGTAACGCAGAGACCACGGATATTTGCTAGCACTCGTGCTAATCCTCGACCAGGCATATGCCAATGCCCGCCAAAAGACCGAGATAACAAACGTGCAGAGGGGGTATGCCTATCCTGACCGATGCACATGCAGATGACAAGACCAATCACCCTTTTGAACGCCGATTTTCATGATTTCGCAGCTCGTAGAGAAAGTGGAATGATGACAGCAAGCCCATCTGCTTATCCCTTGTAAGACAAGATATGATAGGCCGATACGGATGCTCGTTACTCGCAAGGAAAAGGGAAATACAATGTGGACGGTACACCCGTCTGCTTGTTGATCAGAACGGAAAGAGATGATGAGGACCCAGGGGTTTGTTCTCCGTAAAACTGTCTCTGACGTGTACCATGAGACAAATGAGAGATAAATGAGAAGTAGAACGGTATTGGTCAACTTGGGCTGGCGTGATGCTTCGCGTTCAAGACAAGGTGAGTAAGAGTGGTCTAGACTCTGGTCTTGGCCATGGTGAATGGCAAGATACGGCTTACTGCCTCATTCTCATCGTACTGAGTCGGAAACCCTCCCTGCAAGACGCGGCGAAGCGCATTAAGGCGTTGCGGCTTCCACCATTTGTCGATGCGGACCTCGACGTTGCGGTTGATGTGGACCTTCATGCGACCACCGCTATAGCAAACGCTGGTCTTCTTGTCCAGCGCGGTGCTGTACTTGGGTCCGCGGGTAGGCTTCTCTACTAAGTTATAGGTGTCAGCGAAGCTAGAGTGCAGCGTCTTGCGATCCTGCTTGGAAATCTTTCGCGTAGATAAATTACGCTGGTAAGCTTATTAAGGCTCTCTATAAGCTGGTCCTAGCGGCGGTAGACGGTGTAGCGCTTGACTATCTTCGGGCTGGTCTTGACAAAGCCTAGAATCTTCGTTATCTAAGACTCCCTTATCTTTCTCCTAGGGGGTGTAATACTTTTTGTATAGGAGGGTGATATTCTTGCCAGCTGCAACCTGCATAGTATAATTAGAGCTCTAAAGCTAGTTAATAAAGGCCTTGATAGCGGTCTTAGTGGCAAACTCTATGTCGTTAATTTTAGTAGCAAGCAGTCCCTATTCCTTAAGCGCAGCGACTACAACACATATTCATGAATACCAGGTTAGGAGTGTGGTCACGTGACCTAAAGTTTATAAGGCACGAAGAGGAGTCTGCGCTACTGAAACCTGACTCGGCACTCACATGATGTTGGGGTTGGAGTGCATTAGAAAGGGTGTATATTAGGAGGATTCTATGCTTACTGCCCTATTCAACCATATTATCCATCTTCCTCTTTACGCTTTCGGTTTAGGACAACCGAGATTAGGGTTACCAACAGTAGGCATGCACAACCCCGTCCGCAAGGAGCTGTCAAACTTCGTAAACTGCGTCCTCGCTCCAGCGGCTTTCGCACTTGAAAACCCAGACGCCGCCTTGCTCTCTTGGGTGCTTTGTATGTTGCAAAACGTATTGGCGCCCTGACACGAATCGCTCCCATCTCGATTCTGGCAAGGAGGCAGGCATGCGTTGGCGAAGATCCTCTTACCGTTTGAGCACGTTACGAGAATCTCCTTGCAGCTGGAAATGCCGTCGTCGCAAGTCAACTGACTGTTGCAGGACTGAATCTGGGAGTTGCGTTTGGGGATACCCTTCCCATCGGGCAACCCTCCTGTCGGCTCGAGGTTGAATTCCGCGTGCTCGGCGACGTTTAGGGTAGGGGCTTGCGCTGTTGCTGGAGGCGGAGGTTTTGGGGTGCCTTTGTTGGCTGATGCAGCATAGCCAGTTGAGCCTTCGACGCAAAGCGACTTATCGTCCCAAGTAGCAGCAGCGGCATCTCTCCATAGTCTCTCAATGTTGTAGATGTTGGCCAAGGTGTAGTAAATACGACAATCGGCGGCCTCGTACTTGAACTGTAGAGGCGTAGTGTCGTTCGCCCGGACTTGATCACGGAGGTTTATACCGGCGAAGATTGTGTACATGCCTGATTCTCTCACTTGCGGTAGTGAAGAATTGGCTGTTTGGTTTATGCTGCTAGCGAATTCGATATCACCGTCGATAGCATCCGCAGAATAGGCGCGCGCTCCACGGTTTCCACTAGCAGCTTGCATTGGACCTGCTGAGGGCCTTCCACCAGCGACGACTGTGCGAACGCCAGCCTGGGTCATCATTTCCAGCAAAAGGGAGCATGTCGATGAACATATGCCGTCGGTTAACTGGAATAAAGGTTAGTAGAGTTTATGCACAGTCTGGAGATCGAAAAGGAACTTACTATGGCTATGTCTTCGGGTTTCCACGGCTGTGGTGTAGAAATTTGATTGTCTGGGCCGTATCCGTACGGAATCCATCCGTCAAATGCAGCCTCGCTGTATCTCTGGTCTGAGAGATTGTACCGCTCCTAGAGAAAGCCTCTCGTTAATAACAAACCGTATACGAGTATGAGATAGACTTACGGTTAAGGAAAACTCATCGTCCTGGATACTCAATGGACCAAAATACTCCGCCCAGCTAGTGAACACCTGCTTCGTCTCAGCGTTCAGGCGATCTGTAACAACCCATTCATTCGCAGCAAGAGAATCTTTCTCAAACTCGTCATCATCATCCGATAACGAATCCCAGTATCCGGTGGTGGCACCTCCGATGATGTTTGCTAGTTCATGGCTACGTCTTCTACTACCGGCGAAAGGATCATTCTTGGGGAAGAACTGACTGAAGGTATCAAAGGCCAGCTCCACGTTCCCACCAGTATTCTGCTGAAGATCGATCACAACTCGGGACAGATTGGCCGCTGTAGCGCCATCGATGAATGCTCGTACCGCCGTAGAGAAGTTTCCAATGTTCCAGCCAAATTGATCAAAGGTTGGAATGCTGAGGACCCCGGTAGATATGTTGTGAAGGTAATAGCCGGAAACAACGCCACCTCCGCCAATGGAGAGGTCCAATTGGATAATATCGGGATCATCAGGGTATGCGCCGTAGCTCTCATTGAACCAAGAGGTCGGCGTAGGAGTGTTTGTGGGCGTTGCAGTTGGAACTGCACTGGGGATGCTGGAGGCTGTAGCGGGTTCAAACGATGCTGGGAGCAATCCAAGAACAAAGTAGTTGTAGAAATCACCCCCGGTCGTCAAAGGTCCGGTTGGACTTGGATTGTTGTAAATAGCGAGCCAAATAGTCTCCAAGGTGGTGTCATTCGCAAATGAGAACGTCAAATTTTCACCTGGATAGAAAGTCGCACCACCGGAAAAGGTGTTCAAGAAACCTTGGATGTCTAACGCGGGATTGCTCATAAGTAGATTCCAGTCCGCGTGAGGCTCGAGGGTGCCAATGGAGTTAAGGGCTGCAAATCGAGTCAAGTAGTCGACAGCCTCCTCGCCGTTGATTTCCGTGATTGGGAACGGCTCCCATCCTTGTCCCGGACTGTCGATTAGATCTTCTGTTCTGGTGTTAGCAAGGGTACGAGGAGCTTCGTCGTAAGCCTGTGTACACAGGTATACAGCAAAACATAGTACTAAATAGGATTGCGCAGTGCACATACGTGTAATATATAGCTTGGGTGCTTCTTTGCCATCTTTCGACACGGATGCTATTTCGACTGGACTAGCAAAAGAGAAGGCCGAAAGCACTCCGGCCGTGAGGTCGACATGAGCATCGTGAAAAGCATACACGAGGAGTTGGAGATCGGCCTCGAAAGCATACTGGCTCTTGTAGGTGCCGGCGGTGATGTTCTGCTGGATTAGTCGCAGACCCTCAAGCACATCTACCGCGGGCTGCTGATATCCAGTTGGGGGATCTTTGAGATAGGCGATGGTGCTATGGAACTGAAGGGTAGTGTTGAAGTAGTCGATGAAGCGAGCTGCGACTGCAGGATTGAAGGGGACCGACGACAAGCACGCGTGAGCATCGCTTGCCCAAAACAGAACGGAGCCTGCCAGCGTTAGCAGGACTCTGTTGCCTTCAGACTTTCTTCTTACCATCGTTCACAGCGTCTATGATATCACCACATATGGTATCTGCTGGATTTGCAGCGGTAACAGTGGCCGTGGGACTCTCCTCAATTAACGAACTCGATATAGCACTTGACGAAGTGAAGACAGCACTGGACGAACTGGACACCGCACTGGATGAAATCGAGACAGCACCGTCGGACGAAGAGACTGAAAAAATCGCTGTGTTGCTCGAAATCTCCGAGGAAAGGCTCTGTAACGAAGCGCTCGGGCTCGCCTGCTTCCATGCTAATCCATTTAAGATGTGGCCGCCTATGTTATTCGGATCGCGCGCGAGGGGCCGTGGGATCGACTTGCAGAGCGCGAAGCTCGCGAAGCACAGAAGTGCCGTGAGGCGGTAAAAGAACGACATGTGCGAACAGAAAAGACAAGCATCGGCCGCGATGCCTTGGCTGCATGGCTATTATACATATTCAAGCCTCGAAGTAATACCGTTCCGTCTGCTGCCTTGCGCCGCCGGCTCGTCCCTTAATTTCAAAATCAGCCACTAACCCGTCTCAGCGTCCAAAAAAAGACACAGCCGTAAAATCCAGCGAAGCATAACTAAGTGGAGCCGGGAGCTCACCGGTTTTGGCCCCATCTCACCACCTCCGAGCGCTTCGCGCCGTGTGTGGTGGGCCGTGGTAGGTTGGCAGGGCAGGAGTGGCACTATACGAAGTAGTCCGTGCAGACGTTTGGGGGCCAAACCCCCTAGGCATGCATGGTTAGCGTTCATGCGGGTTCCCGTGGCTCCCAAGCTTGTGTTATTCAGCAACGACTTCTCGAATTTCCATCTGGGACGGCTGGAGTTGATACATACTTGCTTCAGATTCAGTTTGTGGTGTTGCGCTTCTCATGGCTAACCCCTTTGCCATTCGCGCTTCGGCACATCCAGCTATCGCAGAAACGTACTCCTTGTCGTCGGACATCTACCCAGAGCTGTACTCGTTCTTCTTCTCGTCCAAAGAGTTCATTCGTTGGTGTGGAGCTGAGTGTCCCTGGCAGCTACATTGCTTTGGGGGCCCAGGTTCTGGGAAAGTAAGACTTAGGCAAATTTGTAAGCTTTCGTGGCAAGAACCTGTCGCTGACGGCGACAACAGACTACACTATGTGCGCTTGTGGTCCAACATCTCCACGCCCGCTCAGAGAATACTGCAGTTGTGTCTGTTTTTGTCAAAGCGGATGTTCTTTCCAACGAGATAGTCTTCCTTGAAGACTTTCTCGCCACGGTCTACCACCAGATTCATGCATTTGGGCGTGTCGATTATCCGTCCTTGGAGCTTTTCGAAGTATATGAGGATGCGTGTCAGGCCGGAAAAAGATTAGCTGTCCGCATAGAGTTGCTTCGAAAAGCTCTGCATGCAAGACTCTCTCAAGCCGCACCCTATTTCTTGATTCTGGATGGCATAGATCGATGTAGTGCCGCCCTTCGACTTCTCATTGAGCGCGAACTTCAAGACCTGCAGTTACTAGGAGTACGAATCATGGTCTCGGCTCGCCTCCGCGCCTTTGAGAAGCCTCTGGAAGCCACATGTGACACGGACGAAAATGACGAAGTCCTGAAGCTATTTCTTGAGTGTCAGAAATGTGATGAAACAGTCCTGTGCTTCCCTTGCAAAGAACGAGGCGAAGTGTGTCCCATCTGGCAGGTCCTCTCAATTTTCGGAACAAGCCGAAGGATTTGAGCTTACTTTGACAATAGTAAAACTGCTGAATATCTTAATGAGTCCTACGATATTGTCAACTTCGGTATTGGCCAGATCCCTAACCCCAGCATGCGAGATTTTGTCGCCTGGGATCTTGAAAAGGAACACGGTGACTTTGGTCTGAAGAGTCCTTGTCATGATAAACCTCCTCTATCTTCGCTCGGGGCTCTAATTCTTCGAAATCAGGATGGAAATACTCCGCAAACTCTTCTAGAACGCATTCTCGATCAAGCAGAAGGTAACATAGGGATTGCAAAGCTCAGGTTGGACAATGTCCACAATGCACAATCTCTTGAAGACGTTGAATCGATCGGAGACCGCCTACCTCCAAACATCGTATTTCAATTCGATACTGCTATCAGGAACATCGAAGCGCAACCTGCTAGCCAAGGCGATCTTGGCTTGAGAGCAATTGCCGCTGCTGCTGAGAACAATGCTGGAGTCCCTGCGGCTAATGTGGAAAGATGGCTGAGGCCGAAGTTATCCAAATTCCCTCCAAGGAGCGTTGAGGATGTTCTTCAGGCAGCGAATGGCTTTCTCATTTCTGCAAACATCGAAGAAGAGAACATCCGTCTTTATCACACGAGCTTCTTCATGTATGTTGCCCAGAACTACAACGCATCACTTCTGTGGGCCAGGTCGCAGCTACATTTCGATAGAGCCTTCCGCTCACGCACCAATATTGCAAGCCTCATGTCTGAGACTAGAAGTAAAAGCTCTCCGCATGGCCCCAGCCGAGTTCTCAGTTTTGACTCCAGCCCAAGAAGCGATGAATCGGATAAGGACAGTCCATCGATATTGTCCAGGACTTCTACCACTTCTTACTTTGGAGCCCGACGTTCCAACTACGGTTAATCATTACACAACCAATCATTACAAAGATGTAGGGGCAGCTCTTAGTAATCCCGCCTGACTCGCTGCCTGAAATCTGGCCCCAGATGCGTTCGAGGTACGTTGGGGGCTAAAACAGATTAATCGGGCCTGTGGTGTGCGCCCCGTTCCGCCCCCACTCACCAATAAATGGCACCCACCCGTCCACACGCATCCGCCGCTTACCTAGTAGGCCACCATCATTTCCGATCCAACCCAAGACAACGCTCCTGCCACAATGATATGCAGGTTTTGCATTGACAATGTCTTGATGTCTGGGAAATCGTGGGGTTACCATCGGAAAATTGTCGAGCAACGGGAGAGAGCTGCATTGGCGAAATGCGTGTTTTGTTCCGCCCTCATTAAGGATTCTGGGCTTGCTGAGCAGGGCAAATCTTGGCCATTATACCGATGGAGCATGCGCTTTCCGGGTCGAATTCGGGAGACCATGCACTCGATTGTAATCACCTTCCGTCCGATACTAGAAGAGGACTCGAACGACCATCACCCAAGGTTTACAGCTCGTCCTGATCTTGTGTTTTACATGTTCCCCGAGGAAGGTGTGTGTTGTACCGAATCCTGGAAGAGAGCTACTGATTGGTGCTTTAGAGCTCGGAATCATTCCCAGTGTAGAGGACGTCGGTAGAAGCACGAACCTAGAGTCAGCAGGTGCACAGGTCAAGAGTTGGGTCCAGCAATGCGATAACAATCACGAAGGATGCTCTAAACAGCGGCTTCAACAAGCACGCTACGGATCACTTCCAACTCGGCTTCTTGACGTTGGCACGGAAAGGACTGGGCACGTAAAGCTCATTGAGACTAAGAAAACAACAATCAAAGGACCATATGTGTCCTTGAGCCATTGCTGGGGCACCATTCCTTTCACCACACTGACCCCCAAGAACCTAGAATCCTTCAAAGATGGCATCGGGTGGGAAAAGCTCTCTCGGAATTTCCAAGATGCCATCACCGTCACACGCTTTCTCGGCATTTCATACATCTGGATAGATTCTCTGTAAGTTTTTCAGCGACGTAGAAGTATCTGGAATCGATGTGTAATGTCAAGCAGATGTATCATTCAAGGTCAAGAGGGAGACTTTCCAGCCGAAGCTCCATTCATGCATCAGTATTATCGAAACGCATACTGTAACATTGCCGCAGCAGATTCACCCAATAGCACAGGCGGGCTTTTCCGAGGTCGCCATGCTACCCAAATCCTTCCGGATAAGTATAGTGTTGACGATAAGTCAACGATATTTGGAGACAAAAAATGGAGAATCGTCAATCAAGACATATGGCATACCCAATTGCTCAAGACCGTCATCTATACTCGCGGATGGGTCTTTCAGGGCAAGTTATAGATAACTCAATTAAATGGTGTATTACGTCTCACTGACTTGACCAGAGCGGATGCTCGCCCCACGCATCATTCACTTCGCTAAAGACCAGATCTTCTGGGATTGCGCCACAATGAGCGCGTGTGAGACTTTTCCATCTGGACTTCCGCAGCCACTGGATACTGCTGCGGCGACTGATCGGCACTGGCGCGGAAGACTTCAAGAAACCGGATCTATCCGCCACCACCCATTAGCCGGCGCCTCTGACGACTCTTTGGAGCAATTTTGGATCTCCGCAGTTCGAAATTATACAAGCTGCAATCTCACGAAAGGAAGTGACAAGCTCATGGCTGTTTGGGGCATCGCGAAGCTTGTTCGAGACGCTTTAGAGGAAGAATATGGTGCTGGCCTGTGGGCGTACAGACTTGAAGAGCAACTGGCCTGGAGAGTCTCCGAGTGCACCTTGGACGCGCGCCCTACGGATCTTCGAGATAACCCGTCCTGGTCTTGGGCATCTATGAACGGTACAATAGAGCTCGCTAATCGCGTAGTACAAGTTGCGTACTATGAGAAAACGGACCTTCACCAAACGCCCAAGCTTGTGGAAGAGCGGCATTACGGTGTCACAGATCATCACGGGGAACCAATTTCGTTTCAATTGATTTACGGACTGAAGGCCAGTACAACGCAAGATTCAATAACTGACGGCGCTATTGGGTCCAAGAGACCAAAACCGGGCCGGGGCTATAGTGCTTCGCAGAATGACCCTGACCATCAACCGCGACTTGTTTCCAAATCGATCGAAATCGAGGGTTACATTGGTCATGCGGCTCTTTCGCGTCATGGGAACGATAGATGGACTCTTTCTTTGCCTGAAGAAGGGAGAGGACTGATCAACTCAAATATTGAAGTCTTTCCTGACACGAAACCCAAGTCCCTGGACACTGCTTTTGTGGTACTATCGGCAAGCAAAATTCCTCGAGACAGAACCATACCTCGGCTGGATGCTTTGGGCATTGAAACTGTCTTCCAGTATTTCGGAGTTGGGATTACCCTTCAACGGACTGCCGAGAGTGGTCATTATGAGAGGTCCGGGGCATTTCGCTTTCGCAATCTCAGCGAGGAGATGTGGCAGATGCTGAGGCCTGACACAGCAAATCTTAACGGCTTGCTGGGGGATACGAAGTTTTGGCTGGATTGATAGGCCCCACGAGATGGGCAAACCATTTCAACAATTCTCTGGTTCCGTCTATAGCCAAGCGCTACTCATATCGCACTTGCAATAGAAGATTTGACAAAACTCTGGCAATTTCTATCTGCAGCTCTAGAACTGGAGAATGAAAACTTTGCACAATCACGTGCTTCCTACCAGCTACGAAAGTTTGCTGTGCAACGTTTCTCGGGTTCAAATGAGGTTTTACACACTAACATGCTTATCATTCATACCGCACACATATAACGTGACAGTTCTCCTCTGATTAGATGAAAGCCTTATAGAGCTTCAATATGCACTACGCGTGCTCCTGGAGGAGATAAAAGTCACGTGATAGCACTCGAATCTATCACAATCCTACTCCGACTGTAATAGAATCATTTTCGTTGGACGTAGTGAAGAAGATTCGGGCGGGGCATAAAGATCCCTAAGACTACGAAATGACACAGCTAATCGGAACACTCAATCATGTCTGCCGGTCTAGAGGCTTAGAGAAGGGACTTTATATCCCTTTTCGACTTTAGAAGCAATCTATACAGTTTATAGAGCTTAATGCATGACAAAAATCAATACGTGTGCGCTCGCGACTGGGATGATTCGGTGAACCTCGCCACGACGAGAGAAAATTTGGCATTATAAATTGTTACGCGAGTGGGCCGCTGCTTTCCTCAACACCATGCGTCACGCTCACCGGGGCAGAGCAGAAGTAGCAGCGTCATCGCAAATTTTCAGTTTTGAAGGGGTAATGAAATGGATGAGTGGATCACTGGCCCAGCGTCTCGACGATAAGCCGTGGACTAGGCTTGTCCCGGGCCGACGAGAACCAGGGACAGGAAAAGACTGCTCTTTCTCAGCACCAGATTGCGGCCAACAAAGAGAAGTACAAAGCAGCTCACTTCCTTCGCACGGTAGGTTCTAGTCATCTCTTGACCGCAAAAGTCTTCATTTCATCTTAGATAGGGCACTGCGATTGTGTCACCGTACTTCTCACCTGTCCAATCTTACTACATTTCTATCCGATATCATCAGCGCACATTCAATTTCATCGATTCTGATCTCTCGATGCCCAGCCGTCTTTCGCGGCAGATGGATCCATTCCCGGAACTCCAGCTGCCGGAGTCGCGAGTGCTCATCATCATCACTGGTACGATGCCTCCATTCCATCTTCCAGGACAATTATTCACGGCGGAAACAGGCGGCACAATATGCATGAGACGATCCGACGACGGCCTTATTCCCGTGAGTAGCTCGCAAGAAGGACGAGGCGAGTTTCATTTTGTATGCTCCCAGCCGTCAAGCCAGTGCTACCGTATTAATAGACCATAGGCCAAAGGCTTTCTGAGGGCTGCGCTGGCACCACGGCCCTCTTTCAACGACAACTCGTATCAGGACCCACTGGAAATCGTTACAGACGACAAAGGAACTCGCAAGGCTGTCCAAAGTCTACGAACGCCAATCAGCGCCTATGACCGTCGCGTGCGGTACTCAGTGCTTGAATTCGACGAGCTTCTAGATAGTAGCTCGATCGACGCGGCTGGCTGGGACCAGATCGCAAGAACTATTTACCGGAACTACCAGCTTTTCGATGGCTTTGTGGTTCTCCATGGCACTGACTCCCTAGCCTACACGTGCTCCGCACTTAGCTTCATGCTTCAGAACTTGGGTAAGCCGGTCATCCTGACAGGATCTCAGGCGCCGATGATGGAGTTGCAAAATGACGCTCAGGACAACCTTCTTTCTTCTCTAATCATTGCTGGCCATTTCATGATACCCGAAGTCTGCCTTTTCTTCAACTTCAAACTGTTCCGCGGCAATCGCACTACGAAAGTTTCAGCCGAAGACTTTGATGCATTTGCGAGCCCCAACCTTCGGCCACTGGCCCAAATATCATCACTCAGGACCAACGTGCAATGGAACCTCGTCTACCGGCCAACTACAGTACACCCGTTCAGCATCCAGACCAAACTCGACACATCTCACGTGGCATGTCTTCGAATCTTCCCTGGAATGAAGCCGGAGATGGTGGATGCCGTGCTCCGTCTAGAGGGGCTCAAAGGCCTCATACTAGAAACTTTTGGAGCAGGAAACACGCCAGGAGGACCCGATTCGGCCATGACTCAAATTCTCGCGGCTGCAGTGAAGAGGGGGATAGTCATAGTAAACGTCACTCAATGCCTCAGTGGCAGCGTCAGCCCACTGTACGCGCCAGGCACAGTGCTAGGACGAGCAGGAGTCGTGTTCGGGCAGGACCTGACGTCGGAAGCTGCTCTCACAAAGCTTGCGTATCTCCTTGCGCTGCCCGAATCGACGCCCGAGGAGGTCGCGAAGCGCATGTGCATCTCGCTGCGCGGTGAGCTCACAGAAACTACGCGCACGCATTTCGAACACCCCAAGAACGGCAGCCTGACGCCCGAGCTGTCCAGCTTGACGGCGCTCGGATACTCGATCCAAGCGGGCGATTTGCAAGGAGCACGCGACATCATCCGAGGAGAGCCCCGCTGGCTGCTGAACGATGCGGATTACAACCTGTCAACTCCAGTTGTAAGTAATGCTTCCCATTGCCTGAAGAGGAGCGTACCCGATAGCAGCGAGTCGGAGTGGTCACAGTCGACGCTTGTATCGCCAACGCCTGTATCCTGCACCGAGACACCGTTCGACGCACAGAGCCTAACGAGAAAAATGCACCAACTCTCCGGTATCGGGCAGGGTCGATGTAGCGGGTGAGGGCGGACGCTGCCATTAAGACGAAACGGTGCGACGGCATTATCTCTGCGCAGCATGGTGCCGACGGCGAGACTACGCAGCTCCATTCACAGGGCTGCAAGGCTCGCTAAAGTACCCTGCTGGGCCCCTCGCTCTGTATATCACCTACGTCCGCCGGAGCTTATTCCGAGCGAACGTAACACCTCCCAGACCAAGAGCGTGCAAGGATGCTTGATGGACGACAGAAAATGCTGACTTGGATAGCATCTCGCGGCTACCGGGCGGAATGTCGATATCCTCAAAGACTTCCTCGAGCAAGGTGCATCGGTCCACCTCCGCAACCGCGAGGGCCACACGCCGCTGTACTTGGCGGCGCACGCGGGCCTGGCCGGTCATGTGCAGATTCTGACTGATGCCGGCGCCCATCTGCACTCGGACGAGATGGCAGCGGCGCGCCTGCATGCCGAATCGGGCGGCGATGCGGCAGTGTGGGCCACGGCGGGCGTGAGTGGTGCTGCGGCGGGCTGAGGGCGCGTGTGGCTTGTGGATGAGCATGTGCGGGGGGATCTTTGGCAAGCTGGGGATTTGTGAGGCGTGCATGATACATAGCTGGGGCCAGCAAGACGGCGAGGGTCTGGGGATGCAGTTCGTGGAAGAAGTTCAGCCACTGCAGGAGCTCGAGCTCGAGGCGTGGCTCTGTACATACATAGTAAACAGCCTCCCTGCTGCGTCGACGCACGCTTGCAGCCCCACTAGCCTCTGTGGGAGCCTCTGCAGGGGCAATTCTGGTGATGGCATTCGCGTTATCAGTGTCGAAAATCTCGGCATGCCGACGCATTCCGCGAGTCCGACGTGAGGATATTCAGAATGTCGGGCTCAGATTGTGCCATGGCCGCGATAGGAAGCTCGGGAACGCTGGCATCGACGCTGGGCCGTACGATGGCCTCATATGGCCTCAGCGACGGGCCTGATGGCGGCATCGAGGACTGCTCTAGGGCTGCCGTTCGGCGTCCGAATCAGTCCTCTTCGGCATTATCAGTCCGCAATGCTGGCTGCATGTGTGTATCAAAAAGCTTGTTTCTCGGCTGCAGGGCGTGTGGCGCTGCGAGCAGACGTCGCAGGCCCCCTAGCCTGCACCATTTGCTGCCCGTCTCCCGCACTGGAGTACCACGCAGCACGCTCGCCAGCTCGACGTCGGCACCGGGCAGCAAGGGATTCTAGCCGGCGGCGACGAGGCGGATCTGACCACGCCCTGTGCCGCTCGTCTTTCGATGTCGCTCCTGGAGTCGTGCAGCTTCCCCGCCTTTTGATGCCCGGCCTATGGGTGCAGCAGAGGCAATCACGAGCAGACTCGCCATCTCGCAGCCCTCTTGCTCGATATGCGCCCGTCCTGGCTCCTCGACGCTGGCAGCCCCGCCGGCGCTGACAGCAGGATAGCTCCATCTGCTCGCAATTCGCCATGGCCTGTTTCCATGACTTGTTATTAGGTAATTTTGCCCAACACATTCTGCTCAACGCCCTCCCCTAGGGATTGACTGCCCCGTCGAGTGACACTGCCATGGCTTTCCCTCCGTCTTTCTCCTGCGTCTCCGATGCTGCTGTGCGCTTTATATCGGACGGCCCAGGGCCTCGTTGCCGGGCTGCGAGACCACAGCGGCATTCCTGCTAACCTGCTCTTTGTGCGTCGTCGAGCTTCCAAGGAACCCGTCTCCCTTCTTCCTCACGCATCCCCTACACCCAGTAGGCCCCACCAGTCCGCGCCCACATTCTCTCGCCAGCGCCGTTTTGCACCGCACGTGTACCGCTGGACTGGTTCGATGTCTGCACCCTGAGAACAATTCCCCGTTTCGCCGCCAGGAAACACGTGCCCCGTTCCACGGTCCGCTGCAGTAGCACACCGACACCGCCAGGCCCAGGAGCCTGTGTAGTCACACCACGCAGCCCGAAGAATCCCAATTTTCCACTGTTATCGCATCTCCATCTGCCTTTCACTGCCGCCTTATATCTCCACAACCACTGCCTCTAAGCCTCCTCGCCCCCCTCATCCTTGCACACTCCGGCTCAGCCCTATCTTCTCACTCTCTACTGTCTCCACCGCCCTGTAGGGGAGGCCAGGCCGCCAAGCCTGCTCCGACCAGGGTGTCGAATCCGGTCAAGCTCCCGACGGTTTTGAGCAAACTTTCCCTCGACTCACTTTCTTCCTTTGTCTACCATCTTTCCACAAGTTGGCCCTGCAGGACTCGATCCTCCGTATGCCTACTAAGACCATTGTCACCGTCAACAGCAATGGGCGCCAGTCGGCAAGCCTCATCCGCGTTGCATCTGCGGTAGGATGGCAGGTCCGCGCTCAGATGCGTGACAAGAACGGAATAGTGGCTGAAGAACTCTCGGAACTGCCCAACGTCACTGTCTTCATCGGCGCCTTGGAGGACCCCAAATTCCTGGCGAACCTGTTCAAGAATGCGCAGCTGGCCTTCATCAACACGACGCATTGGGGAGACGAGGTTGCCATTGGCCGGTCATTAGCCGATGCGGCGAAAAAGGCTGGAATCCAACACTACATTTTCAGCAGCATGCCCGATCACTCCATCTACAATGAGAACTGGAAGGCATTGCCGATGTGGGCGCAGAAGTACACGGTTGAGAACTACATTCGCCAAATCGGGCTTCCAGCCACGTTTGTCTACTGCGGAATCTACCACAACAACTTCACCAGCCTCAACTACCCGCTGTTCAGAATGGAGCTCCAAGACGACGGCAGCTTTGTCTGGCGAGCACCGTTCCATCCCGATATCCCCTTGCCATGGCTGGACGCAGAGCATGATGTGGGTCCAGCAGTTCTGCAAATCTTCAAAGAAGGTCCGCGGAAGTGGGGCGGCAAGAGGTAAGCCGTATCTCCCTCCGTCATGCTCAGCATCCCCACCCTTCCCTTTACCCCGTCTTTCCCCGACTTCCTTAGTTCCTTAGCCCCATTACCCCAACTTCTCGAGAAATGGATGACTCGTGACCATGAGCTCACATCGGGTGTTCTGAATCCTAGTGTCGCCTTGGCCTTTTCAGAGCTCACTCCCAAGGAAGTCTGCAGAGCCTTCGCTAAGGGCCTTGGCCGTCGCGTCAAGTACAACCGCGGACCAATCGAGATCGCCGTTCCTGTGCCAGCCGGTTACCGCCATCATCTACAAGCTCTCGAGGACACTCTAGGTCGCCAATCCGCGCCGTACTTCGGCCCCGAACTCGAGAAGAACTGCACCGAGCAAGCGCTGGAGCTGTGGGAGGGCTACCGAGACATCGAGGAGTACGCCCGCGAAGTGTTCCCCGTGGAGGAGTCAGCGAATGGGTTGACGTGGATGGAGGAGGGCGAGACGGAGCAACCCGAGGTGGAGTTGGATTTCCAAGGCAGCTGCTAGAAACTTCTCTTTTGCATTGCGACGGCGTTAACATTCCGGCAGGCCCTGGCTTGTAAAAGATGCCGGCATTTCATTCCGCCTGGTGATGGCGTTGGCGACCGGATCACTGGCTAGTGACTGGGTAAGGTTGGCTGGGGAGGCTCTCTGCTCAGCTAGGGCAATTTGGAATATCCATTTCTCGGTCTTTGGTGCTGGTTTGATGCAGCAACTTCGCTGGTCGTATAGAACCACGTCGGTGCATATAGCGTGAGCGAACAGTGAGACTCATGCACGGCTTTACCAAATCAATCCGATTCAACTCATGGTTCAGGCCTGATGCTGAGAATGCCTCGGGACGACACAGCGCATGTCAATCTCTACGACTTGGTCTTGGGCACCTCATAACACTAGCTTGAGCACCATCGCCGCAACGAATCGTACACGTCCACCTTCTCAAATATGCAGGTTGCGTATCGCTTGCAAGGTTCTTTCTTCAATCCGTATCCGAGCTCCACGTTGCAGCTTACGCCAGGAGGCCCCAATCATATGCGTACAACGCCTTGCTCTTTTCGAGGCATGCATTCTTAAGAACTCACTTCTTCCCCTCTTTTCTGCCTTGATCTGTTCTAAGCAATCTGTTCAACTCTCCTACAGCAAACAATTTCCTGACCCCAAACGATCAGTCTTACTCTTCGAACCGCATAAAAGCCTCCCTTCGATTGCAATATGCCTACACATGACTCGTCGCTCGCTACCTAGAAAGAAATGCTAATGGAATCTACTCTCAGCGGCGCAAAGGCGGCAATGTCGCGGTAAGACCGAGTGCTGGTTCATGTAGCGCATACGCTTACGGATGTATGTAGAACTTCCCACCTTCTTCGAAACGCAACCATAAAGGGCCAAATAAACCTAAGCCTCAGCCGAACTCAAAAAGGCATGTTTAGAATTAGCAGATCAACCTGGTGGGGTGAAAAAGTGATGGGATGGGCAAGAGCTTTGGACAGGATAGCACTATGGCTGTAACAGCTTCGTTCATGCGCAACACAGAAGCAATGAATACAATAGCCTACTATTCAAATTGATTCACTCTTATCCTGACGACGCGAGAGTATTCGATGCACGTGACAGTTTGTACCCTTGCACCGCTTAGTCACCCAAAATTCGTAGCTCGCGACCCTCACCCATCTCCAAGTCGTCCATCACCCAACAATGGCCACCCAACCCGCCTCAATGCGGCCCCTCGCCCGCCTAAACCCTCTCCTCCGCCATGCGCGCGCCTGCAACCAGCGCCGCAGCTTCCTCTCCATCACGCCGGAGGATATCCGGAAGCACAAACCGCTGCCGGGGTTTTCGTCGCTGAGTACGTCCACCTCTCCTATAGCCCAATGGTCCTCTCCTATTCCCAAAAGCGGTCTCTCGACCCCGAGAAACGCCAATCCCACTTTCTCTAGAGAAGTGAATACTGATACCGTCCCCAGCAAGCCCCCGCCAACCCGTAAAAGTAATCCCCACCTTCCCCCCCCGGCCCGCGCCCAAGCACACCTGCCCGGATCCCGTCGCCTTCATCGAGGCCACCCAGCTTGCGCAGCTCGACCCCACGGGCGCGCGCACGCGGCTGTTCGCGAAGTACAACTCCGAGGGTGCCAAGGTCGGCGACGTGCTGCTCGTGCGGCTCAAGAACGGCGACCCGTTCGCGGGCGTGTGCATCAACATTCGGCGGCGCGGGGTGGACACGGCGGTGCTGCTGCGCGGGCAGCTGACGCGGGTTGGCGTCGAGATGTGGTATAAGATCTACAGCCCGAATGTGGAGGGCATTGAGGTGGTGCAGCGGATGCAGAAGAGGGCGAGGCGGGCCAAGTTGTATTATTTGAGGTATGTTGTGGTTGTGCTCTTGGTTGAGGGAGGGGGAGGGGGGTTTGGATTGCTCGATGGCTAACTTTGGGGGTGCAGGCAACCTAGACACGATAGAGGCTCGGTGGAGAATGTGGTGAGGCAGTATATGAAGACAAGGGCGGCGTTGGGTGTGGGGACGGAGAGGAGGAAGGAGGCGGGATTGAAGCAGAAGAAAAGTAAGGGGAAGAAGAAACAGGTTGCGCCGGCGGCTTGAGCGCTGTGTATTGCACACTGTCGTAGGCATGCATAGGAAGGGGCGCTGGGCATTGGCTGTATGATATGTCTGAGCTACTGGAGAATTAGGTTCTCGAATGTATATCACCTGTATGAACGACGCCTTGTGTAGCTACTTTTGGTGGCAGACACAGATCCAAGGGGATAAACCACATCTGAATTGTATTGGGCTATCGATTGCTAGTAGGGTAAAACGGTTGTTTTCTTGCTATTGGCCCAGCCGCCTGTCAGAAACCCCTGCAAGCGTCGACGCCTTCGCAACAAGCTCACATCTCCCACCACCTCCACCTCTCACGAGCCTCTGTACACGCGTATCCTATTAACTTTGTTGATTCAGTAACATAGATACATCAACATTACTTCTTGCACCTCTCAATGCCGTGTCCTGCACTCATCCCACGCTCGGAGCTCGACTTCAATCTCTCCAGCCTTGCGCTCACCCTCTCTGGCCCCAAAGACGACCGCGAGCGGCTAGAGCATTGCTGGGGGATTCTAGATTGCGGTGACTGTCACCGAAGTCAGCATCATTGTGGGTGGTGTCCGATTGTAAGTGTTGTGTAGTTCTAGTGTAGTTCTGGCGTTGACTTCCTCTCATCGCGTGATCACGGCCTTTTGTTAGAAACCATTAGCTCTACTTCATTGTGTGCACTTCGTCGCAGAAAGAGACCAATTTCCTCCTTTCGAAACCATAAATAAAGTAATTTCGTAAAAGTTGCAGTGATATGTATTTCGGGTTACCCGAAACATAGTATCTCCTACGTTTCCCAGACCGTGCAACCTTTCTTTGAAGAGCCTTCCAAGTCCATCAGTCGTCCTATCATACTCCATCCCACCTCTCTCTCTCTCTCTCTCTCTCTCTTTTCCTAACCACGAAACCCCCTTTATAAGCTCCACAGAACCTATATTCCATAAACCTCCCTCTTTACCCCCCACCCCCCCCCCCCAACCCCCCCCCCCAAACTAACATTCCCACTCCTAGTCCGGAACCTGCCTCCCCCTCCCCCTCAACCCGCTCGCCCGCGCCTTCCCCCTCCTCTCCCCCATCTCGCACCACCACATCTGCGCCCTCGGCGCCGAGCGGTTCGAACTGCGCACCGCGGGATTGGGCTGCCAGGTCTCGACCATCACGTTCTTGACCAGCATCGTTACTATTCTTATCACTCTCGCTGTTTTACTTGGGAGCTGGCTGCTTATCAGGCTGGGGAGGTGGGGTATTGGTGTTTGGAAGCGGGCAAAGGGCGGGTGGGTGGTTTATGGGGATGGGAGCGAGGGTGTTTGGGTTAGGAAGGGGGAGGGGTGGGGACCGTGGTGGAGAAGGGTGAGGGGGTTGCAGAGGGAGGAGGAAGTTGTGGTTGTTCATGGGGAGGATGGGGAGCAGAGGAGGAGTTGGGCGGCGCGTTTTGGGATTGGTGGAGGTGAAGGGAGGCGGGGGGAGGAGGAGGAGGAGAGGCCGTTGCTTGGGGGTTGATGGGGGTTGGATAGTTAGGTTTGATATTGTATGACGCAACGACGCCTATTAGGTACTTGTTTTATCCCTATTTATTGTATTTACTCCCATTACTCCCATTACTCACACTCCTAATGACTCATCCCACTACCATAAATCTGTTGGCTGAAAAAGTACGCCCGCCTAAGATCAGGGGGGCCGAAAAATGAGAGACGTTACATATTCCAACAAAACCCTCCCTAAGTGCGGGCCGATGTATGAGCTGGAGAGAAAGAGGATTACCGCTAGAGCGTTACCTACTGAGTTTACACGAATATCCGTCCAACCTTCTTGCTTGTATGTCGACTGCAACAATGGGGAGCTGCATCTGCCATGCATCGCCGCCCTCGCGTGTGAACTCGCGAGACTCTGTAGAGCATAACATGCGGGGGGCAGTAGCTGGGTCAATCACGTGTTGGATCTCCACCGCTCGAAGTATTTACGATGAATTTCCAAGAAGAGGAATTGCGTGGTATCTAAGATTACAATAGCAATAGCGACAGACAGCGAGCATGCTCCGTCTAAAACATATTCGTCTTAATCTCCGTCGTGACCACAATCTTCTGATCCAGCTTCCCGCCCTTCCCCCCCACCGACGCCTCGCTCTCATCATCCACCGAAACGCCTTCTATCTCAACCGAGTTCAGCCCCTTAAAGCCGTGCACAATCGCATCCCGCGACCCCGTGCGCTCCATATCCTCCAGATCCACAGCCGCCTCATGCTCCGACTTCCCCGTGCCATACCACCTCCTCCTCTCCCTCTCCCCCGTCCCCGACCTATTCTGCATGCTCTTCTTAACCGACACAAACGCCTTCCACCCGAAGATCTTCCTCAGCAGCGGCCACCAGCACATCAGATTCGCGACCATGACGCTCACACTCGCCTCCCGGATATGCCACACCATGTACACCGTGGTGCCCGGCAGCGTGAAGTTATAGTACTTGTTCAGAAACGCGGCCAAGATGACGAACACGCCCATGCTGAAGACGCCGAGCAGCGCGGCCTTCTTCGCGGGCTTGACGCTGGCTTTCAGGATCATGGGGATCGGGATGGCCAGCATGAGCGCGTCCGAGGAGATGTTGAAGACGGTCTGGATGATGCAGTACGTGTGGTAGGTGGTGCATTGCGTGCTGTAGGGGAAGATGGACCAGTACTGCGAGAAGGGCCGGCAGAGGATGAAGAGGGGGATTTCGGTGGCGATGAAGCCGACGACGACGTAGCCGATGACGATTTTGACGAAGAAGTTTTGGAAGGTGCGGCGGCTGCGGGGGGTGTTAGCTTCGGTTTGAGGGGTTTTGGGATCGGAGGTTTGTAGAGTGGGAGGATGGAGAGGATTGAGGTGGATTGAAGATTTTAAAGGATGCGGAAATTGAGGGGCATGTGAGATTTTGAGAGTTTGTAGAGGACATTGAGGGATGTGTAAGTTGGGTGATGTATGGGGGCGGGAGGGATTGTGATACTGAAATTTTCGGAGGATCGAGCGGCTTGTGAGTGGAGGATACTGAAGGCTAAGGAAATAGAAAGTTCGGACGAAGTATGGGAGGTATGGGAAGGTTGGTTGACAAGTTGGAAGTTGCGAGACTCACCTCATCTGGTAACTTTGGAGACAAGTTAGATCTGTGTTGTATGTGTCATGGAGGTTAGGATAGACTTACTATAGCGTACACAAACATGCCTTCACGCCCCATAATGTAACCAGATAGCATTGGTTAGACCCAACCACAATTTTGCTTCCACGGATCCGGCTGGCAACATCGTGAGCGTTCGCGAGTATCTCTGCGCGCATGGCGGGGTCATATTCGTTGGTGCCAAAGTGACCAGATAGCTGTATGAGGATAAGGAGCGTGGTATAGCAGCCCTACGCCTATCAGTATTCAAAGGCCGTATGTGAAGCTTGTGAATGTGCTAACAAAGGTCACGATCATCACATAGTCATCCGGCTGGAGGTTTAATATGGACTTTTTCGCAATTGCTCGCGACCATCTAGTAATGTTAGGACGTGGTAAGGTAGTCATAAAGTTGATATACTTACATTCGCCCGATGAAAAGAAAGAAGCTAATCGCCCAGAACACCACGGACTCAACAATCAACTGACGGGTTGTAGGGTCAGGATGCATGTTGTTTTGCGTTCTTCTTTATTCCGAGGGGTATAATATGGTTTGCCTAGGGCGAGTAATCTACAGGCGTCCACGCCCTGAATATTCCAGAAGATTGCATAAATAGAAAGACGAGTCCCAGTAGAGAAGGTCTGCTCGTAAACACGTGGGAATGTCGACTTCGATCCTGCCGGCGTCTTGATATAAACCCACAGCCATGGAACCGAGTCGACCCCATGCCCTGATAATCCTCCCGGGGGGGTATTGGAGAAAGATAAGAAGAAAAACGACTGATAGACACTCAAAGGAAGTGCGCCGTGCCGCAGCACCAACGGGTGAGCAGTGCCACAATCCACTAACGCAGAATCATACTGTGGGCCGCGGTGTGCCGCGGTCAGCCCCAGAGTATGTATGATATGAGAAGGCCTATCCGCCTCCAGGACAAGAAAATGCAGTCACCCAAAAAGGACTCGGCGTGCTTCGTAGGGAGCCAGGCCCATCTCCTTATCATCTTCTCCCAGGCCTGCGTCGTGGGGCCGCGTTGACGACAATGTCCATACCGCTATAGGAAGGGCCAAGTCGAAATTGCAAATAGCGGGAGGATGGCCGCGTGGGATGGCCGCATGCACACGTAGAAACTAGGCGATCCCCCTCGAACGGGCCCGCGCCGAAGCGCAAGGGGAGATTCAGGCACAACATGGCACCGCGTGGTGGTGGCGGGGAGAAAGTCGATCCCTGCGGCTCGGAGGGCGCCGATCACCGGATGGCCCCAGTGGCCCCATGCCCACACCAGGAACACGGCTTCACAGCATCACGACAGGCCTGACAAGAGTACCTCACATGGCCAAGCGACTTTGCAGATGCCATTAGCCTCGGGCGTCCTAGTGTGTGTCTCGAAACAGTTCACACCGAAATAGGTACCTCAATCCAGGCCTACCCACTCCCCCTCATCGTCCATATCCTCGCTGTCGGGGCCCAAGTCGCTCCCTTCGTCCACCTCAAACTCTAGTCTCTTCTCCTGTACCTCCTCTCCAATGAGAGGTTGTGCGAGCAGGTACTCGATCCTGTACACATTCTCGTCTGCCAGTCTGGCCAATTCGGTCTGAATTCGAACAACAGCCTTCTGTAAACTTCGCAGTTCTGCGTCCAGGGTGCCCTTGTTCTCTTTCAACCATCGACCGTGCTTGCTCAGAAGCGCTTCGATCCATATCAGGTTGAACTCAAGATGAGGGCTCTCGTCCGCCTGCAAGGCTGCAAATCGCAACAAACGTGCGAGATAGACAGCGGGCATGTCCCTCACGACGAGAGGGATATCGGAGATTGGTGTAGCCTCGTAGACGCGCCGAATAAGTGCGCGTTCATTGAGTCGGAAAGCCATGACCAGTGCTTTGAGAAAGTCTCGCTGCCTCAGCGTCTCGAGGGTGCTTTCGGGTGTGACAGTGATATCGAGATCGAACGGATCAAACAGAAGGGCAGTGTCCAGGGAGTAGATCAGCAGGCCTTCTGTTGATGCTGCACAGAATGCTCTGCCGGTGGGCGCAAATGCAACAGCAGGGACGCGCACTTCCGGTCTCGTCCTACGAGTGGCAGCATCCCCGCGTGTTGCACCAGGCAGGCTCCGGTCGAGGCGATCCTCGAGGTCAGATGCCTCCCCCTGATCGTCAATCAGGCCTCTCGGCCCAGCCTCAGTGAGAAGCTTACTGTTCAGGAACTCTTGCGTTCCATCTAGAGATAGGTTGACCGAGACGGTGTACTTCTTAGCCAAAACACCTGACTGCACGTCATACAGGCAGATGTACTTGCTATTGCCTCCAGCTAAGACACAGGTGCCGTCAGCACTGTATGTGACGGTGGTGAAGCTTTTCGTGCCTGCTACGTTTGCAGCAGTGCGACGATCCGTCAGTTTGCGACCGCCAGAGACATCACGACGAGCGTCGATTCCGTTCTGTTGGGATGCCTCGGATACGGACCAGAAGGTAAGTTGGCCATCGAGAGTTGTGACAGCGATCTGTTTCGAATCGGGACGGAAAGCAACGCATAAAACGTCAGCCATGAGTTGCAGCGGCTCACTGGTTTGAGTTCGCGCGAATATACTCCATATCCGGACCGTGTGGTCCCAGCTACCGCTGACCAACGCGCTGCTATCTGGGGCGAAAGCGAGTGACGATACGGGTCCTTCGTGGCCGGTGAGCTGATCTAATAGCTGGCCTGTTTGGACCGACCAGATATGGATATCGAACGAGTCGATAGATCCAGCACATATAACCTCTCCGCTTGGATCTACAGCCAAAGATGAAAATGACAGCCTAGTTGGGGCAGTGAACGTCCGGAAATTTCGATATCGTATGAGGTCCCATGCTCGGACTGAGCCGTCGAGACTCGATGTGAATAGAACGTTCCCCCTCTTTGCGAATTCGCAGGCTGTGACGCCGCTGGTATGTTCAGTGAAGGTTACAATGCAGAATCCAGAGTTTACGTCCCAGACTTTGATCTTCCCGTCGTCTGCTGTGGTGATAATCTTTTGCCCGTCTGGAGAGTACGCAATGGAATTCATCGAATCGTAATGGCCCTGCTGCTTCAGGATGTATGACTCGGACTGCCACTCCCAAACTAAGAGCTGGCCTAATTTTGACGCGCCAAAAGCGAGCCATTCACCAGTCTTGTTAATGGCTACATAGTCGATGTCGTTTTGTGAAATACTGCAAAAATCAGCTATTGGCCATGTCTCCCACTAGGAGAAGCATACCTTAGAGTTTGGATCGTGCTGAACTCGGGTAATTCGTAGATACCGAATATGCCGTTGGAGAATCCCGTCACTAGGAGATTCGATTCGGCGTGAAATGCTGCGCACGTTACGTTGGCGTTATTTTGCATGAAGTAATGCCTGTCGGTAATTCTCCACTGCATGTTATCGTCACCCATTTCTGCATCCTCTGTCGCATTTGGTCGCAACACGTAATTCCACTGGAAGAGTGCGCCGTCTTTGCTGACGGTGTATATCTACGAAGCGTAAGCGGTCAGTTCTGAGGCCGCTCAGGACATCAGTCGTACCCACCGTTTCCTGGTCTTTTGAGAACCAAGCTCCCACGACCCCTTGTCGATGGCCACCTAGTGTAGTAGGTACGAAGCCTTCCTCGGGATTTAGACTCCACATCCTGGTGGTCAAATCTTTGGAGGCGGTCAAGAAAAAGCGCGAGTCTCTCGACCATTCTATGCTTTGTATTTCGTCGAAGTGTCCTGCGTGGGAGTGATGTCGTACGAAAGGCGCAAACTCAAGGTCACCGTCTGCTACGTCAGGTGTTGATGGTGTATGCCATACTTCCACTCTCCGGCCAATGGCTACGGCGAAGTGTCGACCTGAGGGCGCAAACGAGAGGGCGGTCACTTCGCCCTTGAAGGCGAAGTGGTAGAGAGCGACTCTCCGGGGGAGGTTGGTGAGGATTGCGCGACCATCTTCGTCGACGGAGAGAAGAAGATTCCCTCGAGGATTGAGGGCGAGGCGGGCGATGTTCCGTCGGTGGGCGAACGGGAGGGTATATGACTTGTTACTACAGCACAATGAGCATTCGTGGCGTAGAAACATAACGCGAGCGAGTTGTTTTCATACTTGACGAGATCGAACACAGAGACTCGATTTCCAACGGGCGAAAGAAGGCAGGTTCCGTCGGGCGCAAAGAGCAGGTTGCCTCTGCTGTAGACAGTGCCCAGCAGATTGGAGAACTAAGGCGCGCATTAGATAGAGTGAATCAAAAGCGGTCTCTTGGCACTTACCTTGAATTCAGTCTTCATACTGAGGGTTTGAGGGCTACTCAGACATGGCCGGGTGTGTCGCGGGACTCGCGGCGAACATCTCGAACTTTTTTCTGGTGTTGCAGAGCTCAGGCCGCGCACCGACTTTCTCTCGCTCCACTAGCGTGCCTTCCCCAGTGGCCGTGTGTGGTTGGCCCGTGGTGCTTGCCGAAGGGGTCCAGCGCAAGCAGAGAAAGGGGAGACCACAATTCATCCCCAACACCACGCAGACAGCATCCTCTCCTCCCGCAACACCCATCACCTCGACTGCGACCCGCGCCCGAGTCCAGCCACCGCTCTACAACCATAGTCCAGTGAATACACCTCGCCTCGCACCATGCCGTCGCCAGCTAACGGACGCAACCCCCAGGAGCCGCTTCCCCAGACCAACACGTCCGTTGCAGAGGACCCTCACATCGCCATGGCCGAGTCCGCATCCCCAATTGGCATTGCCAATGTACGTCTAAATGCTGCTCTCTGGTCTGCTGTTTTACTGACAATCACTTCCAGCTGCCTAACCAACGGTTCGTCCCGTCTTTGACCTTGAAAAATGACCATCCTAACCACACAACAGCCACAAGATCGTTGCCAAGCGCGGCGCTGCTTTCACCATAATGGTAAGCCTGTAACCACTGTATAGGCTGCCTGGAATGCTTTGGCTAACTGGCGATAGGTGGCTGGCGAGTCCGGTCTTGGAAAGACGACCTTCATCAACACCCTCTTCTCCACGACAATCAAGAACTATGCCGACCACAAGCGCCGACACAACAAGCAGATTGACAAGACTGTCGAGATTGAGATTACCAAGGCCGAGTTAGAGGAGAAGTTCTTCAAGGGTAGGCTAGCATCGATTTCATGCTAAGGGCGAATTTATGGCTGACTTGTACCAGTCCGCCTCACTGTCATTGACACTCCTGGATTCGGCGACTACGTCAACAACCGCGACTCCTGGCAACCAATCATCGAGTTCTTGGACGACCAGCATGAGTCGTACATGCTCCAGGAGCAGCAGCCTCGCCGCAGCGACAAGATCGACCTCCGAGTCCACGCCTGCCTCTACTTCATCAGACCTACCGGACACACCTTGAAGCCGCTTGATATTGAGGTTATGAAGCGTCTTTGCACCCGAGTCAACTTGATTCCAGTCGTGGCGAAGGCGGATACCTTGAGCCCAGCAGACCTAGCCAAGTTCAAGTCAAGGGTACGTCTACATTTACCCATATTAAAATGCAGACCTAACACCACTTTAGGTCCGAGCTGTTATTGAAGCCCAAGGCATCAAGATCTACCAGCCACCGCTTGAGGAGGATGACGAGGCTGGTCTCCAGCACGCACGCAGCTTGATTGCTGCGATGCCGTTCTCTGTCATTGGATCCGAGAAAGATGTTCAGACCAACGACAACCGCACCGTCAAGGGCCGCCAGTATGCCTGGGGTGTGGCCGAGGTGGAGAATGAGGAACACTGCGACTTCAAGAAGCTCCGCGCCATCCTCATCCGAACTCACATGCTCGACCTGATTCACACCACGGAAGAGAACCACTACGAGGCATACAGGGCAGGGCAGATGGAGACGCGGAAATTTGGCGAGGCTCGTCCCAGAAAGCTGGACAACCCCAAGTTCAAGGAGGAAGAGGAGGCCCTTCGCAAGCGATTCACCGAGCAGGTCAAGGTTGAGGAGCAGCGATTCCGATCGTGGGAGCAGAAGCTCATCTCCGAGCGCGACCGTCTCAACAAGGATCTGGAGCAGAGTCACGCCGTCATCAAGGCTCTGGAACAGGACGTCGACTCTCTGCAAGGCAGCCTCAACCGCTCTCACGGCCGCCGCTAGGTTGCTTGCATGTGCACGCTTCTCTCCGTTTTCTCATTTTTGCTTCAAGATACCTCTCCTTTCGACTTCTTAGGTTTCTAATGGCGTGGCGTATAGCGACAGGAGGCTTGACTTCCTGGAGGCTGAGAGCATGTTCCGCGCTGCTTAGCTTCAGGGAGGGGTAAAGTTAGCATATTGGTGTTTGCGGGAACGTTGTGTGGTGACGGGAAAAATAGGGACCATAGCACACGGGTACCTCTTCGGGTCCTGTAGTTTAATTAGGTTCTGTAAGGCTGGTCCAATGGTGTGTTTCGTGTTCTCGTGTCAGTCAATTGCCTGTGATGTATGATTTGTAGCATAAGGTCGTCCTCATTCCAATCTAACAACTCCAAGATCTGCTCTTTTGCCACACGGCGTACCCATTCAATGTGCCTTGCAATCGACTTTGGGTCCTGAGTCGGCCGCACTCTACACTTTTCCTTGAGAAAGCGGTCCCTAGACGCGAGGTATCGCCTCGACGACGTCCTCGACTATCCTCAGCCCCCTAATAATGCCGCCATTCCCAAATCCGTAATTCGCTAAGCAATGCTGAAAACCCTCCCCATGAACATACCTCATCTAAGCCCCAACCCCCCAAACGCCCGATCCAGCTCCTCCCCCTCTTTACTCCCCCTCCCCACCTGCTCCCGCGCTTCCACCTGCTGATCCCGCATCTCCACCTCTCCTATCCCAACCTGCTGTGCCCCCGCCCGCTCCGGCACCAGCATCCTCACCTCCTCATCCAACCAGCCCGGCGCGACCCGCCTCTTCTCCGCCAGCTCCGCCGCTCGCCGCCGCTCCTCCCACTCTGCGACCGTCGCGCGCGCTTTCTGCTCCAGCATATTCAGGTGCGCCTGCAGTGCGCGGCACGACGCGATGATGTCGTCCGGGTGGGCGGCGTGGCCGGAGGCGGAGAGGACGTAGGGAGTGCGGGTGGTTTCTTGTTGCTGGGGATCCACGGAGGGGGGCTGTTGGGGCGGCATGGTGGTGTTGGTGTTGGTGGGGTCGGTGATGGAGGGGGGGAGGGTGGAGGGGAGGGATTTGTAGGTGTAGGGGAGGGTGGTGGCGGCGGGGAGGGAGAGGAAGGGAGAGACGGTTAGGGGGAGTTGGGCGAGGAGGGGGTGGGGGTCTGTTGGGGGGGGTTGTTAGCTGGGGGGGTGAGGTTGAGGGGGAATGGGGGACGGACGCTCGTCGTGCATTGGGGTTTCAGAGGTGGGTTAGGGTGGGGAGGCTGTGTGGAATTTGTTGGGCGGCGAAGCTTTAGGAAGGACTGGTTGGTGAGGAAAGCGTCTGGTGCAGCTTTGGAGTGGACGATAAGGTGCTGTAAAGGTTCGCGGAGAGCTTGTGGAGTGGTGTTGTTACGGAGGGTGGCTTATGGAGGTAAGACACAGGTCGCGGAGATAGAGAATCGTCACGTGGCCAGCCCAATCAAGGTAAGAGATACCTCGAATCAATTGTTACACGTAGTACTCATGGTATTTTCAACGCAATATGTGTTCCCTCGCTTTTCAATCGTAGAAGTCTGCGATTGCTAACAGCTAACAGAAGATACGCTACTTAGAATCCACCACCTCACTGAACTTCCGACGCACGATATCAGTCTTATCGAGGAACAAACATTCCGAGGGTCTCATCTTGAGAGATCGTGTTCAGTAGCCGAACACAGTTGGTTCCGAAACGATGTAAGTAGTCGGCGTTGGATAATAGAGCTGGAACTTGATGCCTGGATCAGTCCCCTTGTAAGCACCAGGAAAGCTGACTCCTAAACATTCCATATAGAGCTGCGCACCAGTGTAAGAGCTAACGGCATGTACGAAGTAGCGCGATGACTTCGGCTCTCAATAGGAACCTGGGAACTCAGCAACTTTTCCGGTTCGTAAATATAGAGCGGTTCTGGTGCCAAAACAGTAAGTCTCTGAATACCTTTCTTCGCGTCCTTCTGCATTTGGTATTAGCAGCACTTCATGTAAAAAAAGTCGTGGCACAATATTTGCACCACTGGTTTACGAAGACGTATAAAATGCAGTGGCTTGCCTGACCCAATATGATGCATCGCCCATTGTTCTCGCTCTACAATCGCAATGCACGCGCCTCTCTTTTGCTTGACTGTCATCGCGGCCCTGTCACTCGCCAGCAGAGCGAGCGCAAGAGCGGTCTTTGCTCATTACATGGTATTCTGCCCCCGAATTGTTCTTGTATTCGACCGATGAGTGCATTGCAAACTAACAAAACCCTCAGGTTGGCACCGTGACGGATGAGCATGCCCACAAAGACATCGAAGATGCCAAGAAGATGGGCCTAGATGCATTCGCCTTGAATATGTCCGCTGCGAGTTTCTGTTCCATTTAGGTTGTCAGTGTTGACTGAAACAGCGGCTACCCCCAGGCATCTTTTGTTTATCCTGCGCTAGTGAGCCTCTTCGGCTACGCCGAGTATGTCGGCTTCAAGTTGTTCATCAGCATGGACCTTTGGGCAGCTGGCGACGTCAAGCATTCCGATGGCACCAACGTATGTGCAGTGCTGCCACTAGCGAGGCAACATGTTCCCATTGACGTGCATGTCGCAGGTCAACGCATTCGACTATGAAGATTTACTCCGTCAATTTTTCCCATCTTCTGCCTACTACAAGGGACCCAACGGATATCCTTTCCTGTCCACCTTTAGCGATGGAGGCATGAGCAACGATTCGTTTGCGGGATTCAGAAAGCTATTTAACAACCAACTAATACTTTGTGCCTGATCTAGATCACACAGCGGGGTAAGTTTGCTTCCGTTACCTAGATTGTAGCCTCGTCTGGTCAATGCTTACTTGAGACGAAAGATTCAACACTTCTCATCCATACTGGTGGGACTACTGGGGACCGATATTTGAAGGAGTATCAAGCTGGGAGAATGCTTGGGTAAAGCGAAACGGCTATGGTGTAAATATCCAGGAGATGTTGTGAGTGAACTGCGGTGTAAACATATGGCTTAGCTCTAACTTCGTACTAGGATCTTAATCAACAAGTCATCAGTAGATCATCTCTTGGACCCGGGACCAAAGGCCATGGAAAATCGTAAGTTTGTACCGAGTCCTCCGCTCTATGAAATGTTACGATTGACAATGTGGATGTATAGATATATGATGCCTTTGAGCACTCTCCAGTACAAAAATGCATATTCCACTAATATTTATCGCAACGGCAACATTGGACTCTCAATGGAGAACATGCTAAAGATGAATCCGCGACCTGACTACATACAAATGATTACTTGGGTAAGTAGCCATCCTCTCTTCAAGACTAGCAAACTTTACTAACGCGGTACTTCAGAATGATGGACCTGAGTCTCATTGTATGCATTGACTGTCTTCTTGAGACTACCCAGCGAGTTTTGGCGGGCGCTAATTAAATATTACAGACTTCGGGACTTTATGGCCCGAGCAAAATACCGACTACGCCCCGTCCATATATGCTTTTGACCTAGGATGGTCCCAAAATGCGTGAGGCATCCTTTGAACTGAAAACGTCGAGAAGCGACTGACGCTCGTGTAGACGGCAGCCAGTTCTAGCCTCGTTTATCAAAGCTTTCAAGCACGATGGTACTACGAAAAGGGATATGGTACCTCATCCCAATTTTCAGATTCGTGGCAGTTCGAGAAGAGATCTTCCTGAGGATATGCATGGTGTGTTGATGTACAAATCTATCATGCTGAAGACGAAATGCCCTCCTTTTGCCACTCCTCCGGAGGGTTATGATTCCGCCCATGACTTTCTCAATTTTACCCTTACGATTCCCGCTGGCAGTACGGGCTGGAAAATCAAGGGGGGTAGTCCGGCTCAATCCTTTCCTCTCCAGGGATGTTTGAATCATGGTGTCTTTACATTTACCGAAGCAGGCCACCAGATTGTGCAAGTGTATGATAATACAAATAAAAATGTTATGACGGCATCAAGTCGCAGATGTATACACGAAGAGTATGTATCTTCTTGCCCTTTTGCATTGGCTCTAGCACTGATACTTTAATAGCTGTCCGGACGGTGAATGGGTCCTAAATCATCAGACCATACCATTTCTCGAAGGTGCGGGGGATGCGGACGCCTGTCTTTCTGAGAGTTTTTTCAAAAACTTCCGAATTCTAACATCCCAACCTCTAGAACTTGTAATATTGTGTCAGACGACCCGGCAGTTGTCTAGGAAGCAAGCAACGCAGGACAGTATCTTGAAGCCTGGATCGACAAAAATGGCGCACAATGTAAGCCTAATCTTGCACGTGAAATTCATCAGCTGATTTGTATAGACATTTCCGATAGTATTCGTAACTTTTTGCTGGATAACGGAGGCGAGAACGGATCCCAATGCGCGGACCTATTAGAAGAGTATCCTAGCGACACGTGCGACGAGTACCCGAACCCAAAAACTATAGGATTGCCTAAGGCTGTTCTAGAGTTATACTACATCCAGCGCGCATTGCACAATATTCACGACTCGCTACGCCATATGGATCACGACATGGACGCAATCCACATGGATGCAACGGTGAACATCAAAGGCGTAGTCGACACATTCGGAGCCAAGCTGCTGACACCAAGGTGTTCGTCCAATGCCGCCGAAATACTGCAAAAGCTGGGAACTGCATTCGGCATTATCGGTGGGGCGGCAGCTATCAACCCAGAACTGGGCGGCGTTGGAAGCGATTTCAGCTTTACTGGTTCACTCTTTGGCTTAGCTGCGGACGAAGACGACCCGGAGACGCAGCTGCAAGATATCTTGGAACACGCCGTCGATTCGCTAACGACGGCTTCCATTGGCTTCTTCACTGCATATAAGAGCAATCTGGAGAAGCTCCCCGCGCGGATATTCACTACGGGGATCTTTCGGTTGTACCCAAGTGGGCGTTAAATGGCGGCGCCGGCTTGCCTGGGCTGCTGTCCAAGGGAAAGTTCTTGGAGGTGGCGACGAACTACACATCCATGCGGGAGGGCATGACCAAATACCACAACGAGATGGTCATTGGGACGCTGCTCAAGTCGGCGGGCGTCTACGTGATTGTGGGTTCCCACAGCCAAGAGACGTGCAAGTTCGACGGCTCCTTCTGGGAAATGACAACTGCCACGCCCTCGAGTACTCGGGCCCTAGCCCAGCGGTCTCTAAAAACCTGGCTGATATTTCTGTCTACTCCCAAAAGCTCGACGACGCCATCCTCCAGAACCTCACCGACTACGCCGTCGATAAGTCCAAGGTCATCCGCGGCTCTATCAACTGCCAGGCGGCTAAGGCGACTACGACGGGCTGCCAGAAGCCATGTACTACGCAAAAAACAAGGACGATGCTCTCCCTGAATATCCCCAGTGCTTTTGGAATTTCCCCGTCTTCAACGTCGGTCCGTTCAGCACAGCCCATTCCGGCGAAGGATACCGCCGTTCGCCATGCAATGTCCGCTGGATAAACGCCACGGAAACTGGGAAGGCTAGTGTGGGTATCAACTACTTCGCGCCAAACGGCGCGGGAAAACAGTTTCCAAGCATTGGTGCTTCCCGTGCGCGTTTACAGATGACAATTCACCTGCTTGCAAGGAATGAAGCGGATACGCCGCATGGGATCGAGGACACGAAATCTATTTCGTGTGTTGGCATCCGGCCAATTTTCGTATTAGGTCTTCAAACACTGCATCTCATAGACGTTATCTTCTTACGTATATACTCAAATACTGCATTCTCGTACATATTTCTTCAAACTCTCTTTCTCTTCATCAATACTGCGCCATAGACCCAAAGCTAGCCTCACTAACCCCCGTAAGGAGGGATCTAAGTAGTCCGTGTATCCTTTTCTCGTTTGTCAAGAGCAAATGACAACAGTCCTGGCTTCGGCGTGGGGCCGTCCACAGGGTTCGGCGATGGCCGAGGCAGCGCGACTCGCTGAACTTCACTAACTGCATCCTATCATCAACCCACCAGCTAAGGACCCTCGGAGGCCTCGCCTGGGTCACTAAATGGAGAACTCGATTCAAAATCTCGGTATCCCGAGTCATCATCCTTGTACATAACTGGAGAAAGTGGAGAGTCCCCAGGATGAGGGGCCCCAGAGGGGAGGCGGGGAGAGCAGGGGTGTTCCAGACAGACAGGCCACTAGATACCGGTAGCTTGGGATGTATAAAGCCCATTCTCCCGGCGTTCATAGATCTGCGAATTCATACAGACTCTATCATCCATCTCAAGTCCAGATTGGGCTTCCAAACCCACATCATGGTCACGGCAAGTCCTAAAACCACGCAGATTCTCGTAAGCGTCCCCACGGCTCTAATTTGTTTTATCAGCGAACTCAACTGACGAATGTAAATAGATCATCTTATTCGTTACATTTGGAAGTTTGACATACGGCTACTCGTCTAGCATCATCGGCACGACTCTGGGACAGCCATCCTTCATCGCGTATTTTGAGCTTGCTTCGCGCAAAAACGCAACACAGTTGGAAGGTGCTATCAATGGTCTCTTCCAAGCTGGAGGTCTTATTGGCGCCTTGTCATGCACGCAAACAGCCGACATTCTTGGGCGTCGGAAGGCGCTGTTCATCGGAGCGATCTTCGCCTTGATTGGCGGTGCTTTACAAGCGGGAAGCGTCAACATTGCAATGTACATCGCAATGCGTTTTATTACTGGTCTCGGAGTTGGTAGGTACATGGATTACTAGCTATTTTAACTGTTGATGCTGACGGATGTCTCAAGGTCAATTGGTCACGTTAGTTCCGTTATACCAGAGCGAGATTGCTCCTCCTAAAATTCGTGGTCTCCTAGTCGGCACACACGGAGTCATAATCTGCTTGGGTTATGCTCTTGCCGCTTGGATTGGGGTTGGTTTCTACTTTGTGAACGCATCAGGAGCGCAGTGGAGAATACCACTGGCTATTCAATGCGTGCCGCCTTTGTTCCTAGCTCTGGGAGTCATGTTTATACCAGAGTCTCCTCGATGGTGTGAGTAGCACCATTCTTCTTCTCTCTCAATGGCCGAAACACTCTCCTCAGGCAGCTAATCGTTTACAAGTGCTTGCACAAGAACGTGTTGAGGAAGCATACGAGTCTTGGGTATCTACCAAGGCGGAGGCGGCTGACCCAAACGATGAGTTTGCGGTGAGGGATGAATTTAATATCCTCCACGCTCAACTTCTACATGAAATCCAAAATGCAGGCTCTTTCAAGGACTTTTTTACTCAACCGTCCCTTCGAAAGCGGTGTGTCGTGGGTTGGCTCGTCATGTTTGCCGGCCAGGGAACAGCAACACAAGTCATCAATAGTCAGTCCTCCACATCGTATCGGCTTACTAGCGCTAACGATTCAGACTTCGGACCGTTGCTTTATTCCCGTCTTGGCTTTGGAACAGTGCAGCAACTTGTTATCACTGCCGGGTGGGTTACTGTTTGCCCCGTGGGTAATTGGATCAATGCCATGGTTCTAGATAGATTTGGGAGGACGAGAATGCTGAGTAAGTGTCTACATCTTGACCACTTTCCTGGCCCTAACAGTTCAAAGTGTTCGGCTTTGCTGGCTGCGTCGTGGCGCTCATTGGAGAGTGTATTACGGTCAGCATTTTCCAGAGGACCGGGGATCCGAAGGTAGCTTCTGCCGCCGTATTCTTTCTGTTCCTACACATAGGCTGGTATGTAGCTCCGAAAGCACTTTTTACATCGCTAATCCGCTCCATTGCAGCTTCTCTACTTCAGTAGACGCCACGTCATACGTTTACGCATCAGAAATCTTCCCGACCCCTAGGCGAGCTAAAGGATTGTCGATATCGATCTCAGGCCTGTTTACTGCAACCCTGATTTTCCTGCAAGCAGCACCGACCGCTTTCGAGAACATTGGGTGGAAGTACTATCTAGTGTTCGTAATTGTAACGTCAATCATGTTCTTTGTGGTGTGGGGCATCTTTCCGGAGGTGAGCAAATTACTATCCCATTTCAGGCGTGAAACATGCTGACATACATCGTACTTTAGACAAACAAGTGCTCATTGGAAGACATCGCAGAGGTCTTCGGTGATGAGGTTGAGCACCCACTGGGTACGAAAGAGGAGTTTGACCCCGCTGAGAAAGCAGCACATGAGTATAATGAAGGTTCCGTGAAGGGATAAGCACGTTTTCGCTCGTGTACAGTCCAGTCAAGATTGTAGGCTAGTATAGGAATATAGCAATATCCATAGACTAGGGAAACTATAGAACCTTTCGATAGGACAGATTAATACACTTCAGTTTCTCCATGCAAATCAGACAACAATTGATCTTCTGAATTAACGTCTCAAATCAGAAAGCAAACCTTTATTCGCATCTCATGCCCGTAAAAATATTTCCAAATAGAGCGAGCACTAGTCTTGATGCATAAAAAATGTTAGTGCCTACATCCGCTGAGCTTTCACGTAATCTGATACATAAATCTTCTGGATAAGTTGAACACGGAGGTAGTCTTCAAATATCTATAACGTCAAGCCGAAACTAGAAGATAGCAATTGCATTCGGCGGACTCCCTACGCCTCCGACAACATTGAGAGGCTGACTAGTTACCAGAAAAGACCATCTGCCCTCTTTCTTGCATTGCTTAGCGAGCTGCTCAAGGTCGAAGAGTTCACCGATAGGTAAGCCAAACCCGGATAGGATAACCTCATGCATTCGATACTGTTCCTTTGAGTCACCCAATCCAGCACTCCAGGCTTCAAACCCAGGGTTGTCGCCTGCAACAGCCGCAAAATGACTATTCCATAGCCATTCGAGCGATTCGACAGAGCTCTCAAGCCCTGGATAATGAAATTCTGGCGCACCCATCAATTTGACGAGGTCATCTTCGGGCATGTTTTCATATCGCGAAAGAAACCCTATCCGAAGTTCAGTCTTAGCTCTGCACCAAGTGAAAAATGTGAGTAAATCCTTTCGCTCACCGGTTCTTAAAAAGAGGATATCGCCTGCTAAGAGGGACACCCCCTGAATTCTTGCAATCTCCTCCACGGTGGCAACGGAAATTTTTGTAAAACTCCAAGGATCGTAGTCTAGACCTTTCTCAAGAGCGTACGAGTAATAGTCGATCAGCACGCCGCGGCCAACGATGCCTTTCTTAGTCCATTCATGGATGCCATTGCGAGTCGAGCTTGAATTCCGCACGTCCTTTTGCGTTACCCCGTTGTAGAATCTCCCATCCGGGTATGACCAATGCCGGAAGCCATCCCACTGGGAGCTGGTTTGCGTGTTGAAAGTAACTTTGTCATCCTGAACACGCGGTAAGTATTCAGCGGAGCTTTACAAAATGAAGGGCTCACGTTGATGTTCTCGCCGATGCTGAAAATCTCATGTTCCAGCTTGGTTCGATAGGCCGGAGGAACAACCATCTGGTGCATTTCCCAACTCAAGCCCACAGAAACGCCACTCTTGATTTCCGCCGCCGCAGCCTTCACACGCGTTGGAGTGAGATGGTTCAAGCACCCAAGCTGGTCGGTTTCTCCCCAGAGACCCCATGCTGAATGTGGAGGATCCGATGGCCGCAGAGGAAGCTCTTTAAAGGAGGGAATACGGGTCGGAGAAAGAGTCTCCGTGGTGTCTGCCATAGTGCGTAAAAAACTTACACCTGGAATGCCAGTGCCACATCGTTTGTATATATCTAGCTGGGCGATGGGTAGCTTGTGTCGCCCCACAATACCTGCTCCGCACGAGACCGCACTACCCCACTCCTCATGAAGTCCCGGAGAAACTGGCGCGTTGGCGCCGTCGTAGCCGTAATGGCATAACTATTGAACTAGGCGTTCGGGATGTTCGGCGTGTGCCGATCTCAGTGGACTTCCAAACATTTTGTCGAAATGCTTACCTAATGACACACTGTAGTTCTAGAGGACTGGACGCAAGTCTTCTTAGCATCTAAGGATGAATGCGAAACAATAAAAAGCCCCAACTGATGTTGCTGTTGAGGATAGACCGAAGTGAGTAGAGTCTGAGGTTGCTCACCTCGGTGGCTGTCACGTGTAGCCCCGCTTTATGGACCAATCACAAGTGTGGCCCGCTTCCCCCTCGGAACGCACGGACCTATTATTCGGCGTCACTTTTGTAGGTAAGAGAAACTTCACTTGTTCCTCGCTCCGCATTCAATTGGCATTTGAACAACCCTTAACTGTTTTTAATGAGGATGAAGACTACGACATTCCGTACTTCACAAGTACTGAGTCATCGAGTGTACCAGCGGCTGTGAATTGGCGCTGAACGCCACACGGCCGACGTGACCGAAAATCAGCAAAGGCAGGCAGCTTGCCAACACGGCCATGACCAGATCCCATGGATGACTCATTTCTTACTACTCCACGCTGAAATCGAGGTCGGTAAATGCCGAGCACCTTCTTTTCCCTATGTTTCGAGCCGGACAGCCTCTTTTCGTAGCCTGGACAGTAGTACTTCACTGCCTCGTTCACTTCGCAGTATACAATGCGATGTTGAATTCCTCGCTCTTACGGCTGTAAGAACGCAGCGGAGAAGTAAAAGCCCTTCACCTTGTCAGCTATGTGGGGAACGTTGCTAGTCGTACCTCCCGGCATAACGACAGCACTCCCGAGCGTGTAAGTAGTAAGTATATATGTCCTATTCTCTCGGGCTATTGATGTTCCTGCTTCTTTCTACCCCTGTCGAGTTACCCAGACGTCTCGTCAGGCTTTCGTTTACCACATAATCCTAATGGTGGGACAGAAGGAGTTCGAGATCACCATTACTGGGGTAAGCGTTGCTGGCTCAGGAATGGCGAACATGCTTTAGGCCAATGGCATCGACTACATAATCCGAGAGGATTATCCAAAGATTGCTCCTCAGGTCGAAACCAGTATCGGACTATTGAGTCACGGAAATCTTTTTTGGATCAGCCTGGTCTGTTAAACTAAGTCATGGCCCTCGCACCACCTTTCGACTCTTCTAGCTTCCTGAACAAGCATAAGTTATGCTAAGAGGAGTCCAGGACATAAGGAATGCAAAGATTATTCGAGGAGCAGTAGGTGGATAGTGCCCGCACCTCTAACGCTGTGCGGACATAGCGAGCCCATATTTGTTCCTCGATCCGCAGATGGTGGTAAAGTTCTTTTCGAAATGAAAGACAAGACAAAGGTTTTGCCCGAAAAAGGTGTTGCATATCGGACAGTCTATGCCGAGCTGCTGATCACTCTTCGACTTGAAAACGTTGATATTTTTGGCCATCTACACCCTGGACCTCAGAGAAATAGACCGTGAGGATACTGACATGGACCCTGAGAATATCATAATTGGACAGAGTTCCAGTTCTTGCCCTGGGCGCATCCGATTATCTGAGGTGGCGGCTCTTCGGGGGTTTCAATCGACACAGGACGTTGGTTCTCGAACAGGTCATGGCTTGTGGCAAAGCGGACGCGCGGACGACATCTCCAGGGCTCCTGCTCAGTTTAACATTAAAAATTTCGTTCTCTACCATGATGCTGAATAGCCGCATCCTCAAACAAATTTCCATTCACCGAACCCAGGAAATAAGCCGTGCGAATGTTTTCTGGAAGTGGAGCTTTTAAACCATATGATCACGTTCTCCACGCTCTCCACAGAGCATTCAAACATCGAGGCCTATAGATTACGAGCTCAGTCCTTGCCTAATTGACGATACAGGTGTTGAATAGGAATTTATCAAGGATGTCCAGCGTCATCACACTATCACATATCCTATTAGCCACGTAGCCATTCTCTCAAGCGACAGGAGCAGTTCAGATGGATGAACACCTTCTTAAAAGATGCAGCACTGTCAGAGGAACTGTCAAGAACCCCTTGGCCGGTCGGCAGGTGCTGCACAGCACCTACGTCTTGTACGCCACCTTCTCTTGTAGCTACCTAGTGTCTATCCATCCTCACCACCACCACCACCACCATCATCATCATCATTCATTACAGAGTATACAAGGAGCACAATACCTACGTTGTGTGATAGGGTCCAAGGCAACCCTCACTACTGGAGGAAGAGCCGCCCTTCTTATTTGCCGGTAATTCGACGCAACAAGCACCACCGGTTGGATCAACTCAGCGTGGGACGATGGATGGCTCAGGTCTAGGATCCACGGCCGCGAACCACTCGCAACAAGTCTCGGCATCCATATCCAGTGTTCAACCACGGAACAGTTCTCACGCCAAGATGACCCTGAGATGCGCTCTGATGCGCGCTCTGATGGCAGCAAGAAATAACTCAGCGTATTTCTGCCCCAATTACCTTCCCACACCACCTTACCGCAGCCCGTCAAGCACGATAGCCCGTCAAGCAGCTCTTCAACTTCCACTTTTCCAAACCAACCCAATACCAAACCAATACCAACCAAATAACCAACCAACCATCCTCTACACTATGGCGAACAACATCAACTCTACCAGTCGCCCCCAGGCCACCCTCCGTCCGGCAGCTACCCAAGCCTACATCCCTCCCTCCGATGCCCCCGTCTACCGTATCCACGCATTCCACTCCCGCTGCAACGAGAAATTCGCCGCTGTCCTCAATCAGAGCGTCTTGGATGTCAGTTTCGACGACCTCCGCGAAGAAACACGCCAGAAACTTATCAAGAGATCCATAAAAGAGCTCACACAGGCTCTCCAGGCGATGCGGGCCCACCGACAGCAGAAAGCAGAGTCGAACAGCGATGCCCGCTGGGCCGAGCTTGACAAAGAACGAGCTCACCGCGACAAAGTTGGCTGGATACAATCCTTCCCAGACAAGGTCGAGCGCCAACAGCTTGAGGAACTGGAACAGCAGCTCAGCCAGCTCCGATTCGATGGGGAGAGTAAGGGCCATCAAGGCAAGAAGAGACGTCTATGCAGCGACGACGCTTCCAACGACTTCGTCCACGAATTCCACGCTCTCTCGAACAAGAGGTTCGCTGCTGTCCTTCAGCACAGCTTCGATGAGGTCAAATATGACCTCCCGGAAGACGATCTCTACGAGGCGGACAGGCAGGAGTGCATAATCCAAGCTGTATTGAAGCTCAAAGACAAGCTTAAGACTTTGGAGACCCGCCCGTTACACTACATCACCTTACGGCGCCGCACGAAGAAGAAGGACTTCCGCAAGAAGCAGCTTAAAAAGGAGAATCAGGGGGATGATCAGCTGGAGAACCACCCATTCATACAGTTGAAAGCCTAAACCGGGACCGGGAGAATGAAGCCGAGGGCGGATACCAACAGAAGAGCCAACGCACTGGTTGGGCGTCTGAGGGGACGATGAGCTTGGGGGGAAATTCGAGGACTGTGAGCCTGGCTGGATCGCAGCAGCTCGTTGAATGAAGGCCGCTCTAGGGGATTTCTTACTGGCTACTTAGCGGCGTCTTTCAGGATTGAATGTAGTGGTACGTGCATACAAGAGCGTTGGTCGTCATAGCTGTTCTGAGGGGGTTTTCACCAGCGTGGGCTGGTTTCCCCCTTTTTGGAAACATGTGGTCTATAGGTAGCCTCTGCGTGGTCCCTCATGGGAGCTAGTATTAGCGTGAGCATTATATCTATCTATCGACACACGAAAGTCCAGGCGAATGAATCTGATGACCTTCATGTGACTGCCAGTGGTTGACGACCAAGTGGCGCTGTCGGAAGTGCCCTGTAGTAAGATGGAAATCACAATAGGTATGTCTAGTTTCCGAGGCGTAAAGCGCGAGGTCAGAAAGCAAGATCGTGTAAGAAATTTATGACGCCGTCGGACGTGCCTTAGCAGAGCACGAATATGAAGACGAGCTGTACAACTCAGGACTCAAGATAGGTCTTCTGGCATTCAGGGAACATTTTTCGTTTCAAAGCGCCATTTCCTAACGCGCGTATCCAACCATGGTTCACACTTCCCAAAACAGAACCTGCCACGCTCCCACTCCGCCAAAGCTATATACACTTTGCCCGCAATCCTCCACAACTCAGCCTCGTAGCCCATCAACTAGACCCCAATCCAACCTCAATCTCCTTCGCCTCCACCTCCACCGCAGAGATGGAACCCATGTTCAATCTAGTCTTCGGCGCGCCCCTCACCGACGCCGAACGCACCGCTCAATCTGCCCAGACTGCCCTCCGCAACCGCCAATCTGCCCACCGCGCCCAATGGCGTAAATTCAACGCCGATGCCCGAAAAGACTTTGACATCATCCTCGCTAGGAGCGACCTCGGCTCAGACGTTGAATATGAGCGGGAATATATCATCGCACTCTCGCACTCTACGCTTGAGCGCGATCTGGCGGAGTTGCATTTTCACGCTGTCAAGACGATGGGGTGGGGGAATAGGCGGAGAGGAGGGCAGGGTGGAGGGGAAGGAGAATGAGGAGAAAGGGGAGAGGGAAGCGCTGAAGCGGTCGCGGAAGGCGGTGGAGGATGCAGAGAGGTACGTTGAAGAGGCGCGGAGGAGGCTGGATGAGGCGTTGGCGAAACTTCAGCGGGCGAAGGAGTTTGGGCTTATATCGGAGGAGGAGTATTTGGCTACGATTTCAGCGAAAGATGAACAGGGGGACGTTGAGAAGGAGGGGCCGAGTAATGAAGATAGTGGCGTGAAAGAGGAGCTGGTTAATGTGAGGGATGATGGATATCGGATATTCGGCCTTCAAGCCAAATTGCAAGAGGAGCACCATCTTCATTGTAGGTGGGTAATAGGAGCAAGGATGGACGAAACGATGGCTAAGATATCTGAAAAAAGAAAGGAGAGAACATTTCATAACTTTAATACTGAAACTCACGATGAGACTCAAGACGACTTAAATTGTAGATATTGTATATTGACTGTAAGTAAGTTTACTGAGCATCCAGGCTCGGCTCCTAAGGTATCACATAGCGCTATCGCTAAGAACGAGGCCTTTGGCTTTGGTTTTTCTGGAAGTGCGTATATATTCGAGGCCGTAACGAAAACGCTTTCATCCATCATCTGGGACGAACAAAACCCTCGACATCGATGTTGTTACTCCATGCATTTTCCACCGCGGTGTATGCCTAAGAAAGATATACTCTGGTTCTGAATCAGACACGACCAGACTGAGTGCCTAGACAGGAGGGTACCCAGCAGCAGGTTCTGGATTCCACCAAGCAATCCAAGCGACGATGAAGATCAGCAATCCCATCGTGATCCACAACGCACTCAACACGGTTCCGGGCATACCCACGAAGTATCTGCCAATGAACCCCACGTGGATCAAGAAGGTAATCGCGAGGAAAGCGTCGAAATGCCACTTGCTCCAGACGATGCCGCAGACTTCCTCGAGCCGGTCATCTCCCCAATGAGATGGAGGGAGTAGGCTACGAAGAAGAAGAACAGGATGCCCAGAAGGATTGATGGGATGATTGAGGGACCCATTCCATGAGAAAGAGTGATGAAGACAGAGTTGGCAGTGCGGGTGAGGAGAATCCCAAGCATGCAGATTCGACGTAGCATGGCCTCGCGATTCGAGACGAATGGGTTGAAGCTGGCTACTCCTAGTCCGGGCCGGCAAGTGCGCATGTTGGGGCAACTGCGTTTGGTACCGCGGGGAGGTAGCTCTGTTCTGTTATAGGTACTCATATTGTCGGGCGCTTGAAATGAATGTCAACGGTGTGCACTTTAGGAAAGGTGTTGGATCAAAACTGAGTGGACGTCGAGTAACCACAGCGTTATGCAGCGACTCCTCAACAGATATGGGAGCTCAAACGTTCTCGGAGAGTATGATCGGCAATATATGTGGTGATGAGAGAGGCTTTTATGGGCCACAGCGGAAAAGCTTGGGAATGATATTTTACGTGTGAAATAACGGTTCGAGGTGGTGCCAGCAATGGGAATGAGAAATCCCAAGATCCTCAAGGACTGACGGATATTTGACTCTTAGGCACACTTCCAAGCTGTCTTCGCCGCAGTGGCACGACTTCTAGGAATCTATAAATGTACATACCTACTGTACGGCGTAATTCAGGATGAGGCTGTGAGTCAATAGATATTGGGGCCAAAACAGCACCGGCAGATACGGCCGTTCCAAAGTGATAAACGGACCAACCAGAGAGAAAGAGAACTAGCTTCGTCGTGTGGGAGCTTTGGGATTTTGAAAGGAAGAGGCGAAGCAAAAGTTCTGAAACCTCACGTGCTTGGCAAGGCCTACGAGCCGGAGCATCTAAGCTAGACGAAGACATAACCGAGATGCCTATAAAATCTGCAAGTCATACCTGGTATCGAGCACCGCTCTTGATGGCTGATGAGGAAGTTATTAGAGCGTTCAGCATCACGTGATAGAAACTGTATCACGTGAGAAAGCAGTGCCACGTGATGTTGGAAGTAGCCGTGATACCTTTGTATCTGATCAGTGATCTCCTTCGGCGTTAGCGCGAATCGAAATCTGGATGGGACAATGTATGGCTTGTGTAACATCTGCTTTATATCAGCGCGTCATTACATGGGGTCGCTGCTTTCTACGGCTCGCTCAAACCCGCTCTCCTTCCCCTCTCCATATCTCCGAGCAGAGTGATGCGCTGTCAGTCAAGATTGTCATCAAGCAGCTAATCTTTTGTGTTTCCCGATCATGCCGGATGTCTCGTGAAGGTTTGGCCCTCGACTATCGTAACAAGGCGGCCTCTCAAGACGCAGCAAGGGCGAGACCTGGTGAGCGGGACCCGGGGACTGCCAGCGAACCGTAGCGATGTGACAATGCCTCCAGCGCGCAGGAACCCCCACGTCTTGTCTGCATATACATTTACCAAGTCGCGCGGGAGACGCGAGTGAATCGGAGGACTGCCAGGACAGGGCGCGGGTTGGCGTGAGCTGAGCATGCTTGGCTCCGGTTCTGCGGAGGGGTTCATGCGCCGCCAGCGTCATATTGTGGAAGAGTGGGGACATTGAAGCATGACATCTCGTAGCGTGCATGGAGCACGCAGGGAGCTGCAGCACCCGCAGGAGACGTGGTGTGAGTGGTGAGCAGCGAAGGGAAACTACTCCGCGAACAGAGTGCAGTGAGGGGAAGACGCATGAGAGACGAATGGGGTCCCGAGGATCCCGACATGCGGCTTTCTGTGCATTTTCTGGGGAGGCAGCTGCATCGAAGCCCAGAATTAGCTACGTCTTCGAACGAGTGCGCTGGAGGCCTTGCACGACTGTGGCTGGCTGTTTGCGGGGTTGTGCTCGCGGTACGGGCCGAGGGAATGAGACGTCGTTGATGATGAGGTATCGCGATGAAGCGTGAGAGTGGTTCGTTTGCCGTTCAGTGCTTGTTGCGGCCCGCTAGCAGCACTAGATGGGCTGAGGCGGTCACAAAACACCATGTTGGACAGAGTGGTGATGATATTGCCAGAACAGGATCCTCTCTCCGGCCAAGACGGGGCGACAAGGAGCGGGGTCGGTCAGCCAGCCGCCCGGCATTTCCTCTCGCGGGCATTGGAGGGGCGATTGTATGCACGCAATGCTGCGGCTGGGGCCACAATGCCGACATGGAGAGCGGGCTGGAGGCTGTGGGCGTGGGTTGGATGCGGCATGAGAGAAAAAGTCTGGAGAGGCCTCGGGACGAGCACTCCGGCAGCAATCTGGAGCGGCAGCGTCGGCTGGTGCACCTCACGACCTGCAACATGGCTAGAACGGGGTATTAAAGTTGTTGTCTTGTCAAATATCAATCACTGTAAATAACATCAGTTAGGCAAGCAGTAGATAAGCGCTGAAACGGTGTATTTGGCGCCTGCGCGACGGCAGGCTCAACAACATCGCTCCTTCCATGTCCTGCTAGCCTCAAATTCGATTCTAACTGGCGTTAGTATCCTGTCGAAATCCTGCCAATGACCTGTCAAGAGCATGCCACCAGTCTGCCTCCTTTAAATTATCTCCAACAGTGAGTATGTAGCATGTTGAGTTCGCAGGCCATGTTTAAATTTCACAAGCGGCTGACAAAGCATCAGCAGAGAGTTCTAGCCATGTTCTAAATCCTAGGAAACACCGTAAGGAAAACACCACCAGCAACACCGTCCTCTCCTCGCATGCCGGGCAGCTTCGGGTTGCCCAATCCGCCCAGCTGCTCAGGTACATTCAGGTACAGGCGTGCCGTCGAATCACGGTCCAGAGCAGGCGTCTCCCGACAAAGGCGACGTCGCCCACGGCATCCCTTTGACGTCGACGCGCGCAGCACCAAGCCATGCCCCAAGGCCATCACGGGACGCGCACTGGGAGGGCAGCGTGCTCGCGCTGCCGTGGCCGATTCGAGTCGCTTCGTCCCTCGCTCGTGGTCGACTACGGCCTCAATCGGCGCGGTTATCGGAGTGCTGCTTCGAGTCACCCAGCTGTTCACCACCCACCACTTGGCTCCACTGGCGCTTCACGACTCCTTTGGCGCTGGACTCCTCTGATGCTACTTAAGCCTACCGCGGCCCTGCCCGACACGCCTGCTCCGTTTGCCTCCTTTCCTCTTGCCCTGGCCTGTCTTCGCCCTCTTTGTGCCGATTCAACCGCCGTGGCCGCAGTCAGCTGGCCACCCGTCGCCGTATTCACCACTCTGCCACGCTGCTCACGCCGCATCCCACGCGGCACCTGGGCCATCGGGAGAGCACCTCCAGAGCAGGGCCTCGAAGTCACCGATCCGGCGGCGTGCTGGCCAATTGACGCACGCACCGAGATTTTCCCCACGCTGCACGCCAATACCTTACCCCAGACTCGACATCTCGCTCTGTGACACCAGCCCAGAACAACGTCCATTGCCTCGCCTGCGAGCATTGCCCGCGGTCGTGGCGTCTCCAGGCGCCTGGAAGCCCTTCTCTGCCCGCTCTTATTACCCCCTCGTGTGCCCTGCTGCCGTGAACGGTCAGGCCGGCCGCGTTATCACCTCACGACATCCGCCGTGCCCTTCCTCACCGATCAACGCCTCCACGTTTTGGGGATGAACTTCAAGAACAACACCTCTCACTGGCCCGTAGGACAAGAGCCCATCAACGGCTGAAACCGGCTCCGCAGCCCGCCCCAGATTTTAGCTCTGAGCCTCGCTGTGCATCACGTTGCTTCTTCTGGCCGACGACATCGCAGTCGATACGCTTGCTTATTCCGCGGTTCCTCGTGCTCCCCTGACCTCAGGATCCGTCAGCCTGCTGCCACCCGTCGCCTCGCAGGTACTCACGACCTCCACGGGGCTCGCTCGTCATCCGGGAAACTCTATTCTTATCGTCTGCACGTAATGGAGTCTTCCATGACCTTGCTCAGTGCTCACATCCAATTTCTTGTATGTACCTTTCGTTAGTCCCCGCCCACTGTCATGCAATGCTTAGTAGCGTTATTACCCTCGCATCGCATGGTGCACCCCCAGCCGTGCATGCATGGCGTCCCGTAGGGCTGTTTTATATCTCGCCTCCCCACAAAACTTTTCGCCTTTTATTTTTTTTCTCTTAGCTAACACCATGCTCAACGTCAAGGATACCCAGTTGGCCCTGATCCACATCCCTCTGTCGCTTTATGCAAACTTCCTCCAGGCCATTCTGCAACTGCTGCTTCCTAATGAAGGCCGAACTGATTTTGCCTCCTCCAACGGAGCAGTGCGGGCCCCTCGGGGATGGCCGTACGAGCATCCTTTTGTCAACATCTCAATCACTCATATTGAGTGCTCGATAGTGTGTTCTCGAACTCTCGCCCGTGAGCTGTTTGCTCCTGTACGAGACAGCCTCGATGCAGCGGCGAGAAGCCAAGTGTCTATTACCAACGAAGACTCCATCGTCATGCAAGTTGACGGCGAAGGACTTGATGCCGGACAGCGAGTCCTTGAGCTCACCAGTCCACTCGCACTGGCTGGAATGTAGGTTGTCTCAATGAAGTCTCGAGACATTCAATCCTAACAAGCAACAGTTCCATATTCTTCATTACCACCTACTTTTCCGACTACATCCTCGTGCCTCTGCGGTGCAGAGGACAGGTTGTGCATGCCCTCGAAGAGCGTGGGTTTGCTTTCGAGCAGCACACTTCGACCTACGTCAATCCCTCCCACGGGCGGAACCACTCGTCCACTTCCTCGTTCGAAACTCAATCGCCAGGCACCCCACCCCCGGCCACCATCTCTGAGCTTCAAACCCGCACATTTGCGACGCTCAAACGGCGCAACATCGTCCCTACCGTCAATCCGAGTCTTCGGCTGATCCAATGCGCGGGTCGCAAAGACCCATCACGGACAGGCAACTCGAACGGCAACCGAAACTCGACGACCAGCGCAGCTGACGACGCGCTGCACCTAGGCCTCGTAAAATGCCTCATAACACCGCCGTGCCCGAGATTCCTGTCACTCACGCTCACGGACACCGAACCTGCATCCCTGCTCCTCGATCATACGCTCCTCCCGAACTTCGCGCAAGACGTCCTACTAGGCTCTAAAGACGACTTCCTTATTCCGATCACGCTGGACCTGCGCGAGCTTCCTCTCGAAAGCACTGGCATCGTGTGCGGTGTGGCAGGGCGCCTAGTTGGCGGCACAGCCCAGGGTGCTCTCGAGAACTCTGTCGAGATGAGCTACCTCAGCACCGCACGCGCAGGAACCGTCATGGTTGGCGAAGACGAGCTCCATCGAGCGCTAGCCGCGCTGCGGGGTACAGAGAACGGCGTCGTACCCGATTAACTTTAGGGCTAAGCGACGAGTGCGGCGATCTGATCAATGATGGGGACCGTCGTGGCCGCACAGCGATGGGTAGCCGCATGAAGCTGCGGTCAGGTGAGGGTCGAAAGTGCTCGCGTACAACCACAACCTCACCGATCAGAAACGCCAGACCAGGGGGCCTGCCCCTCATATGCAAGCAGGCAACAGGCAGTCCACTTTGGACAAGCCTTGCCTTCTTCAATATTGAGTGGTGGGGGGATGTCAGATTCTGGACTACCTGAGAATCTCTTAGTCGGCGTGGGAGGTGCGTCAGCCGGCAAAAGTCACCATTTCGATATCAGGCTGGAGCCCTAGGCACACTTTTCCGGTTTCGGCTCATCGCACATCCAAGCCGAGCGACGTTTGTCTTCATCAGCAGGGTTTCCTCACCGGTCGGGACACGGATATTGCATGCGGTGCCGTTGGTGGCGTTCCTCGTGCCTTGCGATCCGATCGACTTCCAGCCTATCACGCCTCTTTATCCTTCTACGACTTGTCACTTTTCCTCGCATGCATCGGCGTATTGTTGACGTTGCCCTTACCTTTTCGAGACGCCGTGTCTCTATTTCCACTTCTGCTCATCTCCACCAAACACACGTCCTCTTTCTCTCTCTCAAAACTCGCATCGCGCGCGTATTTATTTTTAGGTCTCGGACGCCGGAAAACAGTCTCACCATCATGTCTCTTATTTCTTAGTCGTGTTGTCTGGTCACATTACATGAACGATGCCACGCCGTCACGAGAAACGAAGGGCAATTAAGGAGGGCATGGCACTCACACGGCAGCATTGGGACTGGGGACATCAAAAAAAGTTGAAACTTGATGCATATACTTGGTTCGGGTTATTCGATAGTGGTGTAAGATAAATTAGGAACACCATCTACGTCTCTACCTTGACCACATCTTTTAAGACAAAGTCTTGTGATTAATTAGACGCGAATATTGATATTGTCTTAGGCGGTGGCAGATAAGTGTACCCAGAACGACACGCGTGTCCCATTTAGCGCCGGACTCCATCGAGAGCATAATCGAAGCCCCACGTTAAATTGCCGAAAGGTAGTAAAGATTTTTTTGTCCTATGACTTGACTATACTATCATTCTATAAATTCCAGCACATGACAATGACGTCAGCCCCCCCGGAGCCAACGGCGGCAATCTCATAAATCGATACTGGCCAGCCAATCTCCATACCCGTAAATCAGATTTGTTTATCACGCCGGCATACCCCAAACAATCACGTTCCCTGCGCCGCCGCACATCACGCGTCAGCAATTAGACTTTTTGAGATAAGAATAATGCCCCGATTGTAGCCGGGGCACTCCCGGGATTATGGAAACTACTCACCGTCACCGCCTGCGCTGGCCCATTCTCTCCGTGTCGGGCAGAAGGCGACTGCGCTGACGACGTCCTTTTTGGGGTTTGGGGGGGTTTGGGTGGCTGGGGAGTGGCGAAGTTTGTGAAGCGGGTTGCCTGTGAGGAGGTCCCAGATGAGGATGTGGCCGGACTCGCTGCCGCTGAGGATGATGCTGTCGGAGAGGCCGAGGGTGCTGCGGATGCGGTAGTCGGTGTTTGTGTACTGCTGGGTGTTAGAAGAGACAGTGTGATGAGAACGGGGAGAGGGGCGCACCTCAGGCGCTCTATAGGCTTTGAGGAGTTTGCCGTCTGGTTTGTCCATGAGGCGTATTGTGGAGTCCAGCGAGCTGACGAGGAGGGAGTCGGTATTTTTGGTTGGCGTGAGGGATGTTACGGGTGCTGTCCTTCGTTAGCTTTTGGCCATTAACTCCATTTCCGTGCAGATGGTCGATACTCCTCTCTCCTCCTCTCCCCTTGTTCGCGCGACGGGGTCGGAACTCGCAAGACTCACCCCCTATAACATCAACCAACATTTGCCCCATCCGGATATCATAGCATCTGACCCGCCCATCCACACTCCCCGCCACGATCTCCGCGCCCATCACCGCCACACTGCTCACGCTGTCCCGCGCTTCGCTGAGCACCATGATCGGCTTGTAGCTCTGGCTCTTCGCATCCCACAGCCGCACCGTCCCGTCATAGCTCCCGCTCACGACGACGCTGCCCTCTGTCCCGCCGAATGCGCACGAATTCACTTTGCCAGCGTGCCCAGTCCATCGTTTTATGGTAGTGGCCCGCGAAACGTCCCATAGGAAGACGGTCTTGTCGCCGCCGACGCTGATGAGGCGCGCATTGTCGGCTGATACGGCGAGGTCGAGCACTTCGTAGCCGTGGGCGTCGTAGGTTTGGATGAGGCCTGGGGTTGGGAGCGAGGGGTCGGGGACGGAGCCGGGAGAGGCGGCCTTTGAGGGGTTGAATAGGCGTATAGTGTGGTCGGTGGAGCCGGTGAGGATCTATCGGTATGTAAGTGAGGTTTCTAGAGCTTTGAAAGCTGCGGCTTGTAATGAAATTCGCTACGGAGTGATTAAGAGATAGTGCGTACGTATTGACTGGAGCCAGCACTGTAGGTCACAGCATGAACGGCGCCTGAAATTCGTTATGTATTATTGCTCCTTTGCGGGCGACGGCGAATTGAGTAGGGAATACCATTATGGCCTCCAAGTCTTGCTATCTGGCGGGTGGGGAATTGTGAGCTCATGGCGGTTGGGGTTCGGAGGAGAGTGCGGAGGAGCTTGAGGGGAGTTTCTTAAGCGCCAAGCCCCCCGCAGATCTTCTTCAAAATTTAGAGCTTCACTTTGCTCGTTCTAACAACAACCTCGCCGATTTTCGTCAACTCATAGCTGTGTTTCCAGATTGCCGGTATTGCGTAAGTTACTTTTGGTATTATCCTGAAACATTTTTACTAGAGCGCATATCAGAACCAGGCACCCGAGAAGCAGGCAACATCCTATGAGTAGAGGGGCATTTTCACACTGAGCACCGCAATTGCGAATAGTTTCGCAGACCTTCAAGACTCATCACCATGGCGCTCGAGGTCCTCTCTGAAAGGCCGCAGTTGGAAGCCTTCACTGCCCTCGAGGAGCACCAAAGCCAGACTCCTGGCACTTTCTTCGGTGGAAAGCCAGTCCTCCACTGCAAGCATGCAGGCGTCACCCTCCAGATCCCGCAGAACCAGCTCCAGTCGCATGCAGCTATCGCCAAGCTTCAGCCTACTGCGGTAGTGGATGGTCCTACTACGTCTCAGCTTGCTACCATCTCCAATGTCGAAATTTGGGTCACTTCCGAGTATGTCCTCTTCCCACTATTAAACTTCTCCATAGCTGACCCTAACCCCATAGACGTTTCGTCCTCTTCCAATTGGAGCCGTCCAATACGGGTGTCTCGATCCCGTACCCCTCCATCGCTCTCCACGCCATCTCGCGCTTCAAAGGTCCGCAGTACACATCATCAGAGGTCGGTCTAGAAGCCTTGTACATGGAGCTGAGCCTGAACGACACTGAGCTTGTAAACGCCGAGGACGAGATCGAGGTACTGGAGGTCACAGTGCTCCCGCCGAACTACGCCTCTGTTACCGAATCTACGACTCCCTACATCAAGGAGCTCTTCGCTGCGATGAACACTTGCTCGGACCTGCATCCAGATCCAGCGTCTCCAGATTCAGATGAGGAGGACGAAGGAGAAGATACCGCACCTGGCGCTGGCGGCTGGATCACGTCTGAGAACATGGACCAATACTTTGATGAGGCCGGGAACTTCATCGGAGGTGGAACGCTGGGTGATGCGGACGGCAACATCTTTGGAAGACGCGGTAACCTGGGTGCCGGTGCGGGCACGGTGAGGACAAGAGAAGAGGATGACGAGGCCGCACACGGGAGCAATGGCGTGGACGGAACCAACGGCGAGGATGAGACAAAGTGGCGCCGGACGGAATGAGCCAACACCGTGCTTTCGCTCGTCGATATCACACTTTTGGGGACATTTTGGGCGTCTAGGACAAGGATGGGTCAGGTACAGGGGCCTTGCTGCCTCCTTTTGCATCAAAAGCATGTGACCATAGGTCATTGTGGGCAACAATTGGTTGACTTATGAGTTTGAGCGATTACCCTGTTAACTATGTGAGTCACTCTAAAGACAATCGAGAGGGACAATGCATTAATTATATTCAGTGACTCTAAAGCCCAGCCAGAGCCTCGCGACGCGACTTCGAAGCCGGGTTATAAAACGGCTTTTCGCCCAATGACACGACCCTGTTACCTTGTCGTTTGCCCTCATAGTCATTGGTAGCCGTGTGGTAAACGGAGCGGCTGTACGCAGTCAATATTATGCAAAGCAGAGACTAAGGGAAGTGTTTGCTTACTTGTCCCAGATGGCAAGGTCGTTCTTATTCCACTTGAACCGCACTTGCAGGTCATGGTTTTCGTGAATCAAGCGATTGACTGGTGCAAATATTAGTACGGCCAGGTTTTCTCCAGAAGAAGTATTTACAGTATTCTTTGATGACTTCGCTTTCCGTCTCTGTTACGTTGTCAATCCATCCGGCATGGACCTGGTGGCCAGCAGCGAAGAGACTCTTCCATCCAGTCACAGGGTTGGTGCGAACAACCGGGCTAAGTAACAAACGTCAGTACCTATTTCAAAAAGTGAGCTAACACGATTTACGTACTGAGAAGCGGTAAAGTCGTTGCCCTTGTTCTCTGGTGCGCCTCTGTCATCCTCGATGAGTTCAAGACCATGCTCTGCGGCGACTTTGTTGAAGTTTGGCTTTGATTCGGTCAATGAAGTTCCCCATTCACATCTTTTAGCAGTCACTTACCTGGTAATGAGTAGCAGTCAAACCTTCAGCAAATCGTTGCCAAACCGGGGACAGGCGGTCAAAAGCTTCGTAGCCAGATGCCCAGAGCGTGTCTCCTCCGACATCATCTGGCGTCTTGACGATCTTCAAGATCGCGTAGTCCGAAGGAATACGCTCAAAGGTGATGCTAGGACCCATCGTCAGTCTCCGCAAGATATAGTGTCAAGGGGGATCATACTCAGCGTGCCAGCCCTCGCTCGCAGGTCTCTTCGAGTTAAAGTAGCGGCCCTTATAGTACTTCCTGTTTTGGTCAGATGAAATAACAGAAACTTCGTCATCAAGTTTGCCGTTCTCATCCACGGATATTCCTCGCTTGCTGTTGGATAGAGCGTGCTTGTGGAGCTACATTTCAACCATTAGACAGCTCCGTCAATGCCTGCATATGAACTTGCCTTCGAGGTGCTGGGCTTTCCCGTAAGTTCACCCAATTTCTGTCCCAAGATCTTCTGGTCTTCAATGTTGATATCCTGGTTCCTGAAGAACACTACGCCGCGCTGGGAAACTGCATCATACCGTCAGTGGGACTTGATTCATCTAACGGACAATATATCGTACCTGTGATGGCAAGATCCCGAACTTTGGCATCATCCTTGAGGATCTCAGAGAGCTGAAGCTTCGAATACTCGCGGCCGATGACATTCGTCACATCAAAAGACTCGTATGCATCGAGAGAGCCAGAATACTCGAGCGGAGCTGGGAAAGAAGCGCTCTGCGTCAATCCAGCAACACTCTTCTTGATCTCAGGAATGGTGCGAGCAGTAGTGCGGACTGGAGAGGCGGGCTGCTCGACCTGGGCGTCGTCTGCTGCGTGTGGAGCCATGGTGATACAATGCTGTACTGAATGGTCTCGGAATCAATGGTAATGGTCTAAAAGCCTGAATTTAATATCATTTCTACGATATCTCCTCCCCTTAAGTAGCAACAGAACCTTAACCCCTTCGCTCAGATATCCGCATACGGATATCAGTTGTCGAACGCGCTATCACCCACTCTCATCGCGACTTTACATACCCCGCTCGCACTACGGCAGCTTGATGCCGCAGATTCATCAGCATCGCGAGTGGTGAGGAGCCACTATCCCAGAGCCCTCGCATCACACTTCCTTATCACGAAGCGAGGCGTGGTATAAGCGAGAGCTGATAGGCTGGTTTGGGAGTCTAAGGCGGGGGTCGCGCAAAAAGACTGGACGGTTGCGCGATGGGGATGCCTGGAGATGTGTGTTTGTCGAGCAACATCCTGGCTATGAGGTGAGAGGTGCAGCTGTGCTTGGGATTGGTGATTGGTGATTGCGCGTTTATGTATTTCCGAACCGCCTTGCAACCAGGCGGAGAGCACGTCTTACATTTTCGATATTTAATTGATATTTTCACTTGCTAACAGGTTAGTATGAAGAAAGGTTGAGGTGGAGTTGGATGCTCGTCGGAATCGGGCCGAATCACGGCTCGTCAAATGGGAGACCTGGAAACTTCGACGACATTACAACTTTCAAGCTACATGCCACCATAACCACAACATCTATTCGAACAGGACGACTTTTGAGCAATCAATGGAAAGCTATGGGCTATAGTGAACAGTCTAGCTCTATGAATATCGGTGAGTAAACATTTAGGTTGCTACTGACTATGAGGAATGACACACTGCAGAGATCTCCATTCCACGGGTAATTGGTTATCATCTACATGATTCAACGAATCAGGCCCACACACGTAAGTGGTTTTATACATGCGTCCAGTACATAGTCGTCATCGTTCATCGTTCATCGTGCATCGTATCATTTTCAAGAGCGCATTAATGCTTCCAACAATACAAGCCAAGCAGTCATTACCAATCACAGCGTTCTTAAGCACTTTCTTGTCAATGCTGTACTCCTAATCCCAGCCCTTTCAGGCTCTTAGATACACTGACTCTGTGCCATGCCGGTATTGGAGTGGCCGGTAACTCAGAGACAGTCCACCTTGTTCCAATCTCTGCAGGACTGCGCTTGTTCGCCATCTCTACTGGGCTGTACCCACTGAATTTGTAATCAGACGCTGGCCGTTCAATGCTGACGAGTTCTCGTTGGCTACCGTATGTATCCAATGATGTCGCTAGAGATTGAGAAGGTATTAGATTGTTCGACCGGCATCGAAGCCAGAAGATCACGATGATCGAGATGCAGAGCAGTGCAAGTCCGCCGATTACTCCACCAACTATTGCGGAGATGTTGGTGGTGGGAACGGGCGTTGACGTCGTGGAACTTTGCGAATTCTGTGGAAGGGCTAAGAAAGAGGAGGTGGATGATGAGGCGGTCGGTGATGATGTAGTCGTTGCAAGACTCGTGGTAGCAATCGAGGAACTACTTCCAAGCGAAGAGCTTAAGGCTGTTTGAAGAGTGGATGAGGGTAACGAAGAGGTCGATCTAGGGGTCGGGAAGCTGCTAGATGGTGTCGGCGTTGACGTTGGAGAGTCTCCGGTAGTGAACGCAGCTAAGAGATGATCTGTCGTCGCGACCTTTCCGCACGCGATATAGGAGTATGTTTGGTCGGGTCTCGCAGTCAGTAGAGCTGTGGAGCAGAAGTCCCCAGTATTTCCACTACGGCAGAGGTAAGCCCACGTTCCCTATCTATCTCTCAAATTTTCAGACTGACCAAGTAAAGGTAGTGATTTTGGTATTCCCAACTGCTCCACAACCCTTTGAGCATGCATGAGAGTCGACGCAATTGCCAGCTAGGCCGCAATCGCTTGCGCTGATGACAGTAGAAGGACAGAATCCCCACAACGAGTTTTCCACATCGACTCGACCATCCGCAGTCCGTGGCTTGGTAGGATCTCCAGTCAAGAATCCGCAGGTGTTTTCGAAGGTAGTTTCTTGTCGTCGTGCCAGCTCGATCCAGTCTACGTGCGATGCATTGTCGCAGGCTCTAGCTCTCGACAGTACAGGTTTGCCGAGTAGTCCTTCTTGATGCCTGGGGCTTGCACAGACAAAGCCTTGGAAGGTAACGGTCCAGAAGAAATACAGTAAGAATACAGGAACCATATTAGGCCTGATATATAAAAGCGTTCACGATGTAGCGACGTGGTACAATCGGCCCATTGTGAAAGCATCTTAGCGGAGTGAACACTACTATCTTATTGCCTCCTTTGCTGTGCCTCAAATCGACCTGGCGGCCATACGCCTCTCAGTCAATATCATGGCTTTAAATTTAGGGGGCAATTCGCGAAGTGCTACCAGTCAGGATATCTACGCCCAAAACTTATCCCAAACGCCAATAGCCGACTCTGAAATATTTTTGGAGCGGTTCTTCGGTCTTCCTGATTGGAAAAGACATGCAGATCTGGAACTGATTTGCTGCAGTTTACTCTTTTTGGGTTGTCGCGCCTATCTGTGGCTGCGTGCTGTGCCGCATCCGCCAATAGAGGGGTGCCATAGCGCAGCCTTGTGCAATTTCTGGCGCTTAAGGGGGTCGGAACCTGCACATCCGCTTCGCCCGAACAGCAAATCGCCAGTTATCTACCCTATCACGCATCCCAAAGGTTGCGATCAACGGGTCCGCCGGAGTGGCACAGGGGGTACGCAGGATGGCACGTCTCCACGCAGGGGCCGTTGCGCCTAAGGACGTACCTCTTGACGTCTGCGTCTGCCAACCCTCTCTTTGTCAACTTTTTGTTCGGCCCAGCGTTCGTTCGTTCCGTTCCCCATGTATTCCCGGCGAGCTGTACCGGTGTTAAAAGCGTTGTGCCTGTGCTTTGGGGCCTTGTCGTTGCTAGTCGGCTTTTCATACTTGTGGACTGGTTCATCTTTTGGGCTAGTCAAGGTACCAAATTATTTCCACGATTCGATAAGCTCTATCTCGGCGAATAAGACTGGTAGATATCCCGCTGTTCTCCAGTCTAACGTAGTTTAACCTCGAAGAAACAGTAGAGAGCCCTACCAAAGAAAATGATGCACCAGAAGAGAAGAAGCCGTTGTCGAAATGGCTAGACGCTGCACCCTCGTTCATTAAAGCCATCATGAACCCGCAAGACGGCACCTTCAACCGACTAGACTGTCCAGCCCTGCAAGGAAACCGGTACGAATATCTTCGCCCTTCTCAGGAACTAGTGAACATCACCTCGAAAACGCCGAAATACTTCTTTGCTCTGGATCTCTATGACTGCGCACATATCCTTCCTCGACTGATCGGATCAATCGTCGAAACTATGCGTTATCTTGGCCCTGAGAACTGTGCTCTGTCGATAGTCGAGGGACGTTCCGTAGATGGGACATACGAGGTCCTGAAGCTCATGAAGGAGAACATCACAGCGATCGGAGCTGAGTACACGTTCGTTACAAATGAGATCGACCCTATGGCCAAGGGTGGGAACCGCATTGAAGCACTAGCGACACTTCGCAATCAAGCTTTGAAACCACTACTGGACCAACCGCATCGATACGACCCAGACACCACCATCATCTTCTTAAATGACATAGCGCTCTGCACGGAAGACATCCTCGAGTTGATCCACCAACGCATTGCTCAGCAAGCTGACATGACATGTGCCATGGACTGGACGTATGTCGGAGATAATCCAACCTTCTACGACGTCTGGATAGCGAGAGGCATGAACGGCGACTCGTTCTTCAACATCCCCGAAGACGGCAGTTGGGACTTCGCCTGGAACCTCTTCTGGAACAACGCGCCCACTGCTGAAAGATTGCAAACCGAGAAGCCGTTCCAAGTATTCTCATGCTGGAATGGCGTAGTATCATTCACAGCTAAGCCTTTATGGGAGAAGAACGTCAGATTCCGCGTCTCGTATGAGGGCGAGTGCTTCCAAGGGGAGCCAAAGCTCTTCTGCAAAGACATGTGGTACCACGGCTACGGCAAAATCGCCGTGATACCTAGCGTCAACGTCGAATATAGCGACGCCATGGCGAAGAGAATCAAAGAGCTCAAGGGATACGTCTCACGATGGGTGGACACTGAAGATGCGTCCTCGAAGATCGATTGGCAGCCAAGCCCGCCCGAAAAAGTAAAGTGCATGAGGTCGTACCCGGACCAGACTTGGTTGCCTTGGGACGAGCAGCTGGCAGAACATGGCGTTGCTCCGTAAGCAAGAGTTGGTAACACAGCATGTATGCCCGCACGCTCCTACGCCCAAAAGCCATATGACGCAGCTCGGGAATCTCTCGGCCGTGTCAGATTTGGGATAGCATAAGTCAGCAAGATCACGTGATGGTACAGTAATCTATCCGAGAGTGGTATAAAGTAAGTATAGAAACCGACAAGAACATCTACAAACCGAGCATCTCACCATCTCTGATATCAAGTGCTCAAGTTCTAAGACAAGCGCAATGGACGCTCTCATCCTCGATGCCACGTCAAAGACCGCAAACGTTCAGCGCATCCCGATCCCAGAACCAGGCCCGACCGAGCTCCTCGTCCATGTCGAAGCAGTAGCCTTGAATCCCGTGGATGCTCTGTATACCTTCAACCCACTCGGCCAAACCGGACGAGTCGTCGGTACCGATTTCGCAGGAACAGTCGCCGCATTAGGATCAGACGTCCCGTCTCTAAATCCAACCCTCAAAGCCGGCCAACGCGTCGCTGGCTTCCTCCAAGGCGCCTGCTCAGCAAACGACCGACCCGGCGCTTTCGCCAACTACCTGATTGTCCCGCACGACCTAGTCTGGCGCGTTCAAGACAGCTTGAGTCTTGCAGAAGCAGCATCAGTGTCCTTGACGGCTCTAACAGCCGCACAAGGCCTCTTCCCGCGCCTAGGCCTGCCAGCACCCTTCGCATACGATGTGAAACCTTCAACAAAGAGTACCGAGGAATCCCTGACCGCATTCATCTACGGTGCCTCCACCTCCGTCGGCCTGAACGCCACCCAACTCCTCCAACTCGCTGCCAAGGCCCATGGTATGACGCTCCACCTCATCGGCGCTGCGAGCCCCTCTCGCCATGCCATGCTCTCAGCGGCTCCGTACAGCTTCACCTCGCTCGTGGACTACCGCGATGAGGCCTGGCCAGCTCAAGTCCGCGCTTTGACAAACGGTGCAGGTGTCGACATTGGCTACGACTGCATCTCTGAAGGCCCATCCGTCGCTGCTGTCGCATCTACTCTCTCGTCAGCAGGAAGGATGGCGGTCGTGCGATCCCGTGCTGGCAAGGCGTGGGCAGCCGAGCCAGGAACTTTACCCACGGAGCCCGTGTACGGCGCGGTGTGGGAGGGGTTGGGAGAGAGGGTCGAGTACCAAGGATTCATCGTGCAGCCCTCAGCGCCTGCTCGTGCGTTCGCGGTTGAGTTCTACAAGTGGCTTTCGAAAGTCGGCGGGAGTGAGCTACTGCCGAATCCGATTAGGAAGATGCCAGGCGGACTTGAGAGGATTGTGCCGGATGGGTTCAAGCTGTTGGGACCTGGGAGCATGGAACAGAGGGGTGGGGAGAGCACAGAGGAGTGGATGAGGCCGGTTAGTGGGGAGAAGCTTGTTTATGAGATTTGAGGAAAGGGGATCGGGGTCGGATTTATTTCTTCTGGGAATGCGAAATAAAACTTTAGAGATTTAGCTTCAGCTTGTCAGGCAAGTTCCATGAGACGACTTCATGACACAGCGTCACACTTTACTAAAGGCTAATACTTCTGTGTTGTTAAAGCTAAACTTGAACATTGATGTGCGAAAGGACATGACAACCTAAAGACGTATGAGATGAATCAACACGGATGACCATACGATTGAGTAAAAACGTAATCATATAAGCAGAAACGAGACGAAGGTTGATAGATGCATCCTTGAAAGGAAAAGGTTGCAACCTGGGTTGCTGTATCACGTGATCTGTGAATCTGTGCTGATATAGAAAAAAGTCGTGACTTCATGAAAAAGAAAGGCATCCGAACCCCATGAAAGGAGACTCGTGCCCGTTCGAACGAAGTTCGGGGGCGTAACGTATTGTGAGGACGACGGGAACTGACTGCGGTATCATTGCTGGACGTATTGAATCGGTTTGGCAAGCTTTGCGTGAGAGTGTGAGTCTCAATTGAAGTATTTCCCGTAATCTCCGTTCTCAAACCCTTCCAGATCTTTGATGGTTGACGTCCGACCTTGGTATGGGCAGGTCCAGACTCGAACGACTAATCCTCGTTCGGGTACCCCTTAGAGTGGTTAGATTAAGACATTGTAATTGGACAGTTGATGTGTACTTACTGCCGTTCGGATAGCTGTGAACTTTGAATTCCTGATTGGCAAAACAGTGGGTGACGCAATATGCCGCATGAACTTTGGAGATCGAGAAGACAATCAGGGCAAGAAGAATTGGCAGTTCTCCAGTCAAACCCCCATACTCAGTGGTATCATGGGCCCAAGGCCGTGGTGCATGATAGATATCGGGAAGGAGCATGCTAGGCCATGGCTGGTTCTCCCTTTGTGTCCTCAGTATTTGTTGTGTTCCAGCGAATGTCAAGTGGGACGAGTAATCGGTTTCGTGGTGATCGAAAGTCAATTTATGCCAGTTGTTGGCCGCTTGGTTTGTTAGAGACGCATCGCAATCCGAGATCCAGAACCCGTGGTTGTAATAAATTGAATAAGTTTTGAAATGAATGGCGCCTGATGGCGGTTCCGTGATTGTGAGTTTTTCAATAGCTGTGCCGTTGCACCACCAGTAAATGCCAGTTATTCCTCCACTCATCAACTTGTTGCTCCCAGGGCTCGTTGGTGGCATCCAGGTTCCATGGGCATCGGTAACCGGAGAGGCGAGAGCATCCACTTCCATATCATCAATGCGGAATATGTAGGTCGGCTGTGATAGAAATCCGATCAAAACTGTACGCCTGAATATTTTGCGGGACACTCACAGCCATGGCCACTTGCTTTCCACAGGTTTCGCGTACGCAGCTAGTGTTCTGGGACAACGGATTCCGCACAAGAACGCCTCGGATACAATTTCCAAGAAGACTCCAGCTGAACTGGTTTTCTGCTGCCCATGTCCTCGCCTTACCGGAAGCTTTATCTCAAGCTTTCCGATGAGGCTCTTACGGTAGACACTCCGACTCACAGCTACGACGGCACAAAAGGGTCAGACGACTTCCCCCTAGCTCGTATATGACAGCACGAGCATTGCGGGATGCAGATAAAGGTGCATGGCTCCATTCGCAGGATAGCGGTGTGTCCAGGATCTGCTGGCTGCTGCACTGCGGCGCCCCCCAGACCTCCACATAATACCCCACCATCGAAGCCGACATGGATGCCTGTTCCGCCGGAGCGACGAGCAATGATGGCTCGGGGCACTGGTTGCCGAGCTGTTGAGTTCGAAGGAAGCGTTTGACAGCGCGTCATATCTCCTGAGAACCAAACTTTTCGCGATCATGGCGGACGGGCTCTGCGTCTTGATCCAGAAGGCATCACGCTCACTTATCGCTGGCGCAGCGTGAGCCGACTGGGCAGACAGTTAGTGGTTATCGCAGAGGTGTCAGCTGCCGTAGTGCAGCAGGTAGCAGGTTTCTTTGAGAATTTGGGCGCGCATACAGCCGGGCTGGGAAACGTAAGGCCTGCGCAGTCGACCAACCACTCTAGTTGAAGACGCCATTGTGCATGATGGTGTCGGAAGACGCGGCAGTGCCAGCTGGACGCTCGCTCTCGTGTCAGGCAGCCAGTCGACCATCTCGAGTGCGGAGTGACATGATCCTAGGAAACCGAAATATATTGACACGTTGCGCGTACCAAGACTTTAGATCGTCGGACGAAGTCAACACTTATGGGCTTTCGAAAGGAGTGGTAGTGAGTGGGAATCGAATCGCTCGCGGGCCGGATGGAGCTGTGGAAGCGGAAGGATGAGGCTCAAGTGGACGGTGATTTGCCGGCTAGCTATAAAGAGGCGACGGCGCTGGAGCATGCGAGCCGAAGGGATTGGGGTTGGTCGCGCTGCTTTTTGTGTATCGACTCGATATCGTTCCCTGCTCCGGCAATTAGTCGGACGTTTAGCTCTATTTTGGACTGGTAGGCCGTTCCCAACTGTCAAAGACAAGGAGAAAGACTCATTGCAAAGTCTGATCGTTCCTAGGTTTCCGGGAGCGGCGGCTCATTAAATACAGTTACGCGCCGGCTGCGCTGCACCAGCTGACAGCTGGAACAAGTGGCACAGTCCAGAGAGGGCGCTAAAACGGGGCGAAATAACCTCACGCATGCTGCGCGTTCTTCGTTCGCCTTGTTGCCCTGTTTCTAGCTGCGGTCGCCATTGCATTGAGGCAAGAAGCACGTCTCCGGTGAACTTTTCCAAGCCGCCGGCAGGATGGGCACCAACCAAATTCCATCGCCGGACAGATCAGTCGATTCAATTACTGGTTGACAGCGTAGTGGATATGGCATTCAGACCTCTCAGGCTCGGCGACTGATACGAAAAAAGACCATGGATGTAATTTGACGACACAGACAGTCCACACAAACAAGAATGACATACCACACCTTACTCGGGCTCAAAAGAATGTCGGACGCACCTTTGACCACGTAGCAAGGACTGGAAGCACCGCAATGCCTCGCTCATGTGCTTGACCGGTCCATGGCCGGTTGATGACCTGCTGTTCGACGCGAGATTCAACAACATCCACCCGCACACGAAGACTAGGGCAGACACTATTGGCCAATGTGGAAGGTGCCGCTTATCCATACGACGGCGTTTCTACCGGGAGAAAAGCTTCTTCGAACGCTGCAGCACGTCGACGTCGGTAGCAATCTTGGACGTTGCAGGCGCCAGGCCGAATCGGATTTCCACCCATCTCCACGATGCCTGGTCAGCTGGACCCCCTTGGACGATAAGGTTAGGCTTTATGCTGCCACACTTCGCAGCACACGCATTGCCTCGTAAATCCAGAGTTGGTCGAGCCACCTGGACAGCCACGTGAACGGCACAGTACTCTAGGGCTCGCCAATGAGGAACACCCGCCACCTCTTCGCCACGTCGCTTCCACTGCGTTCCGAGTCTAAAATGGCAGGCGAATAGCTTTTACCGGCGCTTGAGCTCTTTTGGAGGATGCCCGGATAAGTGCTCTTCAGCTATCCTATATCATGTCAGCTCTCCGCGCGTTGGACTGATACTGAACTCTCTCTTCGCTCCTGATCATCTTAAGGTTCGTGACTATAGGTCTTCTGTAGACTACACAAGAGTAGTAGTATACCGTATAACGAGAAGCAAGAGAAAGAGCCAGCGGATGGGGGGGGGCTAGAACCTATACGTAAGTCTGAGAGGCGGTCTGCATCCCGAGGCATGATGACAAACTAGACAGACTCTCGCGACTGACGCCTCTGCCCGCAGCTGACACAACCTTGGGCTCATAGGTGTATTGAACATCCATTCTATCCTTGTATCGTCCACGAGGGCGCAAGCTCCCCTTACGAGGTCGATGTAACGTTTCGACGAAAGACGCGGACGATATCCTAAGCGGTAGTATTCACAATCATGCAGCAAGGGGCAACCCGTCACCAACTCGACGCATCAGGCGGTAACTTGATAAGCGGCATGTAGTGGACCGAAAGGGGGGTGAAGCACCCGAACGTCTGGATATGCTCTCGGAACTAAAGACTTAGGCGGGTTGGTCAACGACGGCACTGACTGTAACCTGCGTACGAGCTACGGAACGGGAGCTACCGCTGAAACGAACCCTAGGTGAATGATGATCGGTGAGCTCCATGGTTGTGGTAGCGGCCGGCTCTTCACGCTCCGTTTGTCTCCTTCCCCTGATTCTCAGTCTCTTGTCCACATTATGCATCCATTCCTTCTATGGGTTCCCCTAATCCTCTTCAAGTCGTACTAAGGATGCGAGCAAGTATATCGACCAAGTGTTAGCTGTGAGGGAGTCTGAGTTATCGCGTATGATAGTCCGGACGTTCTGCGAGCAACGACGACGTGGCAAGACGGGCTTAGGCTACTGCAGAGCTAGGAGTTGGGATGGGAGTGGCCTTGTTGGCGTTTTCAGCACGGAAACTTCAGGAAGATGGCTTTAAGGATTCGTTCGTGGTGTAGTTGAACGTTCCTAGGCGGTGGGAACCTGACAGGACGTCTCTTGGTCGAAGGAAGCGGGAGAGCTAGAGCGTAGAAGATAGTTAGGAACAAATGTTACAGAGCGGCAGTGATGACATAATCTGTAATATAAACGCTTCAGTCGAAAGCGGAAAAGCGCTAAAAAGTTGTGCACTGACGAAACTTTCCCACCACCAACGCATCTCATCGTGATATCGTCAACTTGTCCACCCTAACTACAATAATACTTGTTGAACGTGTCCAAAATTGAACCTCTGCTTGTGCCCCCGCAAGCGACGTCAACTAGAATTATGGCCTCCTCGGACAATCCAGTACATACACTCATCCTCGATGCAGGCCCGATTATAAAAAACATTCCAGCAGTCAGCAGCTTGCTCGCACAATCAGAGGCACTCATCAGTGAGTAGAGTGCTGCTGTGTTAACTGTATACGCACTACGATTGAAATTGGACTGATCAATATAGCCACACCCGCTGTCGTGCGAGAAATCCGAGACCCTGCAACACGATCACGCTTAGAAACAACTCTACTGCCATTTCTGACGATACGAAACCCGACCCCAGCCAGCTATGAGGTTGTTGCGCAGTTTTCTAAAAAGACTGGTGATTTCGCTGTGCTAAGCAGGTCACGTTGATCCATCCTCATTAAGTCATTCACGCACTAACTCCGAGCAGACCTGATTTGGAGATCTTAGCTCTAGCTTATGAACTTGAGTGTTCGTCTTCCTTCCTACATCTTAAAGTCTGATGTGTTAACCGAGACCAGGCGAGAAGAACGGTGGTAACTGGCGCCTGCGAAGTATCCCTGGACAGAAAGAGCTGAATGGACCATTCCCAAGCAAGGAGAAGACAGAATCAGCAAATGCTCAACAGAAAAATGAATCTCAGACTGACAAATCTGCACAAGAAACGCCAGGGAATGGTCGGAGTACAACAGAACTGCCAACAAAACTGCCAACAGAGACTCCAGAAGCACCCTCCGAAGAAGAATGGTCTGCAGCCACCGCAGTGGATTCTACTATTGAAGTGCTGGAAATTTCACACACAGCTATTAACTCTGCTCGAACATCGGAAACAGGCGGTGTATCAATCACTGCAAATGAATCATCCGAACCCCTGCGCACAGAAGAAGCACCTAAAAGCCACTCAAATCATCACGCAGATGCACATCCAGCTGAACAAAACATACCAATCTCGCAATCTGAGGACGTCGAACCGAAACTCGCAGAACTACGATTGTCAGACTCTACCGAGCATGTTGGACCCGTGGAAGAAGATAGTACAGAAGAAGTGCCCCAACTAACAGAATCTTCTGACGATTCTGACGGCGGTGGCTGGATTACGCCCTCCAACCTGAAGAAGCACCAAACCAAAGAGAGTAATAAGTCGTTCCAATCCTACAAGCAACCAAAGACCATGTCGGTAGCAACCTTGACCACCGATTTTGCCATGCAAAACGTCCTCCTCCAGATGAACCTCAATCTCCTATCAACATCTCTCGCGTAAGTCTAGAACACAATCCTTCTCATCACCAAATCTCTCCTCAACCGACAATTTCTGCTCAACCACCAACCTCTCTGCTATCTCCCCACTACTAACCTAACACCCACCCCCATCAGCCGCATCAGCCGCCTAAACACCTACATCCTCCGCTGCTACGCCTGCTTCCTCACGACCAAGCTCATGGACAAGCAATTCTGCCCCCGCTGCGGCAAGCCCTCGCTCACCCGCGTCGCATGTTCGACCTCCTCCACGGGCGAATTCAAGCTCCACCTGAAGAAGAACTTCCAGTGGAATCACCGCGGCGAGCGTTACAGCATCCCGAAAGCCGTGCACGGCTCCTCCAACGGCAAGCGCGACGTCGGCGGCGGCAAAGGCGGCTGGGGCCAGGAGCTCATCCTCGCCGAGGACCAGAAGGAATACGCGCGCGCGATCGAGGGCCAGCGGCGCCAGAAGACGCGCGATCTCATGGATGAGGACTACCTGCCGGGGATTCTGACGGGGGATCGGAACAAGGCGGGCAGCAGGCCGAAGGTGGGCGCGGGGAGGAATGTGAATTCGAGGAAGCGGATGACCTGAGGGATGACTTGAGGGATGGGGAGCATAGGGATGGTATGTATAGGCGTCTGGGGATTCAAAAGAGCATGGTTGAGGGACTTGAGGACTGGTATTAGAGGGTATCACGAATTTCGAAAACGACGGGGTTTCTCCTACCTAGTAAGGCTCACGATGCAATATGTTGTGCCTAACTACAACACCCCTTCTACACCTTCCAACCCTCCACCCACGTGACCGCCCCCCTCAACACCCGAATCCAGCAACTCTTGGCCCAAACCCTAGACACCCCGCCTCCAAGAAACCGTCGTACCCAGAGCCGGTTGAGGCAGATAAATCCGGTAGGTGGACCATGTGCACATGGCCTCAATATCGCTCCGATAGCGGCGGATCAGGCCGACACTAGACGACCGAGTGGTCTGACACTCGCTCGACTCCGTCAGAATCTCCCCCTCTTCCTTAGGCGCTGCGCACCCACCAAACTACCATGTGTCAGTTCTGAACAATGGCAGAGCGTTCAAAGTAGATCCAAGTCGGCATGTGGTTGATTTGCATACACACACAAGCAGATTCTAGTCGCAAAAGAAGAGTATGAAGAAAGCAGAGCAGAGAATTATTTATTTTTGTGTAAGCCCCTATTACTCCTCAAACATAGCATACATCGTAATCCCCAAAATCCCAAACTAGGCTGGTATGCCCTAGCTAGCTAGGTGCAAGCATCCCGCCCAAAGCGCCACGGCTCTAGTAAAGCCCAGAAGCCGTCAGAAGAGCCACCAGTATATATAGCATGCAATCACAAGCACCACACACAATCCCGTTTGGACGCCGACAGTAATGATAATGGCAGCGCACTGCCCGGGGCCGCCAATGCAATGACCGACGCCCGTGACACGGAAGACCCACGGTAAGGTTTTGAAGATCCGTTTGGGAGATTACTTTATTCGGCATTTCAGATGGTTCGACTTGCATCGCGGGAAGAGCCTGTCACCAAGAACTCTTCAGACAGTGAGAAGAAGACTGTAGCGCATCGTCTCCAGACGGCGAATCGTTCCTCTTAACTGAAAAGAGGATCGGCAATAGCCAGACAAATTCAATGCCTAGAGATTGAGTGGGCTCCTCCGTTGACGAGGGCCGAGACCGGAAGGCTAGGAGAGCCAGCAGATTGGCCTCGCACATCTTGCATGGACGAAGGCGAGTTGATGAGCTTCCGGCGCTTGTCGGCAATCTCGACGAGCTCGGCGTTGGGGCCATCCGTTGAACGGGGGACCAAGGGCCCCATGGTATGTGTCAAGGAGGCGATCACGCTCGCGCTTTCGAGTTCGACGGCACTGTATTTCCGGCCGGTATCCATAATAGTGTCTTTTTCTCCACCGGGAGAGACTGGCCGGAGGTTCTTAATCCAATCCATACGGTCACTTTCCATGTCGAGCCTACCATCGAACAATCGGAATGCCTCGTCACAGCCAACAGTAGGATTGGAGGGCTCTAGAGTAGACATAGGAGGTTTTGGTAGAGAATTAGGGCTCCTCGATCGAATGGGTGCCATCTTTGTGCTGCTGCTTCGTGACCACGTGATATCAATCGCACCGGGCGCCTTCAATCGAGACACTGTCTCGCACCAGGCCTTCTGGCGAGGATTTGCCATGCAGTCCGCGCAAGAGCCAGGCCCTGTCGGGCAGCTACTTGAAGAATTCTGCAGCGTTTGTGATTGAGACGGAGGCGGCATCTCGGATCTGGACAACTGCTGTAGTGATTCAATCTTGCATGCGCAGTTGGTCTCGTCGGTGCAGAAGCCGCAGGTAGAGTCTTGGTCCGTCAAAAAGGTAATGGAGCCTCTGTCGTCCGGCTTCGGCATGCTGTTGTATTTCGGCCGGCTGAATTGGCCTGTGAAGTCAATCTCCTGTTCGGGGGAAAGGGAGTCGGCAGGTGAGTGGCCTCTAAAGTTGCTTGTCGAGATTTTGGTCGGTGAACTGAGATTTGGGTCTTTTGCGAAGGCCTCAATGCAATCACAGCGGCCGTCAGCCTTGCAGTTGCCACATCCAACATCCAGATCTTGGAATGTCTGGGACGTCCCAAGGTGCAAAGAAGGCGTCTTTTCGGGAGGGGAGTTTTGACCGCTCAGCGTCATCCCACCTCGTGCAGCCCTCTCGGCCTCGAATCGTTCCTTCCAGAAGGCAATCTCTCGGTCCTTGGAGGCAACTTCTTTCTCCCAGGCGGCCGCCTCGACAAATTTCCTGTTAAGTGTTGCGATGTGACTGCACTGAACCTCAACCTGCTTGTTTAGGTCTGCGATGACGGCGTCTTTCTTGGCGATCTCCTCCTGATGGATCTCGGCCTTACTCTTGAGCGAGTTTTCCATGCTCTCAAGAGTCTGCTTTTTTCTGGCTCGAAAGGCTCGCTGAGCCTCTCGATTCTGGGCCTTGCGCTTCGTCAAGGGCTCATCCGTAGCAGGCTTTCGTCCTGGCTTCGGTCGTGGCGGAACGGACCACGACGACCCAATGGGGCCACCGCCCATGGGAGAGGCCGGGCCATGGCCGTTCGACTGTGGGGACGCCGTGGCAGGAGGTGTTTGAAGTGAGGACCCTGGTGCCAGCGTTTGTGCTATACGCTATCAGTGGGACTGTACATGGCGAGCGATTCCGTGAAGACTGTATGAGGAGAAGGTGGAGACTGAAGCTTGAAAGATGTGCCGGATGAGGGGAGCAGCGATGAAAGCGGCACGTGATGGTAATTGCGCCACTAGAAATACTCAATAGGCTCCCCAGCTGCCACAGAATATACACCGGTGGCAATAGAGGGCGGTGGTGCGGGCTTGAGGTAGTGCAGTCAGGATGTGCATGGGTCGACTCACCGCGCGAGGAGCTCAGCGGGCGCGTGGAGCTGGTAGCCGAGTAGTTGGAGGCAGGTGACGATGCTTGGACAGGCTGAGGAGCATTGTGCTCTCCTCGGTGACGGGCCGTGGATGGAACGTCGTCTTTGGCCATAACGAAGTCGGTGGTGTGTGGTGCACGAGGGCGGCGGTTGCTGTTATCATATCAGATCCGACGGAATCTCCGGGCGGCCTTCTCGGCCTTGAACAGACAAGGCTTCGGCGCGAGACGGCGCGGAAACATTGCCGACATCGGAGCCAGACCGAGTCAAGACGGCACGTTCCCTCGTGAATGGTTTGTGTGAAAGCATCATATGGACCTCACGCCTTGCTGGCAGTCTAACCTCAAGTCCTCGCAAGGGTATGTACTTCTCTCACTTTCATCTCTTGAAGGACGTGCCGCGTATACTAGGGCATACACCGTTGAGTTTGATCAGGATGCTGGCATGTCGCATGCTAGTCGCATACATAACTGGTCGGGAAAAACACCTCTCCTAGGCTTCCAATTCTGGACAGGCCTAGAAGAAATGAACAAGCGTGTCGGACAGCCTCCTAGTGTTAGACATCCAGGCCTCCCGGAACCACGCGAAATATCTGCAGAGCCGTCTCTTGCTTTCGATCCCCTCGACAGAAATTGCTACCATAATACTGGTCTGAGAACAACGCAGGACATTCAGGACATAAATAGGGATCTATCCTGGTTCATCCCGGCGACCTTCACAGGTGGACCAGATATAAAGCCTGCGCACGTGGCCACCCTATACACAGCATACGGCAAGCTTCATCCCACGGCTTTCGCCTTGATATGCCGCGAGTTCTAAAAAGCGCTGCCAGAGATTCAAAGTGTCCTCCCAATCTGCTGGAAACCGCGGGATTCTATTACTAAACTGTTCATCTTCCCACAGCATATGGCCTTGTTTACCCTTTCCAATGGTCGCCAGGTTATATTACCGGTATCGCTCGTTCTCTGTGGATCCGCATCGTCGCCGTTTTGGTTACCAACCACTTATGGTGGGGCTGCATCTTGCGGATGGCATCTCCCAACTTCTTCAACCCGAAGAGCTATCAGGTTGTCGGACCTGACTTTTTCCAAGGATTAATAACGTACCAGAGGGCCTCAAGCGGTGTTATTCCAGTGCTCAGAAACCCAGAGTAGGGATTCCACTGCCCTAAGACAGCCCGTCTGAAGTAGGTGGGGAGTACCTCCGGTCTACTCTTCCTCAGCTGCCTCAGTCCCTTCAACGCTAGCAGATGTGTAGAGCGGCAGGGGTCCGTGAATGACATTGACGAGCATCTGTAGCGCCTCAGAGGTGGGCCGGCGAGGGGGATACTTGATGAGTATAACGAGGAGCAAACAAAGGAATATGAGGAATGCCACATAGCACCAGAGACAGATTTTAACCATGGATTCGATAGTTTCCACCATGTGTTGATTGCTTTGGCAATTTGGGACCGTACCTACAGGAACGCAGTGGTACTAATTGTCATCATCGCGATATATGATGAGATTAGACATGATGGGACATATATTGGCAAATTGTAAGTGCGGTGGTGGGAGAGCATGGGTAATGAAAGTACAATTCTAATGTGTGAAGTATTTGAGCTGCCAAGCATTAGTTGAGCGAGTGCGAGGCGGTTCCCAAGGTTCCAAGGCTCTTCAACCAACGCTTCCAAGGTTACTTCTGCCTAGACGCCTCTTCTTTTGTGCTGGAAAGGAGATAATTACTGTTTTAGACATTTACGCAGTTCATTTCCAACGACTTGTTTAATGTAAGAACCAAATTTTCGTGTTATGTCCATATTTATATGCCACCATGTCTAAATGCCATGTCCAAGCAACGGCAACCACACACCAGGTGTAAGCTACTACAATCCCCAAGACCATGTTGATTACCTCTTTTTCGTGACCTCAGTTCCCCCGTGCACGTGATATCACATCACACCCAACCCATTATTCTCTCGCAGCCAAGTCTAATAATATTGCATTCTTCATCCATCCTACCCAACTCCTCCCTGCCCTACGCCCTTCTCTCACCCCAACCTCGCCTTCTCCCAATCCAACGGTATATCCCCCGGGCCCCTAATTTCCTCCACCACCTTCTCCCCAAACCCCGCCCCACTCGGCATGCGCGGGCCCTCCTCCTCCCCATCCCCAAACACCCACCACTGCACCCCCAACCCGATATCACACAGCATCTGGAAAACCCCACACAGCTTAAACGCCACCGGCACGCCCCCCTCCCCGCTCCCGCTCGCAAAAAAAAACCACATCTTAAACACATCGCCGACCAGCCAGTTCCCAATCACCGACACCCTGAAGCCTTTGCACCCCCGCCGCTTCTGGTTCGCGTAGAGTTGCGGCAAGGGGAGCGTGGCCTCGATCGCCAGCGCGACGAAGCCGAGCAGCGCAGTGTAGGACATGAAGAGCGGCGTCGTGCCGAGAAGCACCTGGACGACGAGGAGCGTGCCGGCGAAGTATGTGAGGAAGGACCAGTAGGGGCGCGCCATGCGCCACTGCCAGAAGTCGTAGGGGCGGCCGGCCGGCGCGGGCGAGAAGGGCGTGTGGTGGGTGGTCTGGGGCCTGTTGGTGAGGGCTACGTGGAGTAGGAGGAGGTGGATGGAGATCATGAGGAGGGCTTGCAGGAGGAGGGCGGTGGAGAAGTGCGCGCCGAACCAGTAGTAGACTCTGTGGTGGGTTTAGTTGAGGCTCGTGATTGGAAGCTGCAGAGAATGCGATAGGCGTTCAGGAGAAGGTGCCGTACTTGAGTATTGAGGCAACGAGCATTATAAGGGGGATATCGAGGGAGAAGCCGGCTGACGAGCGGCTCTTGTGGATGGCCCATATCTGGTCGGCATAGGAGGTTATAGGTGAGGTAACAATACTGCGCAACCCATCAGCACACTATACATCAACACTTCCGTCCCTTTTACTCACAAAATAGGCGCAATGGTCGTCACAATCGCATTCAAAAACCCCATGTTGACGGTTCGGGAGTCGGCGGGGGGTCTTATATCCAACGTTTGCACAAAAGGGCCAGAGAGGGTGTGGAATGAGCGGAATCCTTCTCAAAAGCGTCGAATCACCAATCCATGAATTCCCGGCATTTGGAACAGAGTAACAACAAGAAGGGGGGCGAAGAAGGGGAGCTACTGTGCCGTCGCTTTCAAAGAAGTTGCGATGCAATTTCGGCGTTGGAGGTTGTTCCTGCCGGCATTAGCGCCCGGCATAGGGCTGAGATCGCGAAAGCTTATCGGCCCGCTTATCACATTCACTCTCCCACCTTGCACCCCTCATCTTCTCCACGCTCTTGGCCAAACATCCCCTAATCGCCCAGCCACAATGGGGGACCACACAGCCTTCTTCTATGGTACCTCTCCTTCCCCCAATCCCCCGCCCTCATTCCACCCCATCTCCCTTCCTCCTTATATTAACAAAACCCCAGGCACCCTCATGGCCCCCGCCGTCCTCCACCGCGTCATCCACGGCACCTCCACCCCGACCCCCTTCCAGCGCTCCCTCCTCACCATCCGCCCCGCCCTCCTCCACCGCTTCCAGCGCCACAAAGTGCGCAGCGCCGACTACCCCGCCATCCTGCCCGCCAACTCCACCACCGCCGTGCGCGGCACCCTCGTGACCGGCCTCACCGACGGCGACATCTGGCGCCTCGACATCTTCGAGGGCCACGAGTACGCGCGGCGGCAAGTCAGCGTGAAAGTACTGGTGGAAGAGGGCGAGGGAATTGGAGCGGTGGGCGTAGACGGGCAGGTTGCGGGCGAGGACGAGGTGGCCGAGGGCGCGGAGGTGCAGGCGGAGGTGTATGTGTGGGTGGCGGGCAAGGAGCGCCTGGAGCCGCAGGAGTGGGATTTTGGGGAGTTTGTAAGGCAGAAGATGGGGAGGTGGGTGGGGACGGGCGCCGAGGGGGAGTATGCTGGTAGGGCTTCTATTGTTGGTATTGCTTGATTTTGGATGTTTGGTTCGCTAGGGGTGGGTAGGGCTCTTGAGGGGGATGCGTGCTGACTAGTTTGTAGATGTTGATGATGCCGTTGCTGCCCAGGACCCGACGGGCGGGCGGGGTGCTAATGGGAGTATTACGAAGTCGCTGGAAGAGGGGAACGGGAAGGCGAAAGAGTTGGTTGAGAGTGCGGTGTGAAGGATGGTGTAGGATACGAAAGACAATCACATCGCATCGACATACTGGAAGGACTGGAATGGAGACGATCAGGGTCAAGACAGGGATCTGTTCACCCATTTCCACGTTGGCCTGCACCATCACGATTATACCCAAGAAAAGACACGAGGCACTAAGAGGCAGGAAGAATCACTAGAATCAGTAGACCGAAAACGTATAATAGAGTAAATTCTATTAGCATTACCACTTATACCCGCCAAGGTGTAAGAACCAGAGGCGTGAGAACTGAACCGTCATCATCCATCATCGCATATCGTTCCTCATCAAGTTCCACGATCTGATCGGTAGTGGGAACCGAAGACAGATACCATAGGCCCGGCGCAATGCATCCGTACCCAAAATCGAAAACGCCAGAGCTAATGCAGCCAGATTGCCGTCTATGCAGAAATGAAGTGACAAATGAAAGTGAAAGAGCTAGCCATACTTCCCATGACATCCTATCTCCCTCCCTATCGACAGCTATGATATTTCCTTAGGGTTAATTAATCAGGGAAGCAATATTGCGAGAAAGCGATCAGTCCAGATGACACAGCAAAACAATCAAAGGTCCTCCCTCAAGTAGATCGTTCAGTCATCCATGGTAGCCTCGGGTGGGACTTCTATCCCCCTCAAAAATTCCTCCAAGCTTATTCCTCATTGCACCAGCCGGCGGGAAATCTTCGTCCTCCACAATCTAGTCAAAGCTAGCCTTGGAATCCTTGTCGACATCAAATGTCCTCCTTTTCCTTCTAGATCTGGGTGACGTGATTGATATGCTGGGCTCTTTCGCGCTAGCAGATTTAAGTTGTGTCCAGAGGTCGGCGGATTCATGCTCATCATTCGCTTGCTGTTGAACAGTCCTATGCGAAATAGTGGGTTGGGAGTCCTCAATTTCGATTGGTGCAGCCTCACTACCCAGACGCGAAGATCGTTCAGGAATAGGAGGGCTTTCTGGTATAGTAGAGCCGAGCTTCGTATCGCGATCCTCGATAGCATTGTCTGGGGTGACTTCCAAGTCTTGGGCCCTGGATGGGAGAGCTGGCGAGGTCGGTGTGAAAGACCGGCCCTCAATTGACGGGACGGGAGCGTCGCGTAAGTCAGTATTCTCTCTTTTTGGAACGTCATCCTCCGGGCTCTCTGGTCGCTTCGCGGGAGAAGGTGACGCTTCCGCTACGGTTTGTGGTTCTGGTGGTTTGTCCGGCTTGTCCGGCTTCTTCTCCTTCAGTAAGACCTTTTTCTCAGGTGACTCCTTCTTGCTCTTTTTCTTCTCTGCCCTCTGCTTTTTACGCGCAGCATCTTGCTCTTTGTGAAGGTCGAAGAGTATGTTACGGATTTCGGCCCTTATATCGCTAGCAGACGCACCTACCCAATCATCCTCAAGATTCATTTCCCGGGTGAGAATTTTTGTAACAAATTCGCGGGGTTTCTGGAAGAACGCCTTCAAGTAAAGAAGCACGAACACCCCGCAATCGTAAAAGTTGCTCTGCTTTGGAATGTCTTTAACATTCATGGCACTGGTGATCTGAGCGTCGAGGTTGCGCTTCGCTTTGCCTTCTTCTTGTATATAGTCTTTCAGGTTTCTTACAGCCCTCGCATGAGTAATGTCAAGGGAGTCAAGTATTATAATAACAGGCCTAGTTAAGCAATTATTATTTAGCAAAGGTTTTATGTAAGAACTGCTTGGGCACTTACTGGTCAGGGTCGTATTTCCTTGGTCCTGGCCATTTTTTCTTGCTCTTGACACTTCCCATGTTGGACTTCAACGATGGACTCTCAACATTGCCACCAGGAGGACCGTCTTTGAGCGATAATCGTTGAACCGCAGCCGAGGTTTCTCGGAAAGGCGTAACGCTTTGAGACTCGCGATTTTCCTCCGGGTCTGGCCATTCACCAGATTCGCAGAGAGCCTTACCGTTGGCCGTCTGTTCTTCGGCAAACAGATCTGGGTCCACTTCTTCCGAAGGGGTGGAGATTGCGGTACCGTTTTGGGTGGTATGGCCATCCGTCCTGCTACAGGCTTCAGGGTAGTTTGACGCGGTCCCGTTGGTCTGTATTTCAACATCGCTAGGCTCACGGGGGTCTTCCCCTTCCACTTGTATAATCTCCGGCCTCGCTGAATCGTCGGCGGAGGTCGCCATCGTTTTAACGCCTTCAATGTTAGGCAAATTGCAGATGATAGCAACATACCAGTGGGTCCTGCAAGAAATGGATTAGCTTGCGCAGATTGGGTTGACAAGGGAACTTACTCTTCGTTGACAGGGACGACGACGTAGTCATAACTGAAAATATCATCCTTCACCCATCTTGCGACGCCCTTATAGTTTACGCCAGTCACTCCTTTTTGCTTCTTCGAAAGTGTTTCGTAAAAATAGGTGTTGAAGAGGTGGACCTGCCCGGAGGGGAGCTTGGCTTGCTCGTATGCCCAGAGCATGTAAAATTCGATAAGAGCGTCATTTAAGAACTCGCCGTCGTCTAGCTTTTCCAGGTCGTCGTAAGGTACCGTGGCTCTCCGGCGTCCGACTAGAGGGTATTCAACGGGCTTTTCCCACCTGGGTCCAAGGCCGGGATTGACCGAGTATCTGTCCTTCTCGAGCACACCATGGTCCCTGCACCAGTCATTAATATCTCATATGATGGTGGAGTATATCGTTACTTACGGTCGAGATGGAGACAGGTCACGGAACGCGTCTGTTGAGTTTGCATAGAGACTTCCGCGCGTTTTCCGCTGGTAGCTTGATGGTGGCCTTGGACTCACTTCCATCTTGTTAAACTTGCCCTCCGCACCATCGATCCGTGGCTTCTTTGCTGTGTTATCCTCGGCTACCTGCGATTTCAGAGCAGTTGACAACCTCTTTCTAGGCGGTTTGCTTTCGGACGTTTCATGATGGTGGCTAGATTCCCCAGCACGCCTTTCCTTATTTGCTTCAAGTAGAGCTATCTCTTCGTCTTTTGGTGGCGGAACACCTTGATCGAGAGGATTCCTGAATATCTTTATCATTTCAGTGCTAGAGACGGGTCCAGTATTAGTGTCTAGTTTCTCATGACCGACAGGTTATCTTCATACCTTGACTTCTGCACCCTCTTGACCCCGATATCGGGCATGCTTTGCAGGAATATAAAGTACTGCTCTTCATCCTCGAACTGCAAATCGTACCAAAGTACTTGCAAACCACTTCGGGGTCCAGTGAGTCGGAGGCTTTTCAATTCAGCACACTCAAAAACTCTCGTAGCTTTTATGTGCTCAACCCTCGAAACTGCTTCGTGGGTAGAAGATTCGGACACAAGGTCTCGGACGTAGTAACAATCCTCGTCACGGGAATAGATGAGACTGACATTTGGGCCTCGGAGAGCCTTCGCGTGGGTAGCAAAGTACATCAAGCGACACTCGGGCTTCTTTCTCTGGCCTCGCCTCTGCTGGGCCCGAGAGCGAGCGGTGGTTGAGGGAATTTCAGATGGACGCTTGTTCAAGTCGTTTCGACGATGCCCAGAAGACATCCCGTGCTGGATCGATATTTCATCATCAGGGGTACTCTCATACCGACGGAATTGACCTGAAAGTCTCTGATGAGGTGTCCTCTGTTCTTTGGTTTTATGTCTTTGCGGATCGGTATGAATGAAGGCCTTGAAATCGGTGTGAGTGTTGTGTGCCCCCCCACTGGGCGAATGCGCAAGCTTCGCTCCGTTGGTATTCGAGAAGCATGGCGATGTTCGTTCAGGTCCTTCGACGTGTTTGGCCGTTCGTCTTCCAATGGGGCTTTTAGGAGCAGCAGAAAGCTCGTCCGTCACATGCTTGTGACGATGAATTGGGGAATGGCTCCCGTTCAAGTCATCATCATCAGAGAGTTCTATTCGCACAGGAGCTCCGGAAGTGGGTTGTGCTGCCGTGGGTCGTCCAAGTTTACCTTCCGAAGATGTCAACGAAGTCCGGCGGTCGTGGCGTTTAGAAGAGTGGCTGTTGACCATCTCATCCACCTGCAGGAACTCAGACTTGCCTAGAGGGTCGTTCCAAATGGTGTTGCGACTATGCTTAGGTTTCTCTACAGGTCGGCGCGGTTGACGCGTTGCAGGGGGTGAACGATCGTCCTCCCGTATATGGATTGGTGCCGAACGCGATGAAGCGTGGATTGTCTTCCTTCTCTTCCGCGGGGAGATTTGTTCATCGTCGTAAATGGGGTCTTCGTCTAGGTCATGAACTGGGAGGCGTACAGACTTGTTGCCATAGGTTCGTTGCGCCGGGCGAGGTGACACTTGAATATTGGAGATCATCGGTCCCGTCATAGTGTTCATAGGCCTATGCCCTCCGGTTATTGGCTATCAAACGTCAGCAGAGGGCATTGACAAGCTGGAGGTTCTAGACTAACCTTATGCTTCATGAGTGCGGTAGCGTTTGGAAGGGCGATAATCACCGCATCTGCCGGAGTCCTACATGCAGCGTCAATGTTTTTATCCCTCTCTATGTATTACCAGATCAACTCACGTATAGTTTCCCGTAAGCCGCTTCTCGTCCTCCAGATCGCTTTTGCTTTCTCTTCGACGATTACCAGCCCGCCGTAACTCAGACGCGGCTGAGTTTATAGGATTCGACTGACGCACAGGAACCGCTGGCGAGGAGGGGACTTGGTAGGTGTTTCGGTGGTTTACCCGGTGCGTGTGTGGGTGTTCGTGGGGGGAGCCCGGACTACCAGCATTGCTTTCCTAGAGGTGCGCCTTGTCAGCCATCGCATTCTTAGAGGCGTGGTCCATGCCCAGAGGTAAAGAGATGGAACATGAAGGGGACACACCTCTGGGGAGGCTTCTGTGTTCTTGTGGCCCTCGGGCGCAGTCGAGGGAGCGAAAAGACTGCCCACGGCGGCGTTGAAGCCCTTGGCAATAAAGGACATCGGAGCAGCTAGCGGGCGAGCTGTGCGGTGGGAACAGCCTGGCGGGGCAAGCTGGGTGAGTGCATCTGCTGGGAATGCAGTGTGACCATTTTCACAGCGCGTGTGGGCGTCGAGGGCGGGCGCGATTGCAGAGAGCCCTCCGCAGGCGGGTCAAGTGAAGTCGAAGTGGACCTGACGTCGCGGCCGTCTCGCTTCTCCCTCACAAAGAAGCCCAGCTGCGCAACGCCACCAATTTAGACCTGTCTAGGTATTCACTGAGGGCAAGCCACACAGGGACACTAATTAGGGTCACATTCACTGATTCTACATGGCGCCAGACTGCCTCTGTAGAGACTCCTCAGTAGATCCTACTTTTTTATAGACCGTTTCGAGATGTGGTATATCGGCTCAGAACGCTGCCAATCCAGGACTATCACAACGCTGCCCACCGCCCTAAGGACAATACTAGAATACAAGAGGCGTCGAGGTGCACGAGGCACGTCCAGCCGAAAAACAAGACCCAGTCGTGGCCGCCCTGAAATGCCGAAGAGGGAGAAGTTCAATTGCGCGCTATCCCAACCTTACCCGATGTCATGGAAGCCGTATAATGCATGCAATTAAGTATGAAATGTTTGGTGTAGGCGTCCACTGTCCTCACACGCCTGCTGAAGGCTTCTCCTTTCCAGGAGTGTGCTCTTCCGTCGACAACGTGACTCGGCGCTTCTCCGAGCTGTGATGGCCAATCTTTTCATGGCGTGCCTGATCAATCGCAGATCGCTGAGCGATGCTGTCGTCATGGCTCTTAAACTCGATCCGCGTGTCCGAGGGTAGGGCCAGGGCCTGTTTAATGGTTTCACTGGGAATGTTAGCAACCTTTATTTTTCGACCATGGCGGGGGCACACGTACCGAATCTTAATGTTCCGACCACCATCATGCTTGGTCCATATGCTGAATACGTCCTCCTGGGCCCTGACACTCAAGACAGCACCGTTAACCTCTTCCCCGGCTCCGGCAAATTGATCTCCAATCATAGCAAGAAGAAGATCTTCCCAGTACCGATCACACACGCCCTTCTTCAGCCTCATGATAAATTTACCACCCCTCTTGTTCTCTTCGTCCTCCCACACAGGACGAATTCCCTCCTTGAAGAAATGGTAGTCTGAGACAGTTGGCAGGTGCGAGGGCCGGCGGAGGTGCGCATATACTTTCCAGAACTCCTGCGCAGTGCCCATCTTGCACATTGGTTTCGTTGACTTCTCGTAATCCGCATTTTTCGGGGTCGGCGGCCTGTACCAAATCACCCATGTGTACTTCAGCGGCGCTGGAACCCTCGGGTCCAGCTGGGCCCCTCCCGACGAGTGTGCGTCTTCTGGCGCCATGGCTGGCTGCGATTCCTTCCTGCTGCTCGCAATCTGTTTGAAGGTCGGCTTGTCCCGCTTTTCGCCAGGGGTGGTGGGAGTCAGGCTCGAGGTTGCTGCTTTGCTGAAATCAAAAGCGGTTCCCGGCGTCTTTGGTGTCTTGGTCGCAGAACCGAAAGACGCAAAGGCGCCGGATCCAAGTCCGAAAGCAGTCGAAGCTCCAGCAGTCGGTGAAGCCACGGAGGCGCCGGTCAGAGGAGAGATGGCGTTGAAAGGATTGGATCTGCCGCCGTGCGAGGAGCTATCGCCACCGAGGCGTTTGCTCGTAGAGTAGGTACGGGTGGGGTGGTCGAGCTTGCTGTCAGGCTGGTCCGTGTTGGACATGGATAGAGAGAGCTTGGTGGAGCTTTGCGCAAATGGTCAGCTTCAGCATAGAGCAGCCGGCCCGCGGAGAAGAAGGCGGAGACTTACTTGGAACGGCGCGTCCATAGTGTTTCGCGATCTCTATCCATTGGCAGTTACGAGTTATGAGAGGACAAAATTACAAAGGACAGGCTCTGCGGGAAGCTTGGTAGAGTAAAAGAGCGAACAAGCGGCAGAGAGGATGGCTGCGAGGCCACCGGCCAGGGCTTCACAGCAGAACTGCGGACTACGACGGCGGTGTGCGCGCAGTAGAGGTAGATGGCGGTGATATATGACTGTACGGGGGTAAGCGGGGTAGTGTGGTAGTGTGGTAGTGTGGCAGTGTGGTGAGGATGGAGGAGATAGGTATGCGGCTTGCGAGGTGGTCGAGGAGCAGTGTGGAAGTCGTTTTGCCGTTCTACTGGCCAGCGTGCCAGGGTGCCAGGTTAGCTCGCGTCGCAGCGCTGCTTGGCGGGCACGGCTCCCGGGCAAGCCACAGACTTCTCGCCCGGCTTTTTCTTTTCTCCAGCTACAGACCACCTCCTCAAATCATCGCCAGCGCGACATGTCTTCCTCTACTCTGCTGGCGACTCCGAATGTGGTCGAGATGACGACTCCTCTTCTAAAACCGTCATCACGAGGGCCCCTCTGGGCGGCTTCCCATGATGCGATGGCGACCTGATAGCAGGGACATTCCTTTGTCACGAGGCCGGATTGTGCGGCCATGGCTGCCACTCCTCCGGCGACCGAGCTGTAGGCGTCTCTAGAGCTGTCTCCTGAGACACTCCTGCAATGCTCTCTGGAGAGCTCCTTTCGCATGGTAAGTCTGCCGCCGTCTGCATCTCGATGCGAGTCGCAATTCTGGAATGATGAACAAACAACACTCTGGTAATCCGAGAAGCTCAGCCGCGTTTACACTCGTGCTTCTGCATGTCGCTGGTTGAGCATGGGGAGCATAAAGGCAAAGTCTGACCTCAAGAATGGAGCACGATCGCATTGCACGGAACGACTGACGACTCGTTGCTGACCTTTCCTTATTAGATGGCCCGTCTCAGAGGTTCCGACAATCGCCTGGACATTTCCAGCTGTCGAATATCTGCGCGACCTAGGCGACTTCTTCCTAGTACTAGAGCACTGCCAATCGACACTCATGCCGCCGCCTGGACCCTTCGACTCGTGTTGAGATCTCTCAGTGTAATGCCGAGTGGCTTCGTCAACGCTGTCCCCTAGGTCGGTCAACTAGGGAAATCGAAACCTCGTCGCAACCTCAACAATGCTTGTGGCAGCTTCTGGTCCTCTACTAACAAACCCCAAGCTGGGGCAAACAGGGACACAAACTAGCATCCTCGCAGTATATGAGGCATATCGCGTGTCATTAAGCACTAAGGATTTGCTTTCATGGGCAAATGGCCGCGATCGGAATGAAGTCGTGGAATTTGGATGAGCGTTATGGCGTGTCTAGTTCACTAGTTGCAACTGTTCGTCTCCAGGAACCTGTTAAACTGGCGTGGTATTCAATGAACATAGCAAGTTCTTGCTGCTCGCTTGTTTGCTTACAGTAAGCTCGTCAGCTGGTTGATATTACATGCCTATCAACAGCCAGCCTATACTGTGTATATTACAACTGCTTTACCCACAGCCTCTTTCTGTATAATTCCAGCCAACAATGAGACAGCTAGCTTCACAGATTCTTTAACATCTCTCTTCTTCAGTCTACGGACACACCACTGTGCACGTGTACCGCTGTATTGCCGTCCTGTCACCAGCAACCCCGATTGGCCCTACGTCATTACCAAATTCGCTGGGCCAACGGCGGCCGAGGACAACACTGAAATCGCAGCAGGCCCTCCATCACCTGTGAACCCGTGACAAAACATCCCGAGCCCGCTTCTAGGCGCTTCTCTACCTTCAACGACTTCACCTGTCTCTATACAGTCCAAGAGTGGCTGGATCAGCACAAGCACAGCATCCCGCCACGACGTGGCCGACCCCACCATTTTGCGCAGCCGACCTTTGACCTCGCTTTCACACCTTGTACCTATCCCGCCACCTTGAACTACTCCTCAATACTACAATACCTTCACGATGACGCACACAGCCGAGCTTCATTCTCCGTCGCCACACGTGGAGCGGCCTAAAGGTTGGTTGGTGAAGTACCCCGCCATGTTTTGCTCACATCTCACGCGATGCAGGCATTCTCAAGAACAGCTCTTACCAGCGATCAACTTCGCAGACCTCTCCCACTAGCGACGCGCCTCCTCTGCAACCTGTCTTTTCTGGTGCGCGGCCAGATCTGTCTCGGGAACTATCTGAGAAGGAGATCGTGCTCGAGAACACTCTAAAGAATGCTGGTGCCGCCGCGCACCGGCGCTCCTCCTCCAACCCTCGTGGCGCAACTTCTCGCCGTCAATCAGGCACTGTAGGCGCAGAGGCCGACGAGAATAGTCCCCGGCTGAAATGGGACGAGGCAAACCTATACTTGACGGAGCAAGAGCGGGACAGCACGATGAAGATCACCGAGCCAAAGACGCCGTACGCGAGGCAGTACGAGCCGTCAGAGGACGAGGAGGAGCTGCAGACTCTGAACGCTGAAGATCTTGTGGTCGACGAGCTAGACAGGGCGAAGGTTCAGAAGAAGCCGAGAATGGACGATATCCCCGATTTCGACCTAGGAGAACCAGAACTTGAGGCCGGAAATTCCCACACTCCCGATAGCGAAAAGCGAGTCATTGTGGATGTCGATCCGAATGGCGAAGGAGAAAGTGGTCATCACGGCGAAGAGCCTCTACATATGACTCCAGAAGAACTGGAGAAACATCGCAAGTTCGAGGCGCTGCGACGCAAGCACTACGAAATGAAGAACGTCAAGAACCTCCTCGGGTACGTATGGGTATTACTTTGCGCCGTAGAAAGCGTGCTAACAACATACTCACAGTCATCCGGAAGACTTGGACGACGAGGACGACGGCTCATCAGCAGTACCTCCGCCAGTCGCGCTTCCTAACGGAGCATGAACTTTTCCGTCCCACTTTGCCTTTTCTTTATGTTCGGTTGGGCCGAAGCCTCGCTCGTTCACAGCCCATAGCGAAGATTCAAACAGGGAATGACATCTGTCTCTTCAGTTGTCTCTATTCATCTTGGAGGCATGATCAATCTGCTATAAAATTAATGGATTCGGTGGCGTTGGACAATGGATTCCTTACTTTGTAGCGGCGATTACCCATTCACTCTTGCAAGTTGTTCGCCTTCTCCTAGAACACAGCGCAAGCTCCCTCATAGGAAAGTAGGTAATCTCAATACAATTACAGGTATTTACATCTGCAATGATGAACTGAACCTTACTTTTGAAGTGGCTACTGCTGTTAGTCCGCGCCAAAGCGTGACATGATTTTGGTGATCTTCCTTGCGTTTACAAGAGTTGCTAATTGGAACCTTCTGGAATGAAACATTGTAGCATCTGCTATTGACTATAACGAAGGCAGTCTTGGGGCAGTTCAGAAGCTTAAATGTGCCCTCATGGAAGCAGTGTCCTGGAAAGCATCTAACTAGACGTTCACAAGCTCCAGCTTGCTATCAAAAATGTCAACACGACTATTCCATACATGACTTTGACGTTGTGTCTGAAACACGAGGCGGCGCCACATCCATCTGATAACTTGCACTGGATTGGTGATGGCACAGCACAGCCACGTATCCAGCTTGCGTACTCGTTGCCCTCGGAGCTCCCACCTTCTTCCATCAACACCGCTCCAATACTCCAGTACTTCTTCCCAAGAACTAATCTCCCACCTTTCTCTCATACACTACCCTCGTAAAATGACGAAGAACCATCCAAACCTCCGCAAAACGGTCTCTACCGCTGACCTATACTCCGATCCATCACCACCACCCATCCGGGCAAGCCTTAGTCGTAACTTCACCACAGTCCAGCGCACGCGTCCCAACCCCTTCATGACATCCAGGCATGGACAACAGCCTGCACCCTCATCCCGCCACAGCATCGCCGTACCCTCCCACAGCCTCCTCGATACCGATAACGACTACTTCGAAACCCGCCCGGCCCTCCTCAAGTCCCCGACTCCACCTCCCGTGCCACCGAAGCTCAAGCTTCCGCCGATCCAGGCCATTCCCCCTCGTGCGGAGAGAGTGAGGGTTGACCCAGCGAAATACACGAAGCCGTTCCTTGACTACATAAGCACCAACCCCACCGTCTTCCATGCCGTGGATGCTGTGGCGAAAGACCTCGAGGCACATGGGTACACTAAGCTTCTAGAGCGAGATAGCTGGAAGTTGAAGAAGGGGGGCAAGTACTTCGTTGAGCGAAACGGTAGCAGCCTGATTGCGTTCGCGGTTGGAGAGGGATACGCGCCCGGTAACGGTGCCGCGATTGTGGCAGGGCATATCGATGCTCTAACAGCGAAACTTAAGCCTATTCCGGCGTTGCGGACGAAGGCTGGATATGTTCAGTTGGGTGTTGCGCCTTACGCTGGAGCGTTGAACTCGACTTGGTGGGATCGAGACCTGGGAATCGGTGGTAGGGTATTGGTGAAGCAGGCAGGCAAAATCATTTCCAAGCTGGTCAAGCTGGACTGGCCTAGTAAGTAATTTTGCAATTCGAACCGTTGAATTTAGCTAAGAAACGTAGTCGCTCGGATCCCGACCCTCGCGCCTCACTTCGGAGCTGTTTCCGCTGGACCTTTCAATAAGGAAACCCAAATGGTCCCTATCATTGGCCTTGATAATTCGGACGTTTCGGGAGCGACTGAGGAGAACTGGAAGCCTGCACTCCTTGGTGGTGAGGGTGCCTTTACATCAACTCAGCCCGAGCGTCTTGTTAAAGCTATCTCGAACGAGCTCGGCATTAAAGACTGTAAGTCATCCCTACTCCGCTACAAGTATATCGTGTAGCACATAAGCGCCTACTTACACAAGAACAGACAGCACCATCGTGAACTGGGAACTCGAACTTTTCGATATCCAGCCCGCCCAACTTGGAGGCCTGGAGAAAGAGTTCATTTTCGCTGGCAGAATCGATGACAAAGTGTGCAGCTGGGCTGCTATTCAAGCCCTTCTCAACAGCACCGACTCGGACGAATCATCTAGCCAAATCAAGATTGTTGGCCTCTTCGACGATGAGGAAATCGGTAGTCAGCTCCGACAAGGAGCTCGAAGCAACTTCCTGCCAACAATCGTCGAACGCGTTGTCGACTCCTTCGCCGATTCAGGCATCACCTCGCTCGTATCCCGCACCTATGCAAACAGCTTCCTCGTCTCTTCCGACGTCACTCACGCCGTGAACCCCAACTTCCTGAATGTCTATCTGGAGAACCATGCCCCGCGGCTCAACCTAGGATTGGCAATCGCCGCCGACTCGAACGGGCACATGACAACGGACTCGGTCAGTACGGCGATTCTGCAAAAGTGTGCAGACAAAGTCGGAGCAAAATTGCAGGTCTTCCAGATCCGAAATGACAGCCGCAGTGGTGGAACTGTGGGCCCAATGCTCAGTTCGATGACTGGTATCAGGGCTATTGACGCTGGTATTCCGCAGCTTAGCATGCATAGCATCCGGGCTACTATTGGTTCTTTGGATCCAGGACTGGGCGTTCTTGCGTTCCAGGGCTTCTTGGATCATTTCGAGACCGTTGACGCGGAGTTCGCTCTTTAGCGTGGCAATGAACAATCTGAATACGGTTTCTTTTCTCTTAGACTGGAGCGTTCGGTGTGGCTTACAGCTAGTTCAGGTCCGGTGCCCGTGATGATGCGTGTAACATAGGCGTAGGGTTTAATCTTTTTTAATCAACATACAATAGCAAGAGCAATCATATTGATGAGGTGCACAGATTGCTCGCGAAGTTCAACTTAAGCTACATGTGATGCGAGCAGAAGATGGATCCTCCAACCTTCTTATTTCGGGCGCCTTTATGAGCGTCCTACGACGGCTAATCAACGACAGAGGCGCTCTAAGATCAGGTTGCTTTCCACACTGGAAATTTCAAAACTCGAAGCGGATCTCTGGTAAATGAACGAGGAGTCTTTTCGGGCTGGGTGTACTGCTCACGTTGCACCATAAGCCGTCCTCGGACCTTCGAAATCTTCACCGGCTGCATGACGGCAATGTCAGCCATGTCACGTAGTACAGTTTTCCATTATTAGACGCCTATGCAAGGGATCGATTTCAGATGAAGCGGTTAGTCAAGGTTCCCAGCCGTTTATCAAAGCATATATAGTTCTTTATCCCGCAGAATACTCTTTTCCTATCTGCTATTTTTCTCAAATTCATGTATTTATGGACCCAAAGCTCACCACCCTCATCTCCGAAAGAGGAATTAGATTCTGACTTCGTGCTACTCTCCCATCAACCCGACATTTCCAACCTGAGCGATGACGCGAAGCATGTTCCGAAACCTATCACCGTCAATGTCAATGACACAGTCGAAATGGGCAGATTCATTAAAGAGCACGGAAATGAAAGATGGTTGAGCAGAGAAGATCGGGCACGTTCATCGGCTCATTCCCAAGCGAAGCGCTAACATGAGTAATAGTCCGTACGTGAAGTGGACTTGATGATCGTTACAATGATACAATTCGTTATTATCGTAGTGATGGGTACTATTGCACTTCTACTTCTGGCCTCGCCTGAAACACCAGGTGATCCGACCACTACTCAAGCGGGTGCAATAAATCTGCACCTGGAGATCTCGCTGGGCCAAACGGCGTGTACATCGAGTTACTCGATTGCTGATTCGTTAATGTTGAGGCTGAACACGTCTTGCATCGAAGTGCGACGGCAATGAGTTCTGAGGGGATACTACCTGCATCTTGTTTTTTGTTCTGTCGTCTGGCACGCAGCTTTACCTCTTGTACCAGGCTCTTTTGTACGAAGGGTGGCTATTCAAGTCACGCATACACAGTCTTGCTAGAAATGTTCAATGTAGAGTGCTAGGCCAAAAGTTTAGGCACGCAGCCATCTCGCTAGTCAAGCTTCACTTTTGCTCACTCCTTATCACTGTAAGGAGCACCCCAGCTAGCATATCTTCGGTCAGTCAAAATGCAGCCCTATTCCTACCTTTGTACTGCATCGGATTTTATCTTAAAAATAGAATACCGAAAGCCTATCGAGATGCCCTGAGCAGATGCTCGAAGTGCCCGAACTTACCTTTGTATGTCATAGTACTGTAACACGGTGCGGCATCTGCAAACACACAGCCCCAAATATTAGCCTTGAGTACGCCGAATGCAAGGAGTTTCTCTACGCGCATTGCCTCTTTACGTGGATGTATATATATACCGGATACTCTCGCACCTTACTCTAAACTCTCGTACCCATTCCAATCCAAACCACCCTTCAGTCTTCAACCCATACCCAATTTCAGCATGAACGTCCCAGCTCCAGCATACATACCCATGGACAACCACCCAGCCAACCATTCATACAACACCCCAATGTTCAGACCCAAATACGTCACCCTAGGTGTAAACAATAAAGCCGATATTGATAAATTCGTCACGGAATATCCACATGTCCTGTATGCCGGTCCAGGGTCTCACGTACGAAATACCGTAAGTGTACGAGCTCATCACCGATGGGCTTTTTGTGAACTAACTTCAATATTCAGGTTGATGCGACATGTTTTGGCGTCTTTCTTCTCATTGCGATGGCGGGTGTGCAGCTCTACCTCCAGTGCCGGGTTCCTTGGGGAAAGGGGTGGTTGTGTAGCCCAGAATAGGGGAGTAGAATAGTGACTGGATTTAGAAGGATGATGGAACGATGAAAATGGTCCCGCCTTAATTGTCTTACTGATAGGCAGTGCTGCTTCACCGGATTATTCTCATTTTGGCAAGATATCAAGGCAAGGAGTGGTTTCCGCAACATGGCAGTCAGCCTCGCGAACCCTTCTCCGACCAAGCTCATGCTTCTTCCAGATATTAGGAGTCAACGTGAATTGTGCATCTGGATAGTCATGGAAGAGCTTTCTCGTCTCTCCCTAAATTGAAGTTGTTGTTTCATGATGGAGGCTCGTGATCGGCGAGATCTTGTGACGTGCGTATGATATTCTACAGGGTCAGCATAGCTACCCCTGCTATAATATGACTTCTATCCAAACCCTAAAACTCGGGTTTCTTTCATTCCTTGAGCTTCAAAGCTCGGAAACTATCAAAATGGATCTGTTTGTTGCTTATGGGGCCAAAGACGACACGATCGAAGATGCCATGCAGCCCAGAACGCCACAAGGTCCCTCGATCGGACCGATGACGCGTTCTCCGCATACCAAGTCATGAACGTCTCTGAGGGTGTCTTTCGACATGAAATGACACATCCAATCGCTATGGATAGGGCTCCTTAACCTCCTTCTATCTTCTATTATTGTTCAAAGTCAAAGTCCCTATTTTACGGGCGTCAAAATGGAGCTCAGCAACGCTGGGGACCACTTTTCAACGCAAATGAAGTATGAGCACTACCGCTATAGACCCCTAAATATAGCTAACATTATATAGACCGCACTCCTCAACGCCAATCGTAAACAACGAAGCCAACACCATCCGCATCACCCACCGCTCCGAGCGCAGATTCCTAACGCGCCTCCTCCACCTCATCCTCCGCCCATTCAACAACCATCTCGGCCGCCCTTCGAAACCGCACCCTCCCGGCTCTTCACCTTTGAAGCCCAGCAATGCCATCAGGAAGCACTGCAGTGTCACAAACCGCCGCGATGAAGCCACGGGCATCTACATCGCGGACCTGCGGCCGCTCCTGACCCCAGAGGCGAAGGTCACGAAGCACATATACTATTTCTGCGGCGGCGGATGGCAGGCACCCGCTACAGCACAGCACTGGCAAACCTGCTCGAAGCTCGCGCGGCAAATGCCGAACACGGCCATCTCAATCGTGTCGTACCCACTCGCGCCCAACGATCCGGCGCCGAAGACGTTTCCCCAAAGCCTCGCGCTATACAGGCGCATAATGGCGCAGTCAGTCGAGGAGGACCATCGCGTGATACTGGCCGGGGATTCCGCGGGCGGGAACATCGTACTAGCGGTAGTGCTGGAAGCACTGAGAGAAGACTTTGAGGCGGATGCGGCGACGAGACCGCCGTGCCCGGTTGCGATCATGGCGATCTCGCCGTCGACGGATCTCAGGAGGGATAATGCTGAGATCGAGAAGATCAAGAAGCATGACCCGATCCTTACGCCGCTGTTCATAAAGAGCACGGCGCGAGCTTGGGCTGCTGACTGGGATCCCGCGGATCGGAGACTCTCGCCTATTAACGCGGATATCTCGCTGTTTGCGCGGGCCGGGGTAAAGGTCAATGGCATAACAGGCGGTTATGATATTTTGGGTCCAGATGGGAGGTTGTTTCGAGACGCGTGCGCGAAGGCGGGGGTGAGCGGAGAGTGGTTGGACTGGGATAAGCAGATGCATTGCTTCCTGCTTACATGGCCGTATGGGCTCCCTGAAGCGAGGGAGGCGATGGGATGGATGATTGACGTATTGAAAGAAGTATGAGAGATGAAAGTGGTTATAATTTGCTAACTATCTTGTAAGATACGCTTAAGTAAGCTGTCCTTTAGAATTTGATGCAAATTTACACGAGAGATAGAAAGGCCCGCAGCACATTCAAGATGACTGGATACACGAACAGTACTGTCGCCACCGTGTTCAGGCTTGCCGGGCAATACAAATCTCCGGACATGTTCAAAAAGGACGCCCAAACAAGCCAGCTCCCAATGTACAAAATTATCCCCAATCCAAAGAAGTTGATGTACCAGCCTTTGAAGTTCGAGATATGGACCTCGCGTTGGGGAACGGGTTCCTTCTTTTGTAACTTTCGAACCGGGTTCCGCAAGATACGCCACAAATCCTGCGCCGGGTATTTGAACGCTCGGAAAGGCGCGCATCGGAGGCACATACCCATGAGGAACGAAAACGCGATGATGACTCCAGGGATTATCATGATGATGCCGCCAGCATGGTATAGCTTGTATTCCGCAGGCTTAGCGGGGTTGGTCGTCTTGTTCGGGAAGAATGCCGCATAGACAGCGAATACCTATCCTTTGTCAGAGTCGCGAAGACAGAGGAGATCGTAGTACTTCTTACAAGAGCAGGAACCGAGAAGAGCAGATCGGCCACCATCTCATTGACCGCAGTCTCCATCCACGACGCGTTTATGAAGCCTAGGATCGCTATTACCGGCGCAACTCGCGGTCGGACCGTCCAGATCAAGACTTGCTGGAGCCAGTTCACCGTGTACCCCTGCTTCTCCAGTAGAACGCCGATGATGAATGGAATCGATACGTGGATCCCGATCGAAACGAACATGCTCAGGAAGTTCAGCTTGATCTCGGTGTACTCGAACATCTGTTTCCGGCCGATGAGGTGCTTGATGACGGTCGTGTTAGCCAACGCTGCAGAGAGCAGCGCAATGACATTGGAGATGGCAAGGGTGGTTAAGATCTTCTTCGCCCGAGGACACTTCTCAGACCCGCTGTAGATGAGGAATTGGTAGGGGAGCCAGGTTGCCTTTTCGGCGTTGCTGACGACGCAGTCGGTTACGTTTGTGTTGTCAGTGCTGGTGCAGCGGACATATTGTTGGGCTCTGCGGTATAATTAGCTGTCTGCTAAGTCGCAAGTGCTAGAAGAGATGGGATCTTACGCTTGGTATTGACATATGAGCAGGTTAACGCTTTTCTGGGAACAGTCGCCGCTCGAGTCGGAACAGCACTTGCTTCGAGGGATCTCTTCGGCATCGAAAACGCATGCGGAGGAAAGAATCTGTTGCTAGATCAACATACGACCAAACGCTGACTGGATTTTGCGATCTTACCGGTTCTGGCTTGGGATATGAGCATGTCGCATTCGCCGTTATAATGGTGTTTCGGACTGGAGTCTTCGGGATAGGATCGGCGCTTGCAGCATTCGCGGTCGATGAGCACTCGAAGTACGAATCGAATCTAGAAAGAACGTTAATGTGTCCGTCTGGAGCTGCCATCGAGTCTCATTTTCTACTGACTGCGACCGAAAACACTGCGAATAACTCGTCGCCAGATTCGTCCGGACCGATCGACTAGTATCTGGTGCAACACATGTACCCAGGGCTTCCAGCTCCGTCCCACAGTTACTGTCGATCAACTATATTGTATGTCAGCGTTTCTGGACCATTGAGTGCGCATGCTTTGCACTCACCTTCCAGAAATCATCTGGAACGAAATCTTGAGTCTGGGAATCTTGTCCCCAGCAATCCAAGACAAGGTTGGACAATATATAAAACACTGAGATCCAGGCGCACCGCATTTCTACTGGAAAATACCTTTGATCCGTGAGGACCAAATGTATTCGAAAATTAGGATGAAGCAACTGATGCAGAAGCAGCCTGTAGCGGAACCCTTTTCCTACCAAAACGCCATCTTTAAGCAAGGGTAAAACAGTGGACACTCAGCCGTCCCAGCTGGAGAAATCCGAATCTGGTGATCCATGCCAGACCAGCCTTTAACACTTGGCCGACGCTTGGCAGTGAACCTTATTGCTTAATTTCGATCGAGCTGAGTATGGTGGCGGATGTGGTACCCAATCAAGTGCGGGTGCAAGCGAGAACACCTCTCGCGAAAGCCTGGACCATGGAATCAACCATGGAAGCTGCCGTATCGGCAAATCAGGAAGGGAAAGCAATATCATGTATGTGAGGTGTGGTGGTCCTAGACATAAGACGGGAGAGGACTGCACCGACTCTGAAACTGGTGGTGGACAATGAGAAGTGTAACGCATCTGCTGAAATACTTCAAAGGCGGTTCCGATCTATCAACATCGTTTCTATCCTCTACTCGTTCTCGCATCATCTTCGTTCGAAAAAGGAAAGACACTTAATTTCGGCAATCCAGCAATACTAAAATCGACAACATGGATCGAACTCAGCTGCAGTCACTTTCGACGAATGCTCCTCCTCAACAGCCAACCCAATATCAATACCAACCAGCACCAGTCCAGCAAGCCTCCCAGCAACAACCAGCACCAAAACAAGATCCATACGCCCATATAAGAGACCTACCGCTATTCCCCATTTACGCCCCGAGTGACACTGAGGCGCTGAACAAAGCCTACAACCAAACCAACCGTCGCAAGCTACCGAGCTACGACATTCACGCGGTATGACCACCCACTAAAACGTGAGTATGGATTACCTAGCTTACACGTCTTAGCCCATTGCGAACACCTCCGCCGCTATATCACAGAACCTCCGCACCAAACCCCGCATAAATCTCATCCTCACCCGCTATTCTACTCCCGAAGACTGTCCCTTCCCCGGCATCATCGTCGACGTAGTCGAAACCAGAGGGATCAGCAGCTGGCAGGGCAATGGCATCCGACTGAGGACGAGCAGGGAGTGCTGCATCCTGGTACGGGACAAGTGGAAGATCAGACTCAAGGGTGGGTCTATGTGGGCCAAGAACGCGAACTGGAAGCCGGTTGAGACGATCAGTGTGGAGGTGGAGAAGGAGATGGTGCCGCTGGGGATAGTGGGGCGGTGGCGGAGAGGCAGGAGATCTGGAGGAGATTTGAGAAGGAGTTCAAGACGCCGGGGATACCTGGGGTGGGCGGTGATGCTAAGAATTGATCGATTGACAACAGATTGGATAAGGTAAGTGTTGATTGTCTATTAAGAAATCTATCTCTCTCTTTCACGGCTAGCGCTGAGTCTCGAGCTTGGGTTTAACACCATCTTACGACTGATTTCACCGTAATCTCTTTACCGCGTCCTGTATGGCGTTATCGAAGGATTTGAGCGCGTCGTACTTTTCATACTTGGCTGCAAGCTCCGATGCGCGAATCGCGTACTTCTTGTTCTCGAGAACTTCTTGTACAGCTTTTCCTATTTTCTCAGCTGCTGGGCTTCGTGTCAAGAAGGTGATAGCAACCCCCGCCCACGCTGCAATGCCGCCAGTCTCCGCCTTGTCTTGCCCTACTCCTGCTAGAACCATGGGTACACCAGTCCGAAGAGCCTGTTGGACTGTTCCATACCCTCCGTTTGAGACGAGCACGTCGACCTGGAGGAGTAGTGTCAGAAGTTGGAGGTTACGGAAGTGAAGCGATGGAAGGCCACATGAGGAGTTAGAATGCACCACTTACGTGTGGGAGCAACAAGTCGTATGGAATGAATTTCGCCATTCGTGCATTTGCTGGTACTCTTTCTTCCAAGCCGTCACCGTCGCTTGCTACTAGGGTCGCAATTACAAGAATATCGGCTCTGTCCTTCAAAGCCTCCAGCGTCGGCAAGATCAAATCCTCGGGATTGTTGTCGATGCTCCCTGCAGTCTTGAACCAGGTTAACAATGAGGTTCAATCTTATTGCGTCAATCAGGTAGGTGTATTCAACTTACAACAGCAATCACTTTCTTCCCATTCTCCTTCGCCTGCAGCACATCATCCCACCACGACGGCAACTTCGGATTCGCCATCCCAACTACAGGCAGTGCACCAACCCACTCAACACCCGCTCTGATATCGCTTCGCGGATACTCAAACTCCGGAATACTAAGCTGAAGCAACTGATCCGGAATCTTGTTCATCGCCTCAAAGATAGAATACGGCACCTCGCCCTTCACCCCCAACCCCCTCATCTCCTTCTCAAACGCCTCATACACCCCCTTAAAGAACGGCTCCTCCGCCTGCTCCTCATACACCTTCTGATGAATCTTCACCGCATCACGTGACGTATCCGGCTGCCTCCCCGACCTGAACGGGAACGTATCATTACTCCTCAAGCTGAGCGGCGCCAGCCCAATCCCAATGGAAGCACCTGGCTTGATTCCCTTGGCTCCCAGCGCGACCGGCGAGAGCCCCAAGAAACTTCCATCATACACGAAGATCAGCGGCTTCCTTCTCCCATGCCTCTTCCTGAACTCGCCAAACACGCGCTGCACCGTGCGATGATGATCCGGGATCGCGCGGATGAACACGTTCTTGATAGCGAACGCTTCGGCGTCTAAGCCCGCCGGCATCGCGAAGAACGTCGCCATGTCCTCTTCGCTCATCATGCGCTCCGAGCCGCCCAACGGCACGAAGTCGATGCCGAGGGCGGTGATGGGCTCGCGGAACTCGGCGCCCGTGATGAAGGTGACCGGGTAGCCGCGCTTCTTGAGGTCGGCGGCGATGACGGAGACTTTCTCGAGGTGGCCCCAGGCGGGCATGCCGGCCATGATGATGGGAGTTTGGGAGCGGTGGGGGGTGGTAGCGCCGGTGGGGAAGATAAAGGAGAGTAAGGCATGAGTCTTGGGGGGGAGGGAGTCTGGACTGTAGTTTTGGAGGGCGAGGAAGACGACGGGGAGGACGGCGAGGAGGAGGAGGGAGCGGGGGATGCGGTCCATGGTGGGCTGATGAGAATGTGAGGGAGCTGTGGGACAAGAGATAGGAAAGACAGACACTGATGAAAAGGAGGAAGGGGGAATAATTATTTACTCGCGATGCAGTCGTCGATTCATTTGTATATACGCGTGTTCTATGACGAGGAGTTGAAGGATTTAAGTGCTTACTTCTAGGCGACCTTAGTTCCCGGGCCCGGTAGATATACTAGATCTACCTAGGTTAGCTTTACCCCATTATACTGTAAGAGCTTACTTTCATCCCTTCGTACATACAAGGGTATGTCAGGTTGTTGTCTGAGGGGAGAAGTGCTTAAAGTGTCAGGCGCTGCACGACGCACAGGTACTGTTTGCCCAATGAACATATCGTTCGGAGCTAATCGAATCGTGTTTTGTGTTGCAAACAGCTTTAGGGCTGTGCACAGACCGAAAACCTAAAGACTACATGAAAGCTTGAATCTCAGGTGAATAAGGATTTAGTGGATCGCCGCGGTGATCCGAAGCGGTGCAATACGTATAGCGGCAGATTGCGTATGTAGAGAAGAAATATTCATTGCCAATCTGCGATCCTGTCAAAGTTCCATGCTATACAATGACGCCCATTTCGGGCTCAAAAGGCGAAATCATCATAAGTAGCAAGGTATATCATTGGAATTCACGAGATGCAAGCAACACTACTATTCGGGACATGACATCGTCTTCTGCTCAGACTGTGGCTTCGGAGTTCAGTCTTTTAGCTTCTTTCCATTCCTCCACAAGCTAAGTTCAAGGTTAGCAAATGGTATTCCAAGGGACCTGTGGAGTTGCTTACGCCAGTGTAATCTTGTGGTGAGTACCCTTTAAAGCACTCGCTCCACCAGGTAGGTTTTCGGTGTATTTTTAGTCCGAGATCGGTGATCAGTAAGTCAAGATATGGCAACGAATCGAACCAGAGCTCTGGAAACCTGTCCCCAAACCCGCGGGAATAGCGCCATTTGGAAAATTGGGAGTGTAACACAGTCTCATAAGACACTCGGCTGATAGTTGCGGCGTCGAGGTTTGCGAGGCTGGGGATTTGTTGGGTCAAGAACGCGGTGATCCAGAGGGCTTGTGTCTGAGAGATTAGGGCTGTTGAAGGGCTCCGAACAACCCCAGCAAAGGCAAGCGTTCTACTCTGGATATAGGCAGGTGGGACCATAAATCGATATAGCCTCCAAGGCTGGCTGGTACCGATATCCGAGCCGTCCATCGACTTCAGATTCGTGCGTGGCGGAGGCTGTGACGCGAGCTTTGGGAATCTTTCCAGAATCTCTCTATCTGCGATCTCTGCCATGCGATTCATTTCCGATGGCTTGGTAGAGATATGGCACGGAAGACCTAGCTCTTTCGCTCCGATAAAGTTGAAAGGAGGCGTGTCTTTCCAGCCCGTACCGCATATCATTACATCAGCTGCAAGAGTGTTCCCATCCGATAGGTGGACAGTGCGCTTCGTCAAGTGCGTGACGTCCGCGATGTGAACCCTGATCTTACCACTGCGGACTAGCTGAAAGAAGTCGATTTCTCCATAATTAAGAAGGTTTAGGCCTTGTGGAAACATATCGTTCCAGGGCCGGAGCTTCGACGTTTCAGGGTGCTTGTGGTACCCGTTTTCCGCCAGAACGGCCCGCTGCATGATCCTGCAGGGCGAATTAGTAGTTGACATGGGATATAAGCTTTTCATACTTACCCAAAGAATCCGTCAACGATCTTTCGGCCAAGCCACGTCCGATGCAAAAATCTTCGGATGCGTCCGAACCCATCGACGTCCTCCCAGATGCACGGACTAAACCATGTAATCAAGCGAGTTTTGAGGAAGAGTTCTGGTAGGAACGTGCTCATCACTCTATTTCTGGTCATCCAACACGGACCGTGGCCTGACTTTCGAATTACCCAATCAACTTGAACTCCGGAGGCAGCGTATTCTTGAGCGATATCCCACGAAGACTGTAATTATCGTCAGCTTGTAAATTGGATGCATTATGCGTACGGTAGCTTACTTTATTGCCGCCGAGCACGACGATTTTCCTGAATGAGCGCTCGTTCATATATGCTTTTGCGAAGTCGCTAGTGTGATATATAGGTGCATTAAACTCATTGCCGCCTTGATACTTGGGCATAAATGGGTCAGAAGTGAGTCCAGTAGATACGACTAGCTGCTTTGCCTCAATTGTTACGGATCTCTGGGTTTGATCAGCTTTGAGCATGACATTCAGTATCCATCCGTCTGCATCTTTGTCTTCTGCACTCTGTACGGAACATCCAAGGCGCACGAGCGGTAGTAGTTCGTGCTTCTCCGCCCAGCTGTAGAGGTAGTTATGAACGAGCTGTCCGGGTATGTGAGCGTCGTTTCCGAATCCCTCTTTGTTCATCGGAAAGTCGCTGAATTCGAAAGAGCCAAAGTGATTGTTGGTCTTTAGACCTGGATACAATGCCTCTCTTGACCAGGTCCCTCCAATAGTAGAGCGATTGTCGAGGATGAGGATGGTAGCGTTGGGGTTAACATCTTTGTAAGTCTTTGCTACCGATAGGCCGTTGACGCCTGCTCAAGTCAGCCGACATCAAAGGCCATCGTTCACAATGATTAGAATACCAGCACCAATGATAGCAAGGTCTACAAGCTCGGAATGCTTCATCTTGCAACTTGCGTTTCGAACTGCCAGCGGACACGTGCATTTACCTCAGGAATGGGAAAAAAAAAAGTCGTGGATTAGGTGGAATATGAATCAAGAGGGAACGGGGTAAAGATCTGCGATGAAATAGGGAAAACAAGTCGAGGATATCGATGGCGAGAAGGCTGTGGGGTACGTGGACGATTGCACCAAGACTCGAACAGGGATCTGATAGGCGCTGCACGCCTGCATGTATTCCTATCTCACTCTCACTTGGTCTCGATGCTAGTGGCCCAGGTTCTAAGCCTTCGGGCGCCTTCCAGTGAGGTTCGAATAAGCTGCGTCGGGCCTCCATCTACTGCAGCATGCATCGGCATGGACCGGCTGTGATTGCTTTTTAGCATGAGGGCCAATAGACTTGACTTCGACGGAGAGGTCATGTTCCAACAGAGAGAGCTAAGAGTAATTATTCAATCAGTAGACGATGTGCAGCAAACGGCGATGAGTCTGTCTGTCACGGCTGGTGCGTGCATCTGAGAGATATGTTTCTGTCGCTACTTTCTGAATCGGGAGGTGCACCATTCCTGGTGGTTTAGGGGACACGATGGTGGTGTCTGGCGGCTGAAAGTGTGTTGACTTGCTGCGACTCCAGATGGCTCGACGCGTTGTGGTTGGAAAGACTCAGGCGACGAGGTTTTGTGTAATTTGTGTAATTCGGTCTTCAGTATTATATCTCCATCCGACAACCACTAGTCTAGTTACGATGCACACAGCACAAGATCTCATATATTTCGAGGATCTATCTGCGACACAGATCATAAACTATAGTGACTGCCGATTTCACCGTTGCAGGCTGCTGCGCTCACGTCATATCACTTCGCGGCGTCAGCAGCGTTGTCACGTCCTGCGTCTCACCACACTAAAGTGTGGGGCTACAGAGGTAGGCTGACTGCTCACTACAACCCTAACCTTGGGTTGAAGGGCGGTCACAGTGTCCAGCTATATTACTACTCCACTAGCTATCTGGAGCACTACAATGAATCTCAAATTCAACGTCGTGGATGAGGATTGAAAGGTGCAGGAGCTCGTTATGTAATGATCAGCATTACCTACTCAGATACACGTCGACGGATTCGTCTAGCCTGTTTCGGATAGCTTACTTAGTTAATGCCCATCCCCTTCCAGCTTCACGTTTCCTTTTCATCAACTTCTCATCCCTTACGTTGCAGCCTCTCCAGCCCCAAGCGCCGGAGCATTGTTGCCCTGAGCGTACCGGCATTACCTCTACGCCCTGCACACACTTTTAGATCATGTCCTTCACATCTCATACCGCTCACGAGCGTTCACGACGATGCGCAGAACCATTTATAATGTCCGGTTCCGAGGTGATTCACATATCAGCATATCGAAAATCGATAATTCTGTGTACCAGACACATCGTAGCCGCCCACTCTGTGTCTCCCGAACGCTGAAAGCTACCAGTATCACTCATACCATTCCAACTGCGACACAAGCATCTCATCGGCGAAGCCCACGGTTTGATTCCGACTTCATATAGCCTGTCCGTCAACTCGCCGTCGAAATTTAGTGCTCCTGTAAGAGTTACGGAAATAAACAGCATGTTGGCACCGGTCTCGTCCCCATGGATAGACGTATCGCTTGACGATCGAGTCACCTCGAATAACCTCAAGGAGTTGCAAGGGTTTCCGTCACGGGGCTCTCTCAGGATGAGTGCTTTCACCTGGCGCCACCGACGGCAATGATCCGGAGACGAGCTTTGGGGTTGCCGGGCTGGGCTGATCTGATGATCCATTTACATTTCGGGAGCGCGTCTGTGTAACACTCGCTGGCTACTAGAGCAATTTCTGTAAACTGACCGGAAGTTAGATTTGTCGCAGCTTGACCGTTATGCCGCGCCATTGTGTCTTTACTGTTTTGTTGACCCCCCCCTGGATACGATCTGCCACTTGAGGCAATGTCGTGGGTCTGGGAGGACTTTCCCAGAAAGTTTCGAATGCGATGGAGTACTTGCCTGCACGAAACCACATTTCAAGCAACAACTACTATATGAAAACGCCTCAAGGGACGAACGGAGGGAAGGGGAACGACGTCCGGACAATGGCTAGAGCGATCAACCCTTCCAATAAATCTCAGTATTCCTCGCCCAACGCTCGAAATCAACATACCTTCTCAACAACAACCTACTACCAACAGCCTATTGACCTCCAGCCGTCTATCATTACTGCATTTCCTTCCTCTTCAAGCTTTCAGGCTCACGATAATCACCTCTTCAACTTCCCTCCGTCATTATTTCCTACAACAAAATGACACCGACATCATCTCACTTACACGATGACAACACTCCTTGCTTCTGCGCTCCGCATCCCGCTCTTGTCGCTCGAGTTCTGGCCGAGCCCCGTCAATCTCAATATGCCTTGACTATTCCCGCCAGCCTCATCGATGGACTGAACGATGGCATGGTTTTTCCTCCAGGGGACCCCCGCTCAGCCATATCCAATAGCTTGCCCGTGAACCAGGCGTTAGATCGAGCTCCGTTACGTGGCAAAGTCAAGTTCGTCTTCCCAGCTTCTCTCATAGATGCTTGTTAATCCATCGAAACAGTTGCGTGGTTGTGCTAGTCGAATTCGAAGATCAACGAATGGGGGAGGGTGCTGCGGATCGTTTCCGTGACCTGTTCTTCTCGACCCATAAAATCTGGAACGGGAGCGTTCACGAATACTTTTCGAACGTTAGCTCCGGGAAGATCTCTATCACCGGAGGTGTCATCGGTCCCTATCTTATGCCCAATGGGATGCACCATTACGCCAATGGCGAATGCGGTGCAAGTTCAAGCACGCCGAATGTGCAGAGCCTTGCGGCTGACGCCCTGTCTGCCTGCAGAAACGACGTCGACTTTGACCTCTACGATAACGATGGCAATGGACAAGTTGATGCCTTCGTGGTGGTGCATGCTGGACGAGGTGCAGAGACCACCGGGAACCGAAACGATATCTGGTCCGTTAAATGGGTTCTTCCGAAATCTACTCTTGTCAACAACGTGAACGTCTACGCTTTCCTCACGGTCCCGGAAGATGCTCAGATGGGAGTCTGTAGCCATGAGCTTGGCCATGCGCTATTTGGTTGGCCTGATCTTTACGACATCGATGGCTCGTCCGAAGGTGTCGGTGACTGGTGCTTGATGGGTAGTGGGTCATGGGGTGGTAGCCCTGTCGGCTCGAAGCCGTGCCATCCTTCTGCTTGGTGCAAGGTGAATCAAGGATGGGTTGAACTAGACGCGATAGAGTTCAACGGCCGAATCAAACTGGAAGATGTGAAAACAGGGAACAAGGTTCTTCGATTATGGAGTCATGGAAACACAGCCAGCAAGGAGTACTTCCTAGTTGAGAACCGACAGCAAGCTGGCTTTGATACATCTTTGCCTGGAGGCGGTCTTCTAAGTATTTCTTCCTCTTCTATTTGAAGCAAAGAGATCTAACACAGATCTAACACACTCTGCTAGTCTGGCACATCGATGACGAGAAGACCAACAATTCCGACCCCGCACACTACAAAGTTGCCTTGATGCAGGCTGACGGGCTCTACCAGTTGGAGAAAGGAATGGGGAATACAAACAGTGCGCCACTACCCACGACCCTCGGCAAGAAGAAGCGCACTTCAACGCAGAAGCAACTCGATCAAGCGTCACAGTTCAATCCAGGGAACCGAGGAGATTCGGGAGATCCCTGGAAAGGGGGCAGTGGGAAATTGTCCCGCAACGTGTCGTTTCATAGGCGAAGCGTTCCAAGTAGCGATTCCTACACCGGCCAGAGGTCGTTTGTCGAGGTCAACCATATCCATGCTGCAGCTGCGACGATGAAGATTTATGTCGCCGTACGAAATACACCACGATATGCAGACAGTGCCGGGGAAGGGAGTTACGGAGGGAGTTTTGGGGTCATTAATTCAGGAAACCCCGGAGCATTCGCTAGCTCCGCATCATGCGGCACCTCAGCATGCGCGTAGTGGGCTCGTGGTATGCATGGCTCAATAAGGGGGAAATGGCACAAACCTGGGAGAGCAAGTGAATCTGGTGGTTTAATGGCTTTTGGACCATAACAAATCGTCTGTAACTCAAAGCGTCATCACGAAGCCCATGTTCAAGCGTGACCTAAGTCATGACCTCCCATTCACAGTTTCACTAAGTACTATCACCCAGAACATTCCACAGCCCAGGCATACATCGCATTACTGCATACAGATGTAGAGCCACACGGAATCTTCCCAGCCACCCAAATTTTCAAGCCTCAACACAAACACTCATGGAGCTTGACCCACGCACCTGTCCAGATGTGGCGAATATTGAACATAGTCGAGATGGCTAAACCATGCGGCGAAGACTGCAACTGCCCTCTGGGCACCTTCCTCTGCATTCCGATGGAATGATGGGCTCTGTTCGTGTACGTTCACCTGACTGACTACCACGGAAACTCTTTGACTTTCAAGCTCTGCTCCTTTTTTCATCCTTCCCAGCTTCGAGGATGTCCCATCTTATGCCCATTGCGGCAAGGCCGTAGCGCCCTGCCTCCGACTAAAAGGCTCTCCGCCAAATTACAGAGACCCCCGGGCACATGAAACTACATTATATTCCAATTTGCGTACAGCTTTGCATCATTAGACCGAACCTAACAGCACCACCACGCCGTCAAAAATGCATTCGTCAGCGCTCGCTCAATCTGGCTTACATTAGTCTACGTCATGTGGTATCTATATTAGGCGCATTGGGCCAAGATCCCCCGCAAGAGGTACAGCTGCGCTTGGTTCAGCAGTCTGAAGACATTCAAGTCTAGAAATGGGAGTAATGGGAGTAATGGCAGAAGTGTAAGAAGTTAAAAGAGACTATATTGGACGCACTGAACTACCACTGATGTCTGATTTAGAGAACGTAATTGAACGCACCAAGCGCTCCTCCTGCTATCCTTCACAGCACACTAAAACACCTCCGACGAGACAAATTCTGCGCTACTTTTATGCCTTGAATAAGAGAACGTGAAACAAACGCACACAACGCTCCGCCTAGCACCTTTCATGGCGCACTAGGACAAACCCCAGGCGAAAAACTTCTCAAGCATAGATCTTGATGAACCCGGTAGTCTCATTCGCTTGCAGCGCCGCACCCGTAGTCGGATCAGCACTGTTCGGGCCCAAAAGGCGGATGAGGAAGTAATCGAGACCGCTCGACCCCTGATCGGCGGGATAGTACTTGAAGCCCCAAGTCGTGGAGGCATTGTAGCCGCCGAGGAAGACGCCGTCCTGCTTGGTGCCGTTGATGTAGTGCTCGAAGATCTTGACCTCGTCGCCGTCAATCTTCCACATCAGCTCGGCGTCGTAAGGGTACGGCGAGAGCACTAGCGGCGTCCATTGGTAGTTGGTAGGGGCACCGGCGGCGGTGAGGTCGGTGGGGACGCGGGCATTCAAGCCGTTGCTTTGGCACTGGAGCGGGGTCTTTGCGTACTTGTTGTCGTTTGGGAAGGTTATCTGGGGAGGTGTCAGCGAAACTAAAGCTATTCACATGGCGCACTGAATTAGAATACCGATCCCCATCGCAGCTCTGGCTTCGTGTCGAAGGCGACAGAGTATACACTCGTGTCCGAGAAACCTTCAATGGCCGTATTGTCGGTGGACACGGTTTGAAGCACCCATGGCCCGGCAACTCCAGTGTCGGCGTCATATCCAGGATACGAAGAACATCCTGCAGGAAGGGCACTGACGGTGACGGCTGGGACAGCATGAGCCGCCGGTAAAGAATAGAGGAAAGTCGCAACTGCGAAAGCGACAGATTTGGAAACCATTTTGATTTTTGATGATTGACTGAAAGAATGGAAAGATAGGCAGGTCAATTGCCACGAACGGTAACGAATGATGCTGATACATGATCTCGACGACGGACGATCCTTATATATTTCTTGCCCCTAGAGCGTGGTCCGTGGATAGTGGTGAGAATTTAAATTGCAACAACGGGTGGAACGGGTACGAAGGCAGCACCGCGTCATTCGCGGTTTATTTAAGGGATTATCGCCCGTGCACTGCCATTTCGGTTCCAAGTCGCAGACTTTAAACCATTCCCTGGTTAGGCAGCGGGGGAAGCCTGGCGAGTTCGGACCACCAGCACCACTATACGATGTGAATAATTAATAAAGGGGGTTGTACCTAGGCAATATGGTGAGCTAGTCTACAGAGCCAATAATCCTTCTAGGCTGCAGAGCATACTTTTTCTTCGCATAGATGCGTCGCACCAAAGTATCCGAGAACTTCATCTGCTTGGCTGCTAAAGGTAGTTGGTCGTGTTGTGTAATCAAAGGCTGGATCGTGAGGAAGAAAGATATCTCGTTAAGAAATAAGGGGTTGAGTAATATCACGTGATACAAGGCTGTATTGGGTTAGTAGAGTAGTCTTTGTGTCTAGCGTGATCTTGATGACCTCTCCTCTGCGCAACTTCCCATCTATCCATTCTTATCAAGAAAATCAGACAAGCATTTGAATGAATATGGAGCCCTATTCTAGGAAGCTATCTCAGATGGGCGCCTCAATGCTTAGTAACAGCTCACCCGTTCGTCATCCACAACAGATTACAAATCCAGAATATATACCCAATAAAGAGCCATGCTCCATCTCCATATCCATTTGAACACCGCATGGAACTATTGTCTCATATTTCCTCTATGGCTTCCCTAGTATCGGCGAAGAAACCCCTTCGCGTTGCCCTAATTGGGCTCTCCTCTTCCGCAACTACATCATGGGCCTCAGCCGCCCATCTTCCCGCGCTCAAGACACCCGCTGGCCTCTCACGATTCACCATCGTAGCCCTATGCAATAGCAGCGTTGCTGCTGCTCAGACCGCTATCAAAGCCTACGACCTCGCGCCAACCACCAAGGCATACGGCTCCCCAGAAGATCTGGCCAATGATCCCGATATCGACCTTGTGATTTGCAACACACGAGTCGACAAGCACTACGAGACCGTCTTACCGAGTATCAAGGCTGGAAAAGATGCGTACATCGAGTGGCCCATTGCCTCAAATAAGGCTCACATCGATGAGTTGGCGAAGCTGGTAAAAGCGAAGGGCAGCAGGGTTGCGGTTGGACTACAAGGAAGACTCGCCCCTCCGGTGCTTAAGCTCAAGGAGATTATTGAAACCGGAGAACTCGGCAAAGTGCTGAGCAGTGAAATTCAGGAATATGGCGGTACTAATTCGAGAGAATTCTTGCCCCCTGGGTTGCAGTATTTCGCCAAGCGGGAAATTGGCGGGAACCCCATTACCATTGGATTCGGGCACAGTGAGTACACCTAAGCATAGTAAGAAGTCGGGAAGGCTTATGTATGCGCAGTTGTCGATCTTGTTCAATCAGTGTTGGGAGATCTAGTTCCAGGTTCAGTGGCTGCGCGTCTCCAGCTCCAACGTCCTGATGTCCGGATTCGGGATCCCAAAATCGGTGAAATCGTCGAGACGATTCGTTCAGATGTTCCTGACTTGATCTCGTTACACGGTATGGTTTCTAGGGTCATTCTCGAATATAGTACAAAACATCGATCTAATCGAACGTGAAGGAGCCCTTCCAACGTCACCTCGTACGCAGCCCTCGGCTACTTTGTCATTCTTTTTCCGGCGCGGTGCACCATTTCCCGGGGATCCCGCCCTGACGTGGACTATCACTTGCCAATTGGGAGCGATTCGGCTCGTTGCTCCCTCCGGTACTTCGCTTGGAGCAGGCGGCTACGATGAGCCTGTCAGAATTCACATCCATAAATTTGACAAAGACGTGGTAGATGAGGTCCCATGGGAGTGGGATGAGCTGCAAGAGGAGGTCCCCATTATGGGAAGGAGTGTTCTGAGGCACCTGTTCAACTTTGCTGATGGCTTGGAAGAAGGGAAAGGATGGGTTGGAATTGAAGCTGCGGCGAAGAGAGCGGATCAGATTGAAGGGTGGCTAAAAGACGCCAGGTTTTAGAGGTTGAAGATGAACAGATCCAGGATAAAGCGTTGGCAATCTGCAAGACTGTTGCGGTGGACATACAGTACTATGACACAAGTTTGGGCATTCCTTGCAACTGCGTGGGGTACCTCGATAGGCTTCGCAACCTCTAAATACGATGTAAAACTCTACGCAGTGGAAATAGGGCTACCGTTTGACTGACAGAAGACGAGTTGGCTGGGTTCCTCCTTACCGTGGTGCCTAAGTAGCAAGAAAAGAGGCAGAATACATCTACTTTTTGCTAATATGTTTTATAGACCTCAAGTACGATAAAAAGGCTGATGCATATGGAATTAGGTTACCTTTGAAATAGCCGAACATCTGCTAGCGGGGCTACTTCTGACGGTCGTGTTGAGTGAGTAAGAGTCAAGCCTAATAAGTGAGATTTTCGTGTGTCCAAACTTACAACCTAGTACTGTACGAGTATATCCAACATACAACAATCGCCAGCCTACCTCGTCATCAACTTCGTAGGTGGCATGACATCCATAGAATCATGAGAACAGTAAGCCCAAACACCGTGTAAGTAAGAATCCGAAGTGTGCGTTCTGATGGGCCTGGGGGTTCTGGGAGCGGCGGCGCAGGACGATAAGATAGGGCCTGAGGAACCTGAAGCTTCCGGGTCCGTGACTGAAATCTCGAGTGCTCTTGACCTGCTGATTGGACGGCCGGTGGTCGGAGCGCTGGAAGGGGTTTTGCCCAGCCCCCGACTCCTTCAAAGGTGAAGTCCTCGAATAGCATTGACATTGCGAACATCACGTACGTGTCGACAGTCTGCAGAGTGATATATCTGTGGATGACTCCCGTCATCGCGGCGTTCATCGGGTATAATCTCGCCAACATGTATGACTGTTCGTACCCGTAGAGGTGTCTTCCAAGTTCATGTTGGGGTTTGTTCGGCGGCAGCATGTTATGGTATGTATGTTCATCAGCCATGATGTAAAAAAGGTCATAAAGGTGCAGATAAAGGCGCAGAAGCTCATGTAGCAAAAGGGTGCTCAGTCCCTCTACTCCATCCAGACGTGTTCCATTTTGTAGGGTTTTCGCGTGACTGTTCCCGTTATAGAGAAGCGCTGCGTGATTGATCGTAGCTGGAGCGTGGAAGCTAGACTCGCAAATGTAAACATAGCTGTGCAGAAAGACTGTTCCTGCGCCTCCGAATTCATTGCACCAGAGATCATTTGAATATCTCGCATCGTGCTGCCATTCCGTGACCCACGGTCGTATTCCTTTCAGACCATCTCCTGGGCCGATCTTCCAGGATGAGGAAATTTGATCGCCGGGATCAAGCGACAGGAGTAACTTCATCCGGACCGAGTTGGGCGTCAAATCTGGAATCTCCGCCCCTTCCTTGACTTTAGTAGCAAACTTGTCTCCACAGAAGAGCTTCGGTCGCAGAACTGGATCCTGGTGGTGCCTGGTCTCGAAGCCATGTTGTGCAATAGCCTTGTACACGTTCCTAATGTACATCAACGCAAATCTGATTTCGGGTAATCGGGCTACTTCCGAGGGGTTTGGGTCTGGGTTGATACGAATGCCGAAAAGATCGAACAAGGACTGGGACGCTTTGTTCCAACGCAAGTAACCATAGTTGTCCTCGGTTCTGGTCGGTCGAGGTTGGCTAAGCTTTTTCATACATTCTACTCCCCTTGGGCCATGATGATGGCCTCCTCGTAAGCTTCTTCCAGTTTCGAGAGATGATCATCGCAGCCACCGATATCTGTCAGCCCTCGACTCAGGTTAAATTGATGTGAACTCTGATTTCTATAGACGTCTAGCTAGTTGTATATATACTAGGGGA